CTCCCACCGAGGAGGTGCGGGAGAGAAGCAGGCCGTAGCAGACACTCGCCCTCCTCGTGGAACAGCCGGGTGGTGCTCGCCGCCATCGGAGAATATTTCAGTTGACCTATCGTTCCGCTCCAATTGCTCAGGCCGAGGGGCCGATGATTTGTGCAAACCTGTGAACCTCCGGTAGCCCTGTTAACCCAAAGATTTTCGATTTCAAAATGGCTTTATTTGCTTTCTTTTAGTACAATGTTTCACTAAGTACTAAGGGGTCTTATTTTACTATTTCCACCTTGCGGCCTAGAAATAACTTATGTGCTAATTTATAGCTGAAATGGCTGCTAGTCCATTCATTAGTTCAGTGGTGCGATTGCACTGGTTATGACTGTAGTTCCGATTGAAAAACCACCTTGGAGGGTGGGAAAAAGGTTCGGGTTTATATTCTGTTGTAGCTTGGAGTTGCCAGACTCCCAGCGCGTTTATGAAGAGAGGGGAATGATCCCGGGTTATTGGCGGGGGGGTGTGGGGGGGCGGCAGCCCCCCCCCCCCACGATTCTACGTTCTACCTGTTGTTATTTTGATGGCAAGTGTCTTGCGTGCTTGTTGGAGCAGGTGCATTATGCAGGTGCTGGTTTTGTTTTGGCGATGTGCAAGTGCCTTGCGTGTTTTTGTTGTTGTTTTAATGGCGAGTGCCATGTGTGTTTATTTGATTTGAACTCTAGCTACATTCTTAGCTTAATTTTAGGGGTTCAGTCTTTGATCGACCCTGTTTTTATTGTTGCCTGTCCTTAACTTAGTATAGAGTCTTTTCTCTTCGGCCGTAGCCCACAGTTGCATTTAACGCTAGTCTTGAGTCTATAGAGTCTTTTCTCTTCGGCCGAGGGCCCACTTTGTGTCCATTGAGTCCGGGGGACTGCTCTTCATTGATGCGGTGTTCCCTCCAGCCACCATACTTTTCCCCTTGCGAGTACTTTCTGGAGACAGGAGGGTGTTGTTTGTGCCCTCCCCCGTGGGGAGGAGGGGCTGGTGCCGCTCAGTCAGCAGTACTTTCCCGTTAGGATTTCCCGCGCCTGTGAGGTGTTGGATATCCTCGGGTGCGGGGTCCTGGGTGAATGGGGGACGCTCTTGGAGTCCCTACGTAGGCATCTGTCTTGAGTGCTTGTGACGCAAGTGCCGCAGGCACCCGAGGGTGCGGTACTTGCGTCACAAGCGCAGACGTTACTTGGCTGAAAACCTAGTTACTACGCTAACCTAGGTCGCCACCGCGAGCGTGCGGCGGCTCGGCGCGCGCAGCGCCATCTCGCGGCGACTCGCGGAACCTCGTCCGCGCGCGAGGCCAGTTTGAGCGGTGACAAGTCGCTTATTGGGACTGGAACTGGTGACCCCACCAATGGATTCCTCGTTCGGAGAGCAACACGCTCGAACACGTTCCATTCGAGTCCCGTTTAGAGACTCTGGAGCTCAAGACCCGTCCAGGAGTGTTTCTTGCTTGCACCAGTCTTCTGGCCCGCTGGCAGTGTTGGCTGAGATTCGGCGCTTCGGCGCGCTCTATCCCCGCCGGTTGCATCGGATCCTCGTGGCCCAGACGCCACCTGGTGCGCTAACTGCAGCCCCCCTCCCCCCCTTTTCCAGCGCGTTTCCCAGCGGGGCGTAATGCTCCGTGAAATCTGGCCGAACGAGGCTGAAAATGACGTTACGCGCTCTTGGCTCGGCTTCCTCGGCTCGGCTTCCGCCCCGGCCTCGTTTCTGATTGCGATTCAGATGGAGACGTTGTCAGGCAGGCAGGCAGGCAGGCGGGCAGGCGGGTAGGCAGGCAGGCAGGCAGGCAGACAGACAGGTCTGGCCGTCCGCCCATTCAAGACGTGTCTGTCCCGCCGCGATCCGATTTCGAATTTGATATCGCCGTTTCAATAAAGTGCGCGGCAGCCAGCGGTAGACTGATTCCGCGAAAGAGTCGTTTCCTTCTTCTCTCTCTCTCTCTGTCGCGCTCTCATGAGGCGTCCTGTGGGGTGTGAGAGAAACATGAATATGACTCTTTTGAATCGCTCAGCGGCAGCAGCAGCAGCAGCCAGCACGAGGACAAGACCGGGGGAGCGAGCGGTCGTCGCAATTTTGCCTCTTTTTGGCGGGAGTTTCCGTCGGCTATAAAGCGGCAAACGCGTCATTCGGACGCCCCCGCCGGGGCTGCCGGGAGGGGAGGGGAGGGGCGGAGGGGAGGGGTGAGCCACCGGCGCGCGACGAGGTGGGCGGCGCGGTGGCGGCAATGCTGCCAAAGTTGCGGATTAGCTATTGCAACTTTACCGCTCAGTGGAAATGAACCTCCCTGTCGGCCTCTCAAAATGGGCGGCCGTCACTGCGCCCGGCGGGTCCGGCAGTTATATTGGGAACGGACAGAGGGGGGAGGAGGAGGATCAACAACACAAATGTTTTCAATTTTTTTTTAAGGCAGCCTCATTTGTTGGACAGATGCGGCCGTTGCCCGCCTCTGTAGGTCGTGTCCGTCAGGAGGCTGATCGGTCTGCCTCCCTCGCACCGGTATGGAGCACCCCATGAGTGCGAGAGAGACAGAACTTTCACCGAGACGCTTCGCGAACAGACCCCTCTATTCTCCTTTTTCGGCAACTTGTTTCGGGCGGCGCGACCTAGGCGATTCGCCACTCCGACCCCGCACTGGTTGAGTGGCGTGGACAGTGGGCGCTGATCGCAGCGAGGAGCCTCTCAATGAAACCCTGACGTCGCGGACATCGTGACAGCAAACTGATTCCGAGAATCGTTTCCGTCGCTTTGTCTCTCTCGCAACTGTACGGGACGCTGAGTGCGAGAGAGAGACGAAAACGACTCTCGAAGTCAGTCTTCTGTGTAGCCGTCCCGATCCGGATTTCCAGCGACGGCTCAAAACAAAGTGACGAAGGTGCGGCCCGAGGCGCCTTGCCCTGCCCTGCCCTCGCGACGCCCAGCGACGCCACCTCCACCTCGGTCTATCTCCGTCCCACCCCAGCGTAGTACGCGCCAGGACACTCGATACAGGTATCTTTTTGCGTCTTCCCCGCCCGCCCGACCGACCGACCGGCTGCGGAGTTTGGCTGCTCTTTTCCTTTTCTGCGGCGAGGAGGTCGTCTCCTTCATCACGGCGACGTGTCCCCGCCCCACAGTGGGCCAGAAGAGCGGTGGAGGCGGCCAAAACTCTAGACACGTTTGAGCTCCAGAGTCGCTAAATGGGACACGAACCGAACGTGTGACCCCACCAATGGATTGCTCTCCGAACGAGGAATCCATTGATGGGGTCACACGTTCGGTTCGAGTCCCGTTTACCGACCCAGCAGCTAAAAACGCGTCTAGAGTTTTGGTCGCCTCCACCGGCCTTCTGGCCCACTGTGCGCCCTCGCCGCCAGCCAGTCCTTTGTTGCTTTTGCCGATCGACGCGCACCCACTTACACACACACACACACATCGCGGAGGAGCAGCCCAATGAGATTCGTGTTTCGACTCGCGATGGGACCGGAGTCTTCCTTGATTGCGGAGTCGTCGTCTGTTCTCTCTCTTTTTATGTTTTTTCGCCCATTTTTTTGGCTGTGCTGCTGCATATCCGAGGACTGCGTCATTTCGGAGGATGTTTAACTCGGTATATGGGAATACGTACGTCGTGTCGTCGGATTGGAGGTGAGCGCCCAGGGCGACGAGAGGGGGTGGGAGGGGGGCGGTGACGTCTGAGGCCCCTCGCCGCCCCCGCCCCCGCCCCCTCCCCGATCCCTATTTTTTCCCCAGTCTCGGCAAGGCCCCGGGGGCGGCTCCACCACGCAAATATTGAATCTCTTTTGGTTGTGGACAACCGAGAAAAGGATTTGGTAATAGCGGCGCACGATGAGGGGGGAGGGGAGGGGGAAGGGCCTGTGTGTGCCCCCGCATCGTAATTAGTGCTGATAGCGCCGTCCCGGCCGTCCCGCGCGTGGCATGCGTCCGCCGGGGCGCTGCCGAACACGGGGGGCTCTCTCTCTCTCTCTCTTGCACTCACGCCGCGCGCCGCAGCGGTGCGAGAGAGACAGCGCGACGCGGCGGCAGACGGGGCCCCATGGGGGGCCGCTCCAGTGGAGCCCCCGCCGCACCTTATCATCGTCGTCCGGCAACAAGAGCACAGCCTGCACGAGGGCGGCGGGGAGGCCGACGGCCAGGGGGAGGACGACGGCGGCGGGGTGCTCGGAGGTGAAAAGAACGCCCCTTTTTGTTCCGGCCGCGTGGCGGCGGCGCGGCGCACAGTGGGCCAGAAGGCCGGCGCCGACGGCAAAAACTAAAGACGCGTTTTGAGCTCCGGAGTCGCAAAACAGGGCTGGGAGTGCTGCCGGAGACAAGTTTGGGTCCACCTGAGCAAGCAGGCCATGCAGTTTACGCCCCTGGCCGTCCGCGTGTGCCGGCATTGCGATACCCACCGACGCGCGTGCCGCTCGGGGCCGCAGTGGGTTGCAAAGCACTTGGCAAAGCTCATTTCCTTGTGATTGCTCCGAGCAAACCCGCGGCAAACATTTAGCGCGCCGGCAGCGCGGCGTGCTGTGGCGGCGTGGGCCCTCAGCGGGACGGGGGTAGTGTAAGCCCCACCACGTCGCACAGTGGGCCAGAAGGCCGGAGGAGGCAGTCAAAATCCCGGACGCGTTTTAGTTCCAGAGTCGCTAAACAGGACTCGAACCGAACGTGTGACCCCACCAATGGATTCCTCGTTCCTAGAGCAATCGACTGAGGGGATCACACGTTCGGTTAGAGTCCCATTTAGCGACTCTGGAGCGCGAAACGTGTCCAGATTTTCCATCACCTTCGCCGGTCTTCTGGCCCACTGTGCGCATGTGGAGGTTGTTGCACAGCTGCACATGCACCGGGGCAGGCGGCTGGACGGGGCGGTCCTGCCCCCGGTGGCGGTGGCGGCGGCGGCGGTGGCGGCCCCCGGCGTGGAGGGGGCGGCGCGGCGCTCCGTGGTGGGGGCCTCGGTGGTGGGGCGCGCGTCGAGCTTATAAAAGGCGGCGCCCCGGCGGACTGGAATCCTCTGTCGACGGCACGTCCTTGCAGCAGCGCGACCCCCGCAGCCCTCGGCAGCCCTCCTCCTCCTCATAGGTGAGTGCCGGGTGCAGCGGTGCAGCGGTGCAGCGGTGCGTCCCTGTGATTACCTCCGGACGTCGATCTGATAGCCATAGTGGAGTTATTCTGATCGGAGTGGGGGTCAAACAGGATTCAATGTGTTGTTCTGTTGTTGTTTTTCGTCGTCTCTTAGCTTTGAGTTAGGCGAGTTCTACGTAGTGATGTGTATTATTCACAGCGCGCGGGAATGGCGTTTGAGAAAAGTGCGTCGCGGCGCGGGCAAGTACACAAAGTTGGTTCTTGTGTGGGTGTCGTTGTGTTGGCGTGCTTTTGGATTCACATGGGACGCGGACATTTCGCTACGCAGCCTCATACATTGCAAGACTGGCAGCACAGTGCAGCCTGCAACTTTGTACCGGCGGCGGGCGACCGGGGTGGGGCGTCGCCGTTGAGCCTTTGTCGGCCCAAAGCAAGCACAAGCAGTGCGCCGCCAGGTCAAGCTGCACCGCACTGCTTTTTTTCGCTGCTGGCTGCTCGGAGCGATGAAGGTTGCGGCGTGTGGCGTCGCGCCGCGCACCGCGACGCAATATCTGCGCGCCGTCGGCATGTCGTTTCGGCGATGCGAGGCGATGCGACGGCCGCGGCGTGGCGGGCCACGTGACTCTGTCTCTCTCGCACTCGTGGCACGACGCCCCGTAGGGGAGCGAGAGAGACAGAACGAGCGCTGTTTCGGATCGCTTGTTCCAGCAGGAGAATTTCCCGCTTTGAAAGAGTTCACCGTGCGGACGTCGGCACACTGTACTGTTTGCCGCGAAACACGTTGAATGAATGCCTCTGCATTTTTACTTAATCCTTTTCCAACAGATGTGGGCGCTGCCCATATGCAAATCAGTCCGCGACAAAGTAGATCGCGTTCTTTTGTGTTTGCCCTCTCTTCCCCCCCCTCCCCTCGCGCGGAGCTGTTGACGAACGAGTTTGCCAATCTAGACCACACGCCCTACATTGCCCACCCCGTACCGTGGTTGCGGCGGAGCGTCTGTCTCTCTCGCACTCACGGGGCGCTCCGTGGGGGTGCGAGAGAGACGGGGCGACGAGGCTTTTCGGGATCGAGACTGGTGCAGCGGCCGGTCGCGCCTCCCCGCACTGCAGCATCCATCACCCTATTAGCCTTATGGCGGGGCGGCCCCGTGCCGGGCCTCCCCGAGGACGCCCTGCAGAGGGCCGTTCAGGCGGCCGCAACAACTCTCGACGCGTTCAAGCCGCAAGTTCGTTCAAACGCGTCCGCGATTTTTGACCGCCTCCACCGCCGGTCTCCGGCCGATTGAGGCCCCCCCCCCCCCCGTCATCCTGGCTCGCTGGCTCTCAAAACGCGTGACTGGCGACAAAAATAGAAAGGAAAATAGACGACGCGGGAGGGACGGACGGATGGACGTGAGATTGGTATCGAGACAACAGAACGGCCACCATTGTGCCCTGCGCCTTCCATCTCTCTCCATCTCGAAGCAATCACTCGTCGCTCCGACGGCCCGGCCCGTATGGGGCGGACGGCGCGGCACCGCCCCCGGCGGCAGCGCGGCGGGGCTGCGAACTAACCGATGCGCCGCGAGGCACTCCGGGCAAACATAACGAAGGGCGAAGGACACTGTGGCGCGGCCAAAACTCTAGACGCGTTTCGAGCTCCAAATCGCTAAACGCGGTCGGATAATTGTGGCCCCACCAATTGCGTTGCCCGCGTATCTCCGGTGGGGCTCCTCCACTGCCTTGTCGGCCGTTCGCGCGTGCACATTCGACGCCGAGAGGACAGGCCTGCGCTACATCTTATTAAAACTTTGCCGGAACGGCGCGCAACGACATTTAGCCGAGGATAAAATCGCCCGAGTGAGAAAGAGAGAGAGAGGCGACAGTGGCGACACCCACGCGCCGCCAAAGTTGCCGTCCTGTTGCGCCCAGTCCGGCGTCAGATAAGCAGCAGTATGATTCCGGGCAGCGCGTCGTCGCCCCATGAGTGCGAGAGAGACAGAGCGACGAAAGCACTGGCCGGAATGGCTGACTTTGTCACCGGATCCAGTGCCGGAGTCCAGCCGACTCGTTGGCCCGTGCTGGCCGAGTTCAGGTCGAGTTGGCCGTAATGAAGATACCGAGCGATTCCGAAAGTCACTCCACCTCTCTGTCTCTCGCACTGTACGAAGCGCACCGTGAGTGCGACGGAGACAGAGCGACGAAGCGACGAAGCGAATGACAACGCGGCGCCAGTCGCCGGACTGAGCAGAGCGGGGTGGGGCGGCGCGGACTTTGCCTTTAAAATGTGTTCTGGGCCAACGAGGCAACAAGGCAGGGCGGTGCACAGTGGGCCAGAAGACCGGTGGATGCGGACAAAACTCTAGACGCGTTTTGAGCACCAGTGTCTATAAATAGGACTCGAACCGAACGTGTGACCCCACCAATGGATTGCTCTCCGAACGGGGAATCCATTGGTGGGGTCACACGCTCGGTTCGAGTCCTGTTTAGCGACTCTGGAGCTCAAAACGCGTCTAGAGTTTTGTCCACCTCCACCGGCCTTCTGGCCCACTGTGCGGTGTCGCCCCGACTCGACTCGACTCGGCCGACACGCCAAATCCATCCCAGCCACTTTCGACGCCCTTTGGCCGCGAGGATCTCATACATAGGCAGGCCCCGGATTTGAGCCGCGCGCCGCGCGAACGCTTTGGAAAGGTGCGGCGGAGCGGGTTCAAGTACCCACGCCGCATTTTTTGTTGTGTTTGTTTCTGTTTGGCTTTTCTTCAGTTGACGTCTTGTGCAGCCGTGTGGCCGCGCTGCTCAAATAGAACCCTCGGCGCTAGGAAAATAAATCCCCTCAGAACTAGAATGTGAATACAATAAATCTTCCGCCATGTGCCGGGGTGGGCGTTCTTTTTGCTCGCTTCCTCTTTGTCGATGTCCGTCGTCCAACCGCCGCGGACTATTTGTGGCTGACCCGTGCAGGGAATTAAAACGACACGGCGGCCAATCAGCCTGGGCCGTGTCCGCCGCGTTTTTTGCGCGCCACTCGCGTTCGTTAGTGGTACTCGTGGTGGTGGTGGTCGAGTTGGTGGTCATGCACTGCCTGTAAGCGTTCCCACGCAGTATTGCCAGGCCGTTATTATCGACAAGTTGGCCAACCGCTCGGCCGGTGGATCAAGCTTCATTCTCATTCATGGATCTGTGACTGTGGGAATCGTCGCCGTGGGATGCACCGTGGGTGTCCGTCCCGGTTCGTCCCCGCCCCCGGTCTCGGCCCGATCGACAGCACACTGATTCCGAGAGTCGTTTTCGTCGCTCTGCCTCATCGCACTCATGGGACGTACCGTCTATGCGCGAGAGAGACAGAGCGAAGAAAACGACCCGCAGGGCAAAAAGTGTGGGTCCGGAGTCCGGAAGCACGCCATGAGGCTGGCATGCTGCTGCCCGCTCGACTGGAAAGACAAGCACGGGTGGCTCTTGATGGGGCGGGGAGGCGAGGGTGTGCGAGGAAGAGGGGGGGAGGGGGGGAGGCAGCCGGGCCGGGACGCTCTCATTAGATCATTACTTCATCACCCTGAGGGTTTCACGCCTGGCGTACCAGCCCTCTGCCGGACAGAGAGTGCGCGCCAACCAGAATATCCCACTCGGACACTGGCGAAAATAATAAACGGACGCTACTTAAATGCTGCGTCCAAGGCAGGCGTTGGACCGCGCCACCTGCGAGGACGGTAAACTCACCGCGCGGCGCCGCGAGGACTCGAAGCAAGACCTCATCATCGTGGAGGCGGCCGCGCGCACCACCGCGCCGAGCAAACAAGAGACGTGTTCCCGCAGGCGGTCTGGACTTTCACTACTTTTGCCGCGGAGAAACAACAAGTTGGCGAGCTTGCTCGACAGGAGGACGAATTATTGATGAGCGTCCTGCCCGCCTCGGCTTACGAGAGTGAGGTAAAGACGACCGAATTTGACAGTGCAGCCGGCCGGGTGTTTGCGTTGGCCGCGGGGCCTTGTTCGAGCATGATGGGAAAACAGGGAGAAGTCTGAGCTGCGCGGGGCGGGCTGCCCAACCCGCACGCGGTGTCCTATGGCCAATGCCGACTCTTTCTCTCCTCTGCGATTTCCTCGCGACTGGCGGCCCTGTGCCGTGCGGGTCTGCCGGCCCCACCTCCGCGAAACACGACGCCCGACTGGCCCTTACAAAACTTCTAACTAGCTGGCCGGCTTCTCGGCTGACCTGTCCCGCCTCGCCTTACCGGCGGAGGGTCAAAGGGCGCCCACAGTCCACGGAACTCGGTGTGACGTTTGTGTGTGTGTTGCAGCGCCATGGCCACCAGCCGCTTCGCGCCCTCCTGGTTCGTCCTCCTGGCCGTGGCAGTGCTGGCCCTCAGCTGGGTGGCCAGCGCACAGCCCACCGGCGAGAAGGAGCGGATAATCAACGAGCTGGACGTGAGTATCGTTCGTTTCTTTCGCAGTGTACCCCGTTTTTGCAGCGAGATTGGCCGCCGAAGGACGTCTCTCCATCGCAGCAGTCTGTCTGCGCTGCCGCTGTCGGCTGTCCTAGAGTCCCACGGTGTGGCACGCAGTGTCCCCGGCGGCGGGGAGCGCCGTGCTGGGTCGGCGACCCGCATGCGGCGATGCGCGGCCCGGCCGTGGTGGCCTAGCCTTGAAGGGGCCTAGCGCGGCCTAGCGCGGCACTCAGCCCGCCGCAGGCACGGCCAGGCAGGCACCACAGGCGGGCAGCAACAGCCACAGGTGGCCCCCGCGGCCCCCACGTGGCAGGCCTCGGCCTCGGCGAGCTTGTTGCACGCCGAGCCGGACCGCACCGTGTCCCCGCAACGCGTTTTATGAAACCCCCTGCGACCCCTCACAACAGAAACGAACACCCCAGCGCTGCGAAGTTGGCACGTCGCGGCGGTCTCGCGCGGCGCGCATGGTCGCGCCTACGTCATTCCCCCTCGCGTTTGAGCTTCATTCTTTTCCGCGGCACGCCAGCGGCCCGTAAAGGACGCCACGCTCGCCTCAAAGGATTCCTTTAAAATTCATTTTCCCCGACGCCCCCCCCCTCCAGCGTCCGCCTCCGCAGCGCGCCTTCCCTGCAGCCTTCGGCGACGCCTGCAGCAGCAGAGTACAGCCTGGCCCCGTCTGGCCGTGCCTGGCCTGCGACATACATCACATGCCGCACGTGGCTGCCTGCGTTTCACAGTGGGGCCGCTCAAAGCCTCTCGATACGCCTTTCCCGCCAGGAAGCTGCAGCGCGGCGCATAGCCCTCGGGGCGGCCTTGCCGCGGCCTTGCCCTACTCGTGGCGGCGCGGCGCGGCCCAGGCCTGACGCCGTCCTCTCCAAGGACCTGACACGCGCGTCAGGGGGCGGGGCGGGGCGGGGCGGGGGGCTTTGCAGGCTTGCTGTTGAGGGCAGCAGGGCCGCGCTTGCATGGGCGACGCAGTTTGGACGCGAAGGTACAGACAAGCAGCCGGGGCCAGGGCCAGGGCTGGCGCTGGCAGGTTTATGGTGCGATTATCGAGGTGACGGTGGCGCTCCCACGTGGACGAACCGCCGAGCCGCCGTTCGGTTCTTTTCAGCCCGAATTAACATCTTTTCAGCCAGATCCGTAATTGCCGCGCAGAAAGTTACACTGCGTTGAAAAGAACGAAGGCAGCGCGCCCCGCCTCGCCTTTTCCAGTTCGCGATGCCCGGCGCTGCCGTTCCTTCCTTCCCTGGAAGCAAAGGCGGCCTGGGAAAGTCGCCTCGTGTATGCGCTGCGATAAGACCACCATGCTCCCCCTCGCTCTTGATACGGCGGCCGAGGCCCGGCCGGGAAGGCCGGGCTGCCGGGGTGGGCTGCTCCCGCTGCTCCCCAGAGAAATACGGACCGATGGACAGCGTGCACGGATGCTCCGGCAGGCCCCGGCAGGCCGCGCGCGGAGTCGACGGAGATTGCAGGCAGGGCCGCGCAGCGGACGGAGTTTTCCCTCGATTCGCGTATTCAATTTGCTTTTGTTTCCGTCATTTTATTGTGCGGTCGGCGGCGACATTAATTAGCGGCGAATGAGCGGAAGCCCCGCCGAAAACAGCGGCGAGTTTGTCGGATCGGGGCGGCCTCCACTTCCGGCAGTGCGGCGCGCTTCCGGTCACAATGCGGGCCTCGTCGAGGAGCCCCGCGACCCGCCGAAAAGGGCCCCAGCTTTGGAGGGATCCCCGCTTCAAAGTCAGGGCCCTTTTGTCGCGAAGGGCTTCGCTCCCTGGAAGTCCCTGGACCCGGCAGACACACTGCCGCCGCCCGCGCGACTGGAGAATAACGGCTGTGTATTTGTAACGAGCCCCGAACGGACAGCGCGCCGAAAATTGGAAATTCCTTGTCCTGGCCGCCCCGGCCCCGGCCCCGGCCCAGCCCTCCTGGCCGCCCCGCCCCTCCCCACTCCCCTCTGCAATCTCGCGGAGGCGACGGGGAATCAACTTAACGATCGCTGTAAAGACTGAGCCCGGCTCGGCGGCCGCGGCACGGCACGGCATGGCACGGCACGGCGCCCCTGGCGGCCCTGCAGGGCCCGCGGGGCAGACTGCCTCCAGCGACCTTTTCCAATTCTTCCATTTAAGGGCTGTGCGTCATCATCACCGGCCCGACGCCCCGCGACGCCGAGACCGCCATCGGGGTGAAGCAACTCGCCGCGGCTCAGCCGCGTCGCTGCGTCTCTCTCGAAACGCCCAAGGAGTGCGAGAGAGAGGCACAGCGGTGAAAAGAGTGCTCCGTATCAGACTGCTGTAAGTCGCAGCAGATTCTTGGGGTCCTTTTCTCGGAGTACCGTTCTGGAAATCCCACGCCCTTGCCCTGTGCCCGGTGGGGCGGCGCGGGCCGGACATTGTTCCCGTCGCGCCCGATAGGGGGCGCTGCACGCGCAGTGGCGTGGCCGTGGCGCGGCGAGGCGGTGCTCAGTCATTGTGAGGCAGACAGGGGTCGCTCTATCGGTGTTCCAGGTGAGCAACAAGGCCCCCGCGGGGGCCCCGCCCGTGCCCCTCGCGGGGGCGGGGCAGCCGTTATCCGCGGGGCCAGTCCGTACCGCTGGCTGCCGAAACGGAGGGCTTAATGAGGGGACTTCCATGTACCACGTGCCCGATTTCGATTCGGGTGTGAGGGGGCGTCTTTGATCGGGCACGGTCCTATACATGGGAAGGGCTATCCAGTGTACGCGGGGGATGGTGTGTGAGAAATCGGCCGAAAATAAGGCACGTGGTATGCGGATTAAAAAATTAAAAGGCAATCATTTTGAAGATGGTAGTTAAGGCGTCTACAAAATATTCTGGGGGGAAAATGCCGTCTCCTATTTCAGGGTGGAACTGGGGCAAGGAGTGGCGTTAAGCGTTAAGGGGGATCAGGTTGGAGCTCCCTCCCGCACGCGGCGCCCTGGAGTGCAGCGGCTCCCGTGGCCGGAGTCCCGTGGCCGGGGTCCAGCCCCGCAGAGACAACAATAAGTCGAACCAGGCCGAGCTCATTAAGGGTCTCTCTCTCTCTCTCTCCCTCTCTCTTTAATGCCCCGCGTGTTCTTGCAGCTCATGGACGACGACGGCAGCGTGGAGACGGCGCTCATGAACTACCTGTTCGCCAAGCAGATGGTCAACAAGCTGCGCAAGGAGATGGACGTGACGGACCTGCAGCGCAAGCGCTCCTACTGGAAGCAGTGCGCCTTCAACGCCGTCTCCTGCTTCGGCAAATAGAGCATCGGCCCGTAGGCGCGTCCCTTTCCACCACCTCCATTTTGTTCAAGTTTCGCCGAGGGAGAAACAACTTGAATTTTGGTGTACGTTTTCCCTTGAAATAACGTCGAAATAACGGAAAAATAATTTAGAAAGAACGTGGATATGACGAGAAAAAATTTGATTTTGAAATAAGAATGTACACAATTGTTCAAAGTTGTTTCGCCCCTCGTGTTTCACCTTTCTGTTCAACAAGAAAGAAAATGGTAAAAAAGAAGAAAGAAACTATAGTATTACGCGGCGTGTTTTGTTAGACGGCTGGTCAGGCGCATCTGGCGCGCTAGTCATTAAGATGTATTTCAGTGTAATAATTCAGTTAACTAAGTTAATTAAGGTGTAGATAAGTGTCTTTAAACAGAACCTGGTTAAATAGTGCCGCAGGATTGTAATTACCATTCATTAGTCTTTCATTTTAAGTTATTCATCTCGGGATTGCAAGAGTCACACCCTGGAGCGGGGCCATTAAATCACTTGCCTTTACTGAATCTGTGTTGAATGTTCTTCGTTCTTTCTCCCTGGCCCAAGTGATCACGGATAAAAGAAAAGAAACGGGTTTCCGGTTTAAAGTGATTTATTAAAAAAAATAAGTTAATTACGTTGTTAGTTTACAACGAACCAAATCATATACCTTTCATCACCCATGACTAAAATTTGTCTCCTACGCAGAGGGCACTCTTAGAGTGGAGCAGTCTTGACTCCGCATGCGTCCATGGGGGAAGCAAACGTTACATATCACAAAGAGTTAGGAATGTATTACTAATAATTAGGGTGAATTGAGAGACCGTCTTACGGCCTCCGTTTGGTCAGGTACACACACATTATTGTGTCAATAGACAAACGGGTTGCACAGTATTTTTTTGTAAGGCGGAACACAGCAAATAAAAACGGGCTAGCTCACGAGAAAAAGCAAAACACACGCGTCTACAGTGTGTAGCCTTCCGTGGCCAGGAGCCGCTGTCTCTTCACGGAGTCCCAAAGCCACTTGACGTCCACGACCACGGCGTCCCCGTTCCGAGGAGTGTTCTGCGGGCAGAGAACAAAATAAAGTAAGGAAACCGGTTCAACCGGAGTCAAATTCAAGAAGAAAGGTCCCCCTCGCGCGAACAACAGCGACCGACGACCTCTTGGCCGGGAAAGGGGGCAGTTGGGGGAGGGGGAAGGGGCGCTGGACCGTGACGTATTCGCATTCACATTTCCGGAAGCAGGCGCCCCCCGCCCCGCCCCGCCCCGCCCGCACAAGCGGCGCAAGCTGGCCCCGTTGCTGCACGCGCCGCAGGCCTTGGCGCAGGCCCCACCCCAGGCTGTACCGCAGGCTGATTCCGAGAGTCGCTTGCGTCGCTCGCTGCCTCGCACTCACAGGGCGTCCCGATGGGTGCGAGAGGGGCAGAGCGACGAGAGCGACTCTCGGAATCAGCCTGCCGGGCTGGGCAGGGCTCGGCCCAGGGCGACGCGGATGAGTAAACATGACGAGGGGTCCGCCATGCGTCGGCCGTCCGCCGCGCAGCGCTAGTCTTCCTCCTCCACGTGCCGCGGCCCCGCGCCGCCCCGCGCCGCCCCCGGGACCAGAGTCAACGGCCCAGCGGCCACGGCGGCCGTCCGTCTGCCGACGACTAGATAAGTCGCGCGACCCCGTGCGTGTTTCCCACAAGTCACGGAGTGACGTCCGACTGGCGTCTTCCTTAGTGGCGGGCCGCGCCGCGCCGCGCCAATGCTCAAGTCTCTGTGCCCCCGCGGCAGGCTGGCTCCCAACGGGCGATCTGTCTCACTCGCAGGCCGACCCGTGCGAGAGAGACAGAGCCGCGGATGACCTTTTCGGATTGATTCTCAATTAGGCCCGACGAGGACGATAAGCAGAGGCCACCGAGGGGCACATTTGAAATGTCGGTCACCTCGTTCCCCGTGTCGCCGCGCCGTTTGGCGGCGTCAACGACTTGCTCACCTCGGAGGCGCCGTCGGCGTCCGGGCACTGCAGCACGTGGGTGGGCGTCTCCTTGGAGCGGCGGTCCAGCAGTTTGCCTCCGTACCTGCGAAGCCACAATCAAATAACATTACTTAAAATTAAAGAAAAAAGAATTAAGGAAAGTTTAAAAAAAACAAAACAGAAAGTGGGTGTACCCGACGAAGTAGCGCTTGAAGTGGTACACCTCCTCTTCGGTGAGTCCGCGCGGCATCCGGAGCTGCACGCCCAGGAACACGTCAGGCAGCGGCTGGAACGCACAGACACGTCTCGTTAGCAGAGGGAGACAGGCTCGGCGCGCGCACCCAACTCCAGCCTAACTAATAAATTTCAAATTTTAATTATTTTTTTTCGGATTGAGAGCACACGCGTGTTGCGAAGCGCCCCGAAACTTTGCGGCGCCTGCCGCCACAGCGCGGCCCTGTGGCAGGTCTCTCTCTCGCACTCGTGGGGCGCTGCCTGTACCGGTGCGAGAGAGGCAGACCGACGCGCGCTCCAGCTCCGCCGCTCCGCTCACCTTGGCCGGGCCCGTTTTAGCTCTGGCTCGTTTGTGGGAGTCGGAGTCGTCCGTCGAGGCCGCGGCCGCCCCGCGCTGAAACAATCAACATTTCGCTGCGTCACCAACCAGTCAGCCAGTCACAACGCGACAGGCCGCGATTGGCTCCGTGATTGGCCATCCGGCAAACCGGAAATGAACGCATTTTCGGCGCGCGGAGGCGAGGGTGAGGGGAGGGGCAGGGGAGGGGGGCGCCGGGGCGTTTGCGAGGCATGCAGCGCACGTCGCGGCGCGGCCGGCGCCCCCGCACGCCCCCGCACGTACCTTGGCGGGCGACCCCCTCGGCGAGCCTGCAGCGTCCGCGCCTCTCTTGCCGCGACGCGTGGGCGAGTCCTGTGTGCAGCACAACGGGGCGAGTCAACACAAACGGCCGTCCACCGCAACAGAGGGAAAATAAAGAGATTCACACCACGCACCGTCTTAGTCGGCGAGGACGCCGCCGAGCTGGCCGCCGCGGACAGCGAGAACGTGGACGTCTCCTTGGACTTCTTGTACAGCTCCTAAAGCAGGGCACAAAGGCACGCGCGTTAACTTGATATTCCAACAATTTTATTTTCGTGTGCGCCGTGACGACGCTGAGACGCACCCTGAGCTCCGGCAGCGAGGTGGCCTGCTCCCAGCCCTTGTCGTCGCGGATGCGCGTCACCCGCGGGAAGCGCACCGAGATGCCGTCCGCCGTGTGCACCTCCGTCTGCGTGAACTCGGCGCCCGTGATCTCCCACACCTGGCTCTCCTGAAGCGGTAAAAATACGCTCAGTGGGATTTGAACCCGCGGCAAAAGCGCGAGCAGCCAGCACGCTGCGCGGCGCACGTACCTTGGGGTCCACGGTCACGAAGTCGGGGAACATGGGCTTGTTGGCCTTGAGCCAGGAAGGGATCTTGCCGGGGTCCTTGTTGATCTCCACCATCTTGAGCTCGGTCTGAAAACCGCAAAGGAGCTCAAAACGCGTCTAGAGTTTGGGCCACCGGCGCCGGGGTGACGAACAGCACGTACCTGCAGCCTGGCCAGGGTGGCGTCGTCGTGGCCGCCGTGCACCTTGGTGACGGTCACCCACCGCTTGTAACTCGGGTCGTAGCACCCCATCAGGAAGATGGACTTCATGCCGCCTGCAAAGCAAACAAACGACGGAATGGAGACACAGTTCTCTTCAAACTGAGACGACGGTCGACGGCGACGCACCCTTCTGGCCGGTGCCGTAGAACGCGCCCAGGACGACGAGGTCAGCCGTGTCCGCCATGGCGCCGCCGAACAGATAGTCCTTCTTCACCTTGAGCCAGTGCCGCTTGCCGGGCTCGTAGGGCCCCTGCAGGAGAGACACATAAAGAGAGTAAAAGGAACTCGTCGCGCACCTGGACTGCTAAGCCAGTGACTAATTAGCGGCTTACCTCCAGGTTCTTGAGCACCAGCCCCTCGAGGCCGAGGCGGAACACCTTCTCCATCATGGCGGTCAGGTCGGCGGGGACCTACGGCGAGAAAGGGGCGTTTAGGCGCAGCGTTTGGGACGCGTCTGTGCCGGGGGCGGCAAGGACAACAGGGTACACTCACGTGGATCTCCTCCTGCTCCGAGAGGACGACGCGGTTCGGAATCTCCACCATCACCTTCTCCAGGATCTTTCGTCTCCGCTTCATGCTCCTATAGTACACAGCAAGCATTATCGTCTGAAAGGTCACACGTCTTAATCGAAATCGGCGACAAGCTACACTGTACTCACATGTGCAAAAGGGACTCCCCGTTGTAGTACATGCAATCGAACACGAACAGACACACGTTGGCGTCCTGGTAACCCGTTTGCTGAAAAAATAAAAAGCCATAGATAAATCTGTGTTGCTACAAAATAGCACACGAACAAAGAGACGGCCTACCTTGTGCACGCCCAAGGACCCGAAGGGCAGCGGCTTCCCCGTCCTGTTGTCCACCAGGAGGATCTCGCTGTCCAGGATCAGGTCCTCGCCGCTGGGGAACGCGTCCGGGATGAACTCCTTGAAGTGGTTCACCTTGTGGGCCATGACGGGCTTGAGCGCGCGCGAGAAGTACTTGAACTCGTCGCCCTTCTTGTGCACCTGCACGCGCTCGCCGTCGTACTTGATCTCGGAGTACATGCCGTTGGGGCACTTCTTCATCGCCTGCTCCACCGACTTGCACGCCTCGGCCTGCGCCACAAACAAATCCTCACATTAAACTTATGTTTGTAGAAAATGCTTCTTTTTTTTCGGATATTGATTTTAACGAACCAGCATGGGCAGCACGGGTGTCATGATGTTGATGGCGATGCTGAGGTTGGCGCCACTGCTGCTGCCGCCGGCATCGAGGCTCGCGCCACTGGAAGAACCGGCAGCCCCCGGGCCGGCGTCGCTGGCGGCCTTCTGGACCACGGCGCGGAGGTCCCTGCATGTCTGGTAGGCGGCGTAGGCGTCGGGGTGCACGGCGGCGAGGCTGGGCGACATACGACATTTCGTTTCAACGAGGTGCTCCAATAACATAGCATCTTTCGGGATCAACCAAAATTGGCAGATAGACAAAAACTTGTGAAATGTGAGAAAAAGGACGCTTGGAAAAGGGGCGGGAGACCGGGAAAAAGCGCGTGTCCTGGCCTCTAAAAGGGGTGAAAAACACAAACTAGCCAGCGACGTGCAGCTGGCTCCCTCTGGCGGCCTCCGCCTGGATCCGACCGACCAGACGGTGCGGGAAGCTGGTGCGAGGCAGAGGCAGTCTCTCGGGGCGAGAGTAGCGCCCGCGGCGGCGTCTGGGGGTAGCGCGGGGTAGCGCCGTCACCCCGCAGCCACAGCCACAGATGGCGCCATCGAGCAGTTTGTCTACGCACAGTCAACGCACAGTGGGCCAGAAGACCGGTGGAGGCGGCCGAAACTCTAAACGCGTTTTGAGCTCCAGACTCACTAAACAGGGCTCGAACTGAACGTGTGACCCCACCAATGGATTGCTCTCCGAGCGAGGAACCCATGGGAGGGGTTACACGTTCGGTTCGTGCGCCATTTGGCGTCAGTAGAGCTCAAAACGCATCTAGAGTTTCGGCCGCCTCCAACGGTCTTCTGGCCAACTGGGTAGTGTGTGTCCGACACACTCGAGAAAAAAGTGAAGAAACCTCGGACCAACATAGTTCTTTCGATTAACCGTCATCCGACTTGTCAGCGGAAAAAAACGCATCGGAATAGATAATTCAGTTCGATAATGTCTTTTTCCAGCGCGGCGATTGAAGGCATTGAGCGTCGCCGCCGTATGAGCTAATCCGAGAACCGCAACACACTATCGTCCCGGGAAAGCGAAGCGCTGTGTCAGCGGCGCCACGGCCCCTCTAGTGGCCTGCTGCCGCGCTGCACAGCTCGGCGTCATCGCTCCGTCCCTGTCGCACTGCCGGCGCGGGCGGCGCGTGCCGAGGGAGTGCGAGAGAGACGGAGCGACTCGGCGTCTCGCGGACACGAGAGAAAGGAAAAACAATGAGAAACGGCGGCTGACGCGCGGCCGCGCCGCTAATCTGGGCGCGGATGAGCCGCGGAGGCAAATTGGCCGCGAAGCCGCGAAGCGCGAAGGGACAACCTTGCGAAATATTTGCGTATTCGACTATCGGCCGGCATCGACAGCATCGGCAGAAGGAGAGGAGGGCAGAAACAAAGGCGGCGATAGTGGCCGCTCGCGTGATGCGGGGTGGCGCGGGGCGTGGCGGTGCACTGGACGGGGCCCGCGCCGCACCGCCGTGCCGCCGTGCCGGCCTGGGGGCATGAGCCCGGGGCCCGGGGCCGCGGGACCCCGGGGGGCATCGCCGATGTGCCTCTAATTTTACTGCCCACTACGACAGAAGAACCCGGTGGTACTTCGAGAACGGCTTCGGACAGCGCGGCCCATGGGGAGGCTGCCTCCGCCGTCGTCGAGGCCTCCGTGCCCTTGCAGTGGAGGTGCAGCCCTAGGCTGCCTTTGTCGGCGGGGCGGGTCGGGCACCGCGTGGCGGAGATGCACCGCGGTGATGCACTCCGGGGCCACCAGGTCGCCGCCGCCGCCGCGCCTGACGTCGTCGTCTCGAACCGGGTCCTGCCCTTGCCCCCCACCCCCCCCCCCCCCCGCGTTTGCTCCCTTAACCATGCCTCTCTGCTTCTAGTGCGCATCTTCTGCGAACCGTTTCGCAAGCGACACCGCGAGCGAGCGAGAGGCGACGCGCACAACTCGCGGAAGCAGCGCTCTCTCTCCCACTCCCGGGCCCCGCGCCTCGGGAAGGAGACAGACACACGCAGAAAGGACGCGGCGCTGTAAACACGACGAGGAAAGTGCGACTGTGGCTCTCGCACTCACGGGGCGGCCCGTGTGGGTGCGAGAGAGACAGGCAGTTGGGACTCGCAGCTCACAACCCGCCCGCACACAAGAAACCAGAACACACCGCCACTCAGGTGCGGCCCCACCCCACCGCCCGCGGGCTGGAGGCTACTGGCGGCTGGAGCGCCCGCGCGGCCCAGGGTAGGCCGTCCCGGCGACAGCGCTGCCTCCGCACGGCCCACCTCCCAGGCGCTCCAGGAGAAGAAGCGTCGCCACCACTGTAACGCCTCCACGTCTGCGTCGGAGGCGCTGTAAAAGGTCAACGCCTGGACCGGCCGTCGGACACAAGGGCGCATCTCCTCCAGGTTTCTCAGAAGGCATAAGCGGTTCTGTACGGGGCCGCCCACTTGCCCGCGCTCCAAATCAAATTTCGCGCAATCGCATTAAGACACAGCGGCGGCGTCAACAGACCGCAGGGCACCGCAGGGCGCGCGGCGAACGGGCCCCCGTCCCGCGCACCCCGCCGACGGCCCAGCACCACCACGAACCGCGGGCAACCGCAGTCCCAACCTCGCAAACCGCACCACTCACCGCAGCACTGACAGAACGGGCTGCCGACTTTGCTTCTCCAGAGGCATTCTCATGGTTCCCAAGCAACTATTATTCTAAAATTATCAACATTTTTTAAAAGATCTAATTAACCTCCACACTGTCCCGCTACAGCCCAAGCGTCCTAACCTAGCCTTGCCTCTGCGCGACGATTGACACTAACAGCGCGACGCTTGATCTTCATCAGATTACCAAACGCACATGGCCCACGTCAACACGTCTCCTCCTCCTTCTCCTTTTCGAAACCGGATTCGCCGCCGTCGTTGGTTCGAGAAAATCAGTATAAAAAAGTGCAGGGCTCGTTATCTGTTGCGAATAGAGGCACCCCCTGATAAACACACACACTCACACACACACACACACACACACACACACACACACACACACACAGAGCAAAAGCGCGAATAGGCAGGCCGGGGTTATCGTGCCCACCACAGCCGTCCGCAAGGTTGTCGTACGATGCCAGCTAGCTCCGATTCTCCCCAATTTGACAAACAAAACAAAACAAAAAAAACGCTAAAGAACGGTCCTCACGTGCGACGGCTCGGCGTCACCACGACGACGAGGAGGTCTTTTGTTCCGGCCGCAGTGAACGATAACCCCGCGTATCGATTACACTAGAAAATCTTCCGCCGCTTCCCGGAACAAACCGCGCGAGCGAGAGTGAGTGAGGCACGTTAGTGGCGATACGTCGCCACTAACGCGGCCCCCGCAAAACCGCCCTGCAAAACAAACAGAGCCGCGCGCGCAGCGTAGCGCAGCGCAGTGGAGGCGACGCGAGAGGCGGCCGCTGGACGGGCGAAAAAGACGGGCACACTGCAAGGAGGCGGAGGGAGGGAGAAGGCTCGGTTCGGTTCGGCCGAGTCCGACTTTATTCTGGGAGTCGGATTGCAGATCGCGGTTTGCGATTTCGCGTATTTGCCTCGCATCACTCAAAACAAGGAGGGTCGCGCCCCCGGCCAGGCGGGGGGCGAATTGCCAGCGAAAGACGAGGAGAGGCGACCACTCGAGCGCCACTCGCGGCTAGGCCGTTCATGTAGGAGCGCCCGGCACTGCACTGCCGCGCTGCGGGCTGATGCCGAGACTGAGGTCCCGTCGGTCTGTCTCTCTCGCACCGAAACGGGACGCCCCGTGAGTGCGAGAGAGAAACTCCCACTCGGCTGGCTGGCGTGGCCGGGCCGTAGGCGCACGCTCGGCAGGCTCGCCGCGATGCCGATCTCCGATAGGCCCGCCTCCGCGCGCGTATTATTATTTCAAACTGCTGCAGTAAATTTCATTATCGGGGCGGCCTCGCGCGATACGAGCTCGTTTCGCGATGTTTGGCACACGCTGCCGAGCCATTCCGAGTGGCTCTGTCTCTCTCGCACTCCACCGGGACGGCCCGTGAGAGTGACAGAGACGGCGGAGGCAGCATGCTGGGCCCGGCGGAGGCGCGGCAGCACTCGCACTCGCGGACCCGTGCACCCGGCTGCACTTCGGCCCGACGTCAAGCAGACGAGCGGTCCTTCGCGCGGACACCTCTCCATCCGAACGGGGCTCTCGCCGCACCGTCTCTCTCACACACCGGCGGAACGCTCCACCAGGAGTGGGAGAGAGAGAGAGAGTCGGCATCAGACTGCGCAGGGTAACCCGTTCCAGGCCGCCAGAGTCAAGGTTGCCGGCCTTCCGCACTGCGCGGACTGCGCCGCGGCGACAGCGCGGATAGCGGATAGCACGCAAGAGGCCAACAGGCCGGACAACCCCACCGGCCCGGCTGCTCGGCTAACGGGCAGCAATTAATTCCCGCACAGTTTTTCGTTTCACCGGGAAAGGAGGAAATAACCGGATCCCACGTGGTGCTGCCGGGCCTTGGCCTTTTCCCCCGGTAGCCGCTAGTAGCCGGCGCCCCTCGGACGCGCGCACCGGAGCCCCTCGGACACACAACGCCGCCCTCGTGGAGCTCGTGGAGGCCGAGGTAGTTACGGCCGCCACGCCGAGCCGCGCGCCTCGGAGTTCAAAGTCAGCCCTCCAGGAGCCGGCTTTGGGCGGACTGATGCCGCCCTCTCCCTCGCACTCACGGAGCGGCCCGCATGGGAGCGAGAGAGACAGAGAGACGGGAAGCTTCAGCCCGGAGGCCTGCTGGAAGGGTCGCTAAGCCTCCCGGCCACGCAGTCTTCGGGCCGGTCCGCGTAACGAGAAAATTGGCGTGGACCCTTCCCGCCATCCGATACAACGGCCAGTGCGCGCCGCGGAGACGAAGAAGGCCTCGCCAACGGACGCCGCACGCCCTGCCCCGCCCCGACTTACGTACATGTGCTTGGGGCCGGCGTTGATGCGTAGGTCGTGCTTGATGAGGCGGATCACCATCTTGAGGTCGTTGGGCGTGCACCTGCAACGAGCGAGACTCGGTTAGGCTGCGAGACAGAGAGAGACAGAGAGAGACAGAGAGGCTGACGGACAGAGGCGCCCCTCCGCGGCGCCGGCCAACTACTTTTGCGTGAGCTGCTTGAAGTGGTGGCCCTGCTCCTCCTCCCTGGTCATGCCGGACAGCTTTTCCAGGAACTCGTCCACCTCGGCGATCAAGATGTTGCTCTTGGACACGGCCTTGACGGCCTTGGATTCCTCGAAGGCCGAGCTAATGGTGTGGGCCACGTCGCCGTGCTTCAGGTCCTCCAGCATGGCCTCCTCGCTGGTTTGGAGGATCTGTGCAACAAGGATAGGTGCGTTTGAGGACACGAGGGATGGAATTTCTACCGCCTCCACCGGTCTTCTGGCCCACTCCACTGTGGGCAGGTCCTCTGCCTCGCACGCACCTTGCTGAACAGCTTCACCAGCTGCTTGCTCTGCAGGTTGTAGACGCGCGGCTGCACCATGGGCAGCAGCAGGCGCACCCACGTGTCCAGGTTCCCTCGGAAGCCGCCTGGAACAAAAAGAAGACCGTCATCGTGTACCCGACGAAGGCATAGACAGCCCTGGCGGAAGTGGAACCGGGGGCGGGGAAGGGGGAGGGGGAAGCGGCCCCACCAACAAGGAAGAGAAGGCAGCCCCGCGCGCCCCGTTCGCGAATCTTCGGCGGGGCGGCCGCATGCGGACGGGGGTCGCCGCCGACCAAATGGACCGCATCGAGACCGCGTCACGTCGCACCGAGTCGCGGAAAGTACTTCTGCTTTCTCGCGATGAACCGATGCACCGCGCGCGGATTATTTTGGTCGCCTTTTTGCGCGCTTCCGTCACCGAGTACGTCATCTTGAAGGGTCACGGAGCACGGCCAGTGCCTCGCTGCAGTTGGAACTGCGCACGACGCACAGTGAGCCAGAATACCGGTGGAGGCGGCCTGAATTCTGGACGCGTTTTGAGATCCAGCGAGGCGTCTAGAGAGCTCTGGTGCCGGAACTTCGTCGGACGTGGGCCAAGGTGGCTGGGGCAAGGCTGGCAAGGCTGACCTGGCCTGCGTCAGGGCAGTCAGGGCCTCGCCGGCGTCCTGCTCCGCAGATAACCGGCCAGCAGCCCCCTTAACACTGGCCTACATTGGCGGGCAGGGCTCGCAGGGCCTCCCAGGGCCGAACGGGGACTATCATGGGCGGGGCCGGCCGGGGCGCGCGGCCGACGTGGCACCAACCCAAAAAGATGACCCGTCACACAACTTAATAATGACACGCTATCGTATCCGCCGATAGCACTCGGGCTATTGTGAAAGTGTGGGCCACGGCACGGCACGGCACGGCACGGCACGGCAGGGCCGCACCGCCGCCTGTCACCAACCGCCTCGGCCCACGTCAATCTCCTTCTCCTACGATAGTGTTCCCGACGAAAAACAAAGTAATTTCAACGGACGTGCACGGGTCGGGGTGGCCTCACCCTTGACGGGGAGGTGCTCGGCGCGGCTCGGCGGCCTCCACCACCACCACCTGCACGCCGGCCTCGGGGGCCGCGATTGGCCGTCGAGGTGTCGCACGCTGGTTGGACGCTGGGCGGGGTCAGAGGCGGCCAGATAGCGAGACAATGGCCAGCATGGCCAGCATGGCCAGCAGGGGGTTGTCGACCTTGTCCGCGAGGAGGGGCCCGGTACCCCCGGTACCCAGTACCGCCCGGGGCGTGTCTCTGCCGTGGGGAGCACCTCGTCAACATCAACAACGCCCACAGCCTCCTCGATGACATCGGCGGGGCATCCTGGGCCCAAAACATCCGGTGGGGTCCTGGGAGGGCATCTCAAGGTCATCTGCACCGCTCCTGCTGGGCATCTCAAGGTCATCGGCAGGGCTCCTGGAGGGCATCAGCGAGCATCTGCGGAGCAGCACGGTGGCCATCCGACAAACAGCTGGCCGCCCTGCCACCTTTGATACTAGCCGGAGCATCTGCAGAGCAGCACGGTGGCCATCCGACAAACAGCCAGCCGGCCGGCCACCTTTGATACTAGCCGCGGCCCACCAGGACCCAAAGTACAATAATACCAGCGATAAAACAAAAGGAAAAAGGAAGCCGGCGTTTCACAATACGAGATTAACGGCTCGCCTTTTTGCTCGGATCTGGCGGGCAAAAAAGGGCGCCCTGCTGGTACACTTTCGGCCGATATGCCGCGCCTCGAGTTGCAGTGGGAAATAACCGGTGTGACGTGCATGGCAAAAAAATAAACTGGTCAAAGAAAAAAAGTCAAAACATAAAACTTTTTAAAAAAGCAGATGGACGCGTGATGTTTATTTACACTCCTTAGTGTCATTGATCCACATCGTCGTGTTTTGAGCGGCCACCTCACGGGACGGCGAGTGCCGAAAGTGGAGTGTGGATGGCAACATGGCAACGGCTACGTCCAAGAGGGTTTCCTTCTTGTTACATAAAGGCTGGATCACCGAGCCACTGTACAGCATCGTGACATTGGCTTGTCAGCGGCAAGATGACCCATTCATTGTTTGCACGACCGCGACTCGCAGCTCCGAAAGTACTCCCGTACGCACTTCATGGTGGAGTATTAAGTTTAATCATGTGTTCATCAAATTTCTCACTTCTAAACTTTTTTTTAATTTTTTAATTTTTTTTAATGTGACGGAGTGGCCTTTAAAAAATAAAAAAATTGAGGTCGCTTATCGGCAAGGTCGTCGGAAAGCCGCGGGCAGCGTTCGGGCGAAAAGTGAGAAGAAGCGACCGCACCGGATACGCCTGACTGGAGGCCGAGCGGGCCGGGACGCGCCCCTTTGCCGCCAGCACACTGACTCCGAGAGTCGCTCCGTCTCTCCGATTCTCGGAACAAGTCTGCAGGCGAGGGAAGTCAAGTCGAAGCAGCGCGGAGCACAGGCAGCGACACTTTCTGTAAGCGACACCCACTCGGCGCGGAGCCAGGCCCGGCCAGGCCCCCGCCAACGCGGAACAGTACAGCTCAGCTCGGTAGTCGTGGGTCGGCTTGGAGGCCGCCAAGGAACACCCACCACAGGCCACCTTCAAACTGACCCGCCGCAACACAGCGGCAAGACAACAGCGGCGCCCCTTCCCCGCCACGCCCCACCCGCACACAGGGCATGGCCAGGCACGGCACCGGGGCCTTCGCCTTGTCCGAGGCACGCCGCCACGCCCGCAGCAAGTCCCCAGGGCCGTCGCCATGGCACGGCGCCTGCTGCAGCCTCATTCCAAGAGTCGTTTTCGTCGCTCCGTCTCTCTCGCCCTCGTGGGTCGTCCCCTGTGAGTGCGAGGGAGGCAGAGCGACGGAAACGACTCTCGGAATCAGTCTGCTAGTCGGCCAGCACCGTTATTTGTGCACCACGGGAGAGGCATTCAGGGCGCCGCCTCTCAATCGATGATCGTATTACCCACGCGCGCGCGGAATACGCCAAAAGCTGAAACTCGGATTCACGCAAGTGTCTCGGTCAACCTTCACTGCAGCTCGGTGCCCTTCGGGGGCGCCTCGGCCGCGGCAAGTTGCGACCGTCGCCACGCCGCCCCCGCGCTGCCGGCCGCTGCCGGCGCACGCAGCACGCCGTCGACGCGATGCCCAATCTGCGCGGGAGCCTGATCGGCAGCCTGATCGGACGCCTGATCGCGTACGCGGCTGCGCGCCCAGAGGACGATACCCCCATTCTTTCGTGACTTCATCGGCATCCCCGTGGCGGTGCACGGCGCGGGCGGGGTGGACGGCAGCGTATGGCCGCGGCGTGGCGGCGTGGCGGCGCGGCCCGCGGCGAGGCGTGCGGCGGACGGCGGGCGGACGACGGCGAGGCGTGGACGGGGTCCCTCTTACATGGCCTCATGTTGATAAACCCCTGATTGCACCTCCGCGATAACGAATGGCCTGGCCGGCCTGACCCTCATTATGCAGCATCTGCTGTCTTGGCCGGTCTTGCCCTGCCGCCGGGTCAAGGAGGGCACGGGGAGGGGAGGGGAGGGGGAAGGGAGGGGGAAGAGAGGGCCGCGGAGGCGCGCGCCGAGCTCGCCTCGCTGCACCCCGCGCCACGCGCCGCATCCCCCGCACGCCGAGTCCTGCCCTGCCGCCACCCTGGCCCGTCCGGGCGGCAGCGACGCGGCTGTGCGTCGGCCGGGCCGAACGAGGCGTGCCGTCGACGGGCTGCTGCGCGGTGCTGCACGGAGCCCCTCGGCAGGCGTGCACCTCTTCCAGCCATTCAAACCCCTTGAGGAGCGAGGAGGCACAGCCAGGCAGCGCGGACAATCGAAGCGATACATGACGTGGAGCAGGCCAAGCAGGCGATAGGCGATAACGTTCTGCTGCCCCCGTATTTACGAACGCGGAGGGAGCGGACGGCTCGAGGAGGAGGAGGAGACGGACGAGAAGGAGAACGTGGAGGGGGAGGGCGACACAAGACGGAGGAGAGGGGGAGCGGGAGGGGAGGCAGCAGGGGGACGATAAGAAGACAAATCGGAGAAGGCAGGGCAGGAATCAAAGGCGAATCAAAGCGGCGCGCAAAACCGAAACAAAGTCACAACGTCTCTACCCGCCGCCACAGCCGCACCGAAGCGCACCGGACCGAACCGAGGCACCGCCGCACCGCCGCACCCACACCAATAAAAGGAGCAGAGCGGCACGCCGCGCGCCAGGCGAACTACGGAGCAGCGGCAAATAAAAACGCAGACCCGCCGAAACGGATACGTGGAGCGAGCCGCCGCCACTTAGCGTGTCGCGATCGCACCGACAGTGCAGCGGAACCCAGCAGCAAGTGCAGCAAGAGCAGCGGCAGCCCCACCCCCGGCACGCTCACCCCGTCAACCAGTAAGTACCTCGACGACGAGCAAACCATTGGTGGGGTCGGGGTCACACGTTCGGTTCGAGTCCCATTTCGCGACCTTGGAGCTCAAAACGCGTCTAGAGTTTCGGCCGCCTCCACGGGTCTTCTGGCCGCCACGGCGGGGGGAAGTCCCAGCGCTTACCGCCGTCGGTGCCCTCCTTGAACAGCTTGGCGACGAGCGCCGTCTTGGCCAGGTAGCTGGGCTCGTCGCTCAGCTGCACGCACAGCTTGCGGAAGGCCCTGAAGTAGTCGTCCTTGCTGGGCGGCGGCGGCCGGGGCGGCGATGGCGGCGCGGCGGGCGGCGAGGGCTCCGCCTTGGCCTCCGCCTTGCCCTTCCTCTTGGCCTTCTGCTTGGGGGTGGCCGCGTCGCCGGGCTGCCGCGTCGCCTTGGGCGACGCCACTGTAACAGGGGGCAGAACAATCAGTGACGCCACAGCCATAGCCGCCACGGGGAAGGCCCACATTTTCTTTCCATTTAAATTGGAGGACGCGCGCCGGCGAGGCCGCTACTTCCGGCCCCGTTTCCGGTCCGCTGGCCCGGCCTATCAATTACAGCGCCACTCCACGCATGGCCGGTTGGTGCGCGGCAGAGCGCGGCACGGCGCGGCAAGGCGCGGCGGCAGTGACCCACAAGGCCCTATGCACGGCCACCGACTTCGTTAGTGGTGCAAACATTCTTGCCGCAATCACCATTTTAATGAAATATTTTCCGTCGGCTCGGCCGCTGTCTCGCCCACGCGATCCCCTCGAAAGGAGCTCACTCCGCGGGAGAAGGCGGCCGAGGCGGCGGCCTCCGCATCCCTACCCTTGACGCCCGTGCTGCGCAGGTACGCCACGATCTCGTCCATGTCCTCCTGCAGCAGGTCCTCCCAGCCGTCGATGTCCTCGGCGGGGTTCTCGATCTTCCTGGTGGTGGCGCGCTGCTTGGCGAAGGCCTCCCACATGCAGGCCGGGTGGAACCACGCCTTGGTCCAGCCGCCGGACGCGTTGAAGGCGTTGGCCACGTAGCGCCCGATGCGCAGCTTGTTGGGCTCCGTCGTCTCCTTGCAGCGCTTGCACTTGGCCTTCTTGGCGCGGTTGTCCTTGGGCCGGTCGGCCGCGAAGGGGCGCTCCGGCGGCGCGACGGGGCCGGGCAGCTCGTCGGACATGGCTGGCTGCTGGGGCAGGCCGCGGGCCGCCTCACTCCTGAAACAGTTCAAAAGCCGTGCCGCGTTAGCCATATCGTTTCCGTCGCTGTCTCCGTCGCACTCATGGGGCGTCCCGTGGGGACGCGAGGGAGACAGCACGGCGCGACGTCGAACCGCTCGGCAGGCGATGCGTGGGCCTGGCGCGTGCGTGCGCGCACACCAGGCCGCCGCCGTGAGGGCCTCGAAGGCGAGGACGAGCGGCGCGCCCCCCGGGACCCCTTTGTGCAATGGGCCCTCCGTGACGCGAGTACGTACTGAGGGGTGACGCCAGTGTGACGCCAGCCGTCTGCTTCCGAAGGGGCGTTTCGTCGCTCTGTCTCTCTCGCACTCATGGGGCGTCCCGTGCAGGTGCGAGAGAGACAGAGCGACGAAAACGGCTCTCGGAATCAGCCTGCAGTGTGACGCCGGTGCGGCGAGGTGAGGTAAGCGTTCGAGTGTCGCGGCTTCGGAGAAGCGTTGCCATTAGCCGAGTCGCTCCGCTTGTCTCGCTCGTCGCCCACACTGCCCACAGGGGACATATTGGCCGCCTGCCGCACTTCAGCGTCCGTCCACTCACTTCGCCCCGACTTTCAGCCACTCAAAACAAAAAATAAAAAACGCCTCAAAGATTTTAAAAAGAGTCGTCGTTTTTCCTCGTCGCTATCATTTGGCCGCGGGCCATTGTCAAGGGTTGCGTGGAAAACTCCGGGACGTTAGTCCAAGTGGCCAAGTGCCGCCTGCTTATCGGCCGAGCACTGCCGTCCGCCCGTCCGTCGAGTGGGTGACAGAGTGCCACCGGCACACTGCACTTCGGGTCCTGACCGCGGAACGGCCGCCACTGCCGCCACTGCCGCCACGCAGTCTGGCCGGCCAGGACGCGGTGCAGAGCAGCTGTCTCTCTCGCACCCCAACGGGACGCCCCACGAGTGCGAGAGAGACAGGGCGATGAGTCCGCAGTGCATCCGCAGTGCGTCCATCACGCAGGTTGCAAGTGGCGGTCGCGTGCGCGGCCACGCCGTCCACTCTTATCGACAAAGTGTCGCGCCGCGCCGCCGCGTCGTCCGTCTGACTTGACTCCCATCGCTCCCAATAGTTCAAGGCCTTTGTCCCTCATTCCAGAGCCGTGACTTGCCTAGGTTCCCCAAGGCTCCCCCAGATAATGTCCCCGCCCCGCCCCGCCCCGCCCCGCCCCGCCCCGCCGTCGGCGAATCGGGTGCGTATCGCGCGTTAATTCAGCCGAGCCGCGCAGCCGCGCCGCCGCCACGCCTAAAAGTCAATGACCAACAACAACAAATAGACAGCAGGCGGCCGGGCGGCGCGTTGCTGCTGCCCGCAACGATTCCATCTCAACTCTAGACGCGTTTTGAGCTCCAGGCCGATCGTGTGACTCCACCAATGGATTCCTCGTTCGGAGAGCAATCCATTGATGGGATCACAGGCTCGGTTCGAGTCCTGTTCAGCCACTCTGGAGCTCGAAATGCGTCTAGAGTTTTGGCCCGGCGCCTTCCTTTCCGCTAACAGTGTCCTCCGGGTGTCCGGTGACAGCGCGCCACTCCGTTCGGCGGCCTGATCCGGGCCGCCGAGCCCTCCGTCACACTCGGCGCGGCTACTCTCAGTGTAGGCGCGGCCAGGCGCGGCCCGCCCCCTCCCCCCCCACCCGCCGCGTTAAACACCAAACACCCCCGCACGGGGAAAATGCAGCCGCTATGTGCTCCCACTGGACTGATCCTGGCGAACAAAACCCGAGGTCGCGGTCGGGCCGCGTGGGCGCGCCGGGACTGACTCCGAGAGTCGTTTTCGTCGCCCTGTCGCTCTCGCACTAGCAGTGTGTTCCCTATAGGTGCGAGAGAGACAGAGCGATGGAACCGACTCCCGGAATCAGTCTGCAGGTCGGGCTTCTCGTCGGCGGTGTAAATCAGGCCCACGCCGTCACCGGGACCGTCCCGAACGCCGCCGCGGTGGTGGCAGACTCATTCCGAGAGTCGTTCCCGCCGCTCTGTCTCTCTCGCACCGACGCGAGAGAGGCAGCGAGAAAAAAAAAACGGTCTGCATTTTATTCGGTTTTTTGCGCAGCCATTGTCCACCGTGAATGAATGATTAGCAGCGTGAATGGAGCGGCAATCGAGAACAAGGCGGCCCAGAACGGGGCGGGGCGGGGCGGGGCGGGGCGGGGCGGGGCGGGGCGGGGCGGGGCGGGGCCGCGGTCCAGCAGAGGGCGACCGCTAGACCAGCAGCACCAGGCCGCGGGGAAAAAATGAGGACCTCCGGTAGAAAAAGAAAATGAAAATCGAGTGGGCGTGTGGGGCTCTTTATCTTACACTGAGTGATACGGTGATTGCAAAAGTATGTCAGTTTGGGCAAGGGCGTGGCGGGGCGGGGCGCGGACAGGCACTCGTTACACTCTGCAGTGGGGCTGTCTCTGTCTCTCTCGCACCCCATACGGCACGCCCCACGAGTGCGAGAGAGACAGCGACGGAGCAATGTTCGGAGGCAGCCCGGCTCGCACCCCTGGCGACATCCCCAGCCGGGCCTCTGCCGGGGGTGTGTGGCACACTGTAGGCGCCGCCATGGGGCTGCCTTGGTGCTGCCTCGGCCCGGCGGCGTGGGCGTGAGCGCTATGCAGTTTATTCAACGCCCAGGCCCGGCTGCTGTTGCCGCGGCCCTGCCCTGCGGTCCTGCGGGACAGGGAGGGCGCAGAGCGGCGCAGAGCGGCAGAGCGGCCGCCCCGTGGCACATCACACCGGGACTCCGGGGACACCTGCAGGCACCCTGACACACCCCGACGGCTAACACGGTCCGCGGGCCTAGCGGGCCTCCTTCCTGCCGGCCTTCTTGTCGCCGAGATTACAACAAAGTCGGAGGGGTGATGGTCCCCGCCCCGCCCCGCCCCGCCCCGGGGCACGCCGATAAGGCGCGGCGGCCGCGGTTCCGGTGCCGGTATCGCGTCAAGTGGCCCAAATTGCCCAAACCGCTCTTTAATTTTTGTTTCATCTCGTCCTCCTTTGCCTGGGCCGGGCTCGGCCGATAACGAGGACCGGGCCGCGGTGCGGCAGCACGGCGCCGTCGTGACGCGGCCGCCGAAAGGCCGCGCCGCCGCGCCGTGCCCTTCGAGGTCGTGCTTCGGTTCGGGACGCTTCGGATGCAACTGGGTCTGTCTCGTCAGCCTCGCCGGCCTCGCGCAGACGGGCTGACGTCGCCGGTCGGCCTGGCCGGATTGTCGCTGTCTCCCTCGCACCCTTACGGAGAGCCCCATGAGTGCAACAGAGACAGAGCGATGAAACGACTCTTCCGAATCGGTCAGCGCCGCGCCGCGTCATCGCCCCGTCCAAGTCCAAACGCTTTTTCGCAGTGTGCGTGTCCGGCCTTCCCGCGGGAGGCGCTGCCTTCCAAAGACACGCGCGTGCGGTGGGCAAATAGCAGCGCGGCACATATTGTGCCTCGCAGTGCCGTGTCGGGGTAACTGGCCGTCCCAGCGGAGGCGGAGCGGAGCGGGCGGAGGCAGGCTGGGGCCAAGACGATGAGTCCAGGCGGAGACCGCCCGGCCTCTCTCTCTCTCTCTCTCTCTCTCTCTCTCTCTCTCTCTCTCTCTCTCTCTCTCTCTCTCTCTCTCTCTCGTTTTCGAAGGGGTGCGAGAGAGACAGTGGGGAGAAGCGCCGTTTCGGAATCGGCTAGCAGGAGGGACACGTGCTCCGATCTGTCGGAGGCATCATGCGTTCGATTCGAGTCCATTTCAGGACGGTCCAGTTCAAATCGTGTCCCCCGGGCCTGTCTCCGGGCCTGCCACTGTGCTCCGGGCCGCCCCGCGCCAGCCTGGCTAATATATTCATTGAAGGCTCAAGCAGCAGCCACGCGGCAAGGTGCCCGTCAAGGTGCCCACCCGCGGACTGATTGCGAGAGTCGCCTTGCCGCATAGGAGCGAGAGAGACAGAGCGACGAAAGCGACTCTCGGAATCGTCTGCCGGCGAGGCGTGACGTCAGTCACAACGACTCCCTTCTGGAACGGCGGCGGGGCGTTTTGGCGTTTTGGCCCTGTAGTCTGACCGCCGGCCGGCCGGCCACGGCCACGGACGGGGAGACTTGCAGCGGGCGGCGCTGGCGCTCTGGGCCATCCGGCAAGCAGGGATGCAGACAAGGCGGCGGGCGGGGCAGGGCCGATTTGGAGGGGAGGGGGGAACATCGCGTTACACGCCACGGTAATTACCCCGGCCCCGAGAGCACCCCCCAGTTTCCCCGCAACAATGGCCCCTCATCCGGGCGGCGGGCACGAACAAACTCGGCAGACGCGGGGGGTTCGAACCCGGGGCGTCTTGACGGGCACGAAGACGGCGACGACGACGGCGTGGAGCCCAAAGCAAGGGCCGCGCACCGAGCAGTACGGGCAGCTACGTTAATTAACCAAACTGACCACGTCGCCGACCGCAAGCCCCCGCGTCCGACGACGGCGACTCCCCCGGCCTGCTTCCCCGGGTCCTTGTCGAAGGGCACAACGCGCTGCGCCTCTAAGCCCCCCGACCAGAAGGTTCTCGCGTCGCCAAAGTGGTTATCTCGGCCGCGAGCAGCCAAAGACTGCCGCGGGCGACGCGACAAGACGCACCCATTACGCAACCGCCGCGCCGTGAGAAAAGCGCTCCGAAAGTCCGAAAAGAGGCGAGGCAGTCGCTGCACGGTGGGCGAGAAGACCGCCGCCGGCGGCCAAAACACGAGACGCGTTTTGGGCTCCAGAGTTGCTAAACAGGACTCGAACCGGGCGTGTGACCCCACCAATGGATCCCTCGTTCGGCGAGCAATCCATTGGTGGGGTCACACGTTCGATTCGAGTCCCATTGAGCGACTCAGGAGCCCAAAACGCGTCCAGGAGTTTGGCCGCCTCCGCCGGTCTTCTGGCTGGCGGCCCTGGCGGCCCACGCGCTGCGTTGTCGTCCTGCCGCACCTGTTGGGCCTCGAACCGACGAACCGCCAAACCGCAGTGACGTTTGTCGGTCCGGCCACCGGCAGACCGCACAGCATTCGCGGGGAGGGGGAGGGGGGCAATATGCGGTTCACTACTTCCTGCGTCCTGCGCGATGACAGTGCCGCGCGGCGGAGGTTAGGGGTGGGGGCGCGGCGGGGCGGGGCGGGGCGGGGCGCGGTGAGGACGGCGGGCGGGCCCGTTCGGGGTGCCCACGGGAACAGGGGGTATAAAGGCGTCCGGGACCGGAGGGCCGCAGCTCTGTTGGTCTCAAGCCTCGCTGCCGGCAGCGACCCGCCCCACCGCGACCCGCGACCCGCCCAGCACAGCTCGCGGTGAGTAAAGTGATGCCGAGTGACGCTCTGGGGGTCGGGAGTGACGGGGTGCCTCCGACCCCAAGAGGCCGCCCACTTATCACCAAACGTTTTTCATAGCTCTGTCCTTGTCGCTCTTTATGCCTTGGCCAGTGGGTGCGAGAGGGACAGAGGGCGTTACGTCATTTGCGGACGAACCCTAAAGGGCTCCAAGCGGGAAGGCTCCCTTATTTGTCTGTCGACCTGCCTCGTTGGTTCCCTGTCCTCCGGATTGTTCTTAGTTCCCTTTCAATATGTCTGCGATTCGCGGCGGCTGCTCCGCCTCTCTGTCCGCCCCGCGTCACTTCGCCGTGCCAGTGGAGTGACGAGTGGCGGCATGCATCGCCCAGGTGCGCAGTGCACGAAAAGAAAAATCAGGCATCATGATGAGAGACTTGGGCTTAGCCACTAATGTGCAGCAGTAAAGTGATGGCCGTCTCGTCTCTGCCGGACTCTAGCACTCTAGGCATACTGGTCCGACCCTGCCCCGCCATTCGGCGCCTCCAGAGCGAAGTGACTCGGGGGATGAGTGGACTGGCACACGCGGAGTGCGCGGGCGGGGCGTCCCGAGGCCCCGCGAGGGGTATTGCCTCGGCATTGCCTCGGCATGGCCGTACGTATTGCCGGTATTGCTTGCTCCACCTGCGCTGCATTTACGATGGCATCAAACGGACGCCGGGTCGTACAGCCTCGCGCCGCACGCGGCAATAAAAGGAAGGAAAGGCAAAATACGGCAGGCAAATCGCGGGGAACAGAAACAGAAAACTCGCGGGCGCGGCCGGTGTTCGAACCCTGACTCAGGGGTTTCCGATCCGCCAGCCAGGCGACGACAGATCAGATATCGCGCCACGCGGGGTCTGTCGGTGGCCCAGTGTCCCAGGGGCGGCGCGGCGGAGCGGGGCGGAAGGGGGGCGGAAGGGGGCGTGGGCGTCTTGAAGCGACGGGCGGTCGTCTCTCCGCACGGCCGTTTTTAAAAAGGGGGCTGTGTTTCGGGGAGTACACCAAATGAGGCGGACGCCCTATGGGGGCGCGTGGGGCGCGGCGACACGCTCGCTATTCATGCGTTGCCGTCCTCTTTATATTCGGACAGCGCTGCCCTTAGCGTCGCCTGCGTGCCACCGCCGCCCAGACCCCCAAAGGGGCCCCGCATGGCCCCGCCTGGGCCTGCCAGGCGCAGCGCGGCGGCGCGCAGCCCCGGGACGAGTGGGCGACGCGGCACCTGTTGACCACCACCGCCGCCGCCTGGGCCTCCTTGGAGGCGACGCAAGGCGCGGCGGCCACCCGACACCGCCACGGGGCGCCACGGGGCGACGCCAAAAGACGTTGTTTCGTCGCGCCGGGCCGAGTCGGGGCAGAGCGCATCCGGTACCTTGGTCCGCCTTCGCCTTTTGGCCTTTGGCTTTCGGCCTGGCGCGGAGGCGACTCGGGTTTCACAAGGCGCGGCCATGATTGGCGCCGCCACGATGGGCGCCCCGAGGACGCCGAGGAGGCCGTCGAGGCCGTCCCGCACCGCGGTGCAGCCTGGAGGTCACGCCCCCACTGTGTGTCCCTTCGGCACTCCCTTCGAACGTCACGTGACGCGAGGCAAATAAGATGAACGGGTCGATAGGACGGCCGGCCTGTCCGGCGTGTCCTGTCGGTCCGGCCCATTGGTCGGGGCGCGGTGGTGGGGGAGTGGCGTGAGCAGGCGTGAGCTGGCGTGAGCACCGCCACCTTCGGCCCGCGACGCGACGCGACACGCACAGGTCGCACCGCACGCGAACCTCGGCGAACCCGGACAACAATGGCGGCCGAGACGGCGCCAGCAAGCCAAGCCTTGGCCGGCATGGCCGCCATGACGGCGTGCTCATTGGCCGCGGGGCGGCGGGGGCGTGGCCGGCCGGGCACGGCGACGTCACGCGTGTGTGCGAGTGTGCGAGAGAGACACAGCGCAGAGTGGAAACAGGCAGCAGTCAGGGGCGGCGTAGGCAACCAGTGCGCCGGGGCGCGCGGCCGTGCGCCGGGTTGCCTACCCCGGGTTCCGCGGGCGCTCCGGCTCTCGGCTCGCCTCGGCCGGGGCCGGGAGTCCGCTCCGCTTCGCACTTGACAGGCCGCCGTCACTGTCACCGGCCGCGGCTGCGTCCGCCCGTCGGCTAGCCGTCGGCCTGTCAGCAGGCTGTACTTTTTGATGGAAAGGTCTCCGCCGGCCCGGTCGGTGGTTCGAGCCTCGAGGACGCTAAACGGCAGTGTATGGGCTGGCCGACGACGCCGACGACGCTCCAGCGTCCTGCCCGTCAGCTGCCTTGGGACTGACTTGGGCGAGCCGCGAGTCGTCCAGTTGGGGCACTGCTGCGACACGGCAGGCACGGCCCCGCAGCGTGGAGCCCAGCAGACCGATCCCGAGAGTCGTTTTCGTCGCTCTGTCTCTCTCGCACTCATGGGGCGTCCCATGGAGGGGCGACAGAGACAGAGCAGCGCCAACGACTCTCGGAATCGGTCTGCTGAGGAGCGCGGTGCGCGCCACACCGTGTATACGTTGCATCGGGCACAGCGCGAGCGTGTCTGCGCGAGTGAATAGAGAGTGAACTCAGAGCCGAGCGCCGAGTCCGCAGAGACCTAGGTCAGCGGTTCTACCTTTCTCGGCTCGCGACCCCAAATTTAAAGCCAAAAATTTCCGCGACCCCCAGGAAAAATTTCGCGACCCCACGGGACCCCTCCTTTAACATGCCACGGCGTCTGATCCGAGGCGGGCATTTTGCTCCCTCAACGGGCAACTGGTCTTTGGACCTTCCTTTAGCATGCCTTTGTTACGGAGTGCAATTATCAGTCTTAGTTTGGGAGCAGTATTGTCTCAAAGTTGGCCAAAACGCTCAGAAATGTCTTTGAAAAATCGTGTTTTGGGCCGATTTTAAGCAGCCACTGCGTCTGATCCGAGGCGGGCATTTTGCTCCCTCAACGGGCAGTTGGTCTTTGGACCTTCCTTTAGCATGCCTTTGTTACGGAGTGCAATTATCAGTCTTAGTTTGAGAGCAGTATTGTCTCAAAGTTGGCCGAAACGCTCAGAAATGTCTATGAAAAATCGTGTTTTGGGCCGATTTTAAGCAGCCACTGCGTCTGATCCGAGGCGGGCATTTTGCTCCCTCAACGGGCAATTGGTCTTTGGACCTTCCTTTAGCATGCCTTTGTTACGGAGTGCGATTATCAGTCTTAGTTTGGGAGCAGTATTGTCTCAAAGTTGACCAAAATAGTCACAACGATTTTTCAAAGACACTTGCGACCGTTTTGATCGACTTTGAGACAATACTGCTCCCAAACTAAGACTGACAATCGCACTCCGTAACAAAGGCATGCTAAAGGAAGGTCCAAAGACCAATTGCCCGTTGAGGGAGCAAAATGCCCGCCTCGGATCAGACGCAGTGGCTGCTTAAAATCGGCCCAAAACACGATTTTTCATAGACATTTCTGAGCGTTTCGGCCAACTTTGAGACAATACTGCTCCCAAACTAAGACTGATAATTGCACTCCGTAACAAAGGCATGCTAAAGGAAGGTCCAAAGACCGATTGCCCGTTGAGGGAGCAAAATGCCCGCCTCGGATCAGACGCAGTGGCTGCTTAAAATCGGCCAAAACACGATTTTTCAAAGACATTTCTGAGCGTTTTGGCCAACTTTGAGACAATACTGCTCCCAAACTAAGATGATAATTGCACTCCGTAACAAGGCATGCTAAAGGAAGGTCCAAGCGTTGCCCGTTGAGGGAGCAAAATGCCCGCCTCGGATCAGACGCAGTGGCTGCTTAAAATCGGCACAGCCCCAGCATGCCGCGACTAAAGAATTTCGAGCTTGGGTCCGACCCAAGTTGCAGAAATGACCTAGGTAGTCAAGGGAGGCGGTCAGCGGAGTGCCGTCTGTCGTCGGCATCCCGGGCGGCCACGTCAGGTTAGGAGAGTCGGCCTGGCACGCAGTGCACGCAGTGCACGCAGTCAACGGAGACACTACAGCGTCCCGCTTTCGTCTGTTGCAGGCATGGCTCCCATCGTCTTGTGGACCGCAGTGCTCGCGGCGTTCTGCAGCCTCGGCGTCTCCGCCATGCCGATGCTGACCGAGGTAAGAGGCCTGACAGGCTCACACATCGGGCCCAAAAACAACAACAACGCCGGCCGCCACTGACCCAGCCTCTCTCCTTGCAGCAGCCCAGCGAGCGACTGGCCATCCCGCCGTCCGTGCTGGAGTGGTACCTGCAGCAGCGCGACCTGCAGCAGCGCGACCGCGACCTGCAGTACCGCGACGACCGCGAGGGCCGGGACGCGGACGGCCAGCCCATCGGGCAGCCCGGCCAGCTGCAGCCCAGCGAGCTCCACCAGTTCAAGCAGTGGCTCGACACGCAGCTGGCGCGCCTCCCCGTCGCCCCCGAGGCCGAGGAGCCCAACAAGGCCCTGGTCGTGCCGCAGCAACCCAAGCGAGGCAACTGTAAGTACCATACGTCTCGGCCCACCACACACTCATTCCGCAGTGTTCGTCGCTGTCTTTCTCTCTCTATTTCTTGCGCGCATAAATGGAACGCCCCACGAGTGCGAGAGAGACAGCGACGAAACTGTTTCGGAATCCTCGCCGCCGTGATCGCCCTCCTAACCGACCCTGTGTTGTTGCAGACATGGCGCTGTGTCACTTCAAGATCTGCAACATGGGACGCAAGCGAAGCCCCAGAATCCAGCCCCAGGATCTGCCATAAACGCCAACACATGATGGCCTCCGGCGCCACCTCCGCGCGCAGCACCGCGCAGCCTCGCGCATTCTAGCCCTCCCCTTCCAGGGCATCGCGGCCGGCACCAGCGCGGCACCAGTGCGGCACCAGCCCACGCCTCGGCGCGAGAACTCGTGCCCCGCCTGGCCCCGCCTGGCCCCGCCGGCTCACCGAGTCACCTCAGTCGGCAGCACCAACCAGTGCACCCGTTCGCCCCTTATATATGTTACCATTTACGTTTATTTTCGTCCCCCTTGGTCGTATCAAAGTTAGACAGCTTTGTATTTATTAGCAGCATTAGCGTTCGCATTTTCATTTCGTACATCGCCACATCGCCTCACGCCGTGCCGCACGCGCCGCGCACGCCCGCGCACGCCCCGCCACCACCACCACGCCACGGCACCCTCTCCGCGACAGGCGCCAAGCACGGTCTCACTTTTCAAAGGGGTCTGATAACGTTTAATTTATATAGTTTTACCTTCGTATCTACTACACTATATGTACAATAATTAATTTTCTAATGACAGACTGCTATGGTAATGCATAAATATTCGTAGTTTTAAGGAAGTGCTTCAGTAGGCAATAGTGTACCAAGTCATTCAAAATACAACACAAAAAATACAAAAAAAAAAAATTAGATCAGGGAGGAATAGAAGCCTAGAAAACCTCTGGTACATTCAAGATGAAGTAATGTTTATTTATGCATGGTAAAAATGCAGTAAATAGTATTAAAAGTGAGATGTAATTTGAGGATTGCCCACACTCAAGAATGTTGTAATATAAAATCGAAGAGAAATGCTTGAAAACTCTTATGTTCCTTTTCAAATGGTATTTTCAAATAGTATTAATTTAGGAATACATAAAATTGTACCCCAATCCTCCCATCTGAATATAAATTTTCATCTGGAAATAGTTAATAGTCCACAGATCTCTCTCTTTCCCTCGTGTACCTTCTCTCAATCACCTCGCCCAGTGCCTCACATTCATTTCCCTCTTCAATAGTTTGATTCATGGTGTTGCAAATAAAAAGCAAATGAAATTGTGCAGGGATAGTGCTCAGAATAGAATGAAAAATATATTTTACGCTTCGTTTCATGCATTATTAGCTTTTAATTTAGATTTCTAATTGTTTGAATCCAAACCTGTTTGTTTTATTTGAAAATCATCATCATTTCACCAATACATCGGTCAATATAATTTTAGTTTGCTTAAGGCATAAATATGTTGCATACTACCATTGTACATTGTAAAAATAAAATTTTGTTTCTATTATGAACAATCATTCTTATCCCAATTTGTTCAAATGACAACCCGAGTTAGAGGAAGAACCAAGATCAACACTCCATCCAGCATTGAGGCCAAAGCCTGGATTTGCATATACCTGATATATATAAGAGAGAATGATTGTTCAAGCTTGCCGAAGATTTTCCGAGAGTCAAAGAAAAATGTATAAAATGCACTGTAAGATGCAGTTTCTGGTCAAAAGAAGACTGAACGAGCCCTTCCTCTTTTTAGAGACCGAAATAGTGCAAGAGAAGACATAATGCTTGCAAAGAAAAACATACATTGATGAAATGGCAAAAGAAAACTATGTAAAACTAAACCTCATAGAGAAAATAAACTAGTTCTGCGCAATGTCTCAACTCACTTTAAGGTTAGGCCATGAAATGATAGACAATAGGCCACAGAAGGATAGAATATGAATGACAGTCATAAAAACGCGTACCTTTAGAAAAGGCGCCCTTGAAGTCTCGAAAATTGCGTCTCGCTGAGTTACTTTGTGCTGTTGGGGGCACGTTTCAACCCCAACTTTGAACTTAAGGCGAAATTTCAAAGATGGTTTGAAATTGGCGGCAGCGACTTCCGGCCGGGTTGCACGCAGATATACACAGTGGCGCCACAACCTCAGTGATACCCCCACGTCATGCATGATTCCTTCTGTCGATAACTTAATAACCCCCGTAAATTTGAAGATTTACGATGAGAGGATTTTCATCATTTTGCTATTGATGACGTAGCCGTATAATCCTGAAACGCTCATTAAGATCTTTCTTTTTATTTTTCTTGTTGGCAACGTTCCGCGCGGTCACTTGGCAAAGGCGGTGTGCAACGCCAACCTCACGAATTTTCAATTTTCTATGTGGCGTTCAGGACTTTCATTTACTTTCTACCTAAACTGTGCAAGGATGTCGTAGAAACGAATAGAGGCTTCTGAATTTGAAAAGGAATCATCCAAAAAAATTGTTGGTTAGCTTAACATAGTCGGCAACATTGTGTCCGGTATGTTGGTTATGACGTGGCCGTCGTCTGTTGTTGACGTTTATTATTGTTATTATTTATTTACTTTGCCTTGCCAGCATCACGAAGTGTACGACAGCGTGTCACTTGAGTGTGTGGCACTTGTATGCGACTTGTGTGGCACTTGCAGGCGTTAAGGGAATTCCAAGCGTTGAAGCCGAGTTCACAGCGCACGCAACAATGGTGGATTTATCCGACGGGCCGATCCAACACGGCTTTAGCAACAGTGTCTTCATCGTCCCGGCAATAGTTGTCGTTGGTCTGTCAGGTGGGTACGGTACCAATACCGGCTTGGCTTTTATTGAAGATAGCATGCGTGAAAGCTGTTAGGAGGGCTGCACGCTGAATATCCTACCATAGGGATTCGGGTGCAGCTTTCATCTACTCACAGGTAATTCCTATGTCCGAAGCCTACCACCTATCCTTTTATTTAAAATCAAAATAAAAAAGAGTTTATTTTTTCACGAATTTCTTAGAAATTATTGTTGAAAGCCTGGTAGCAAGCTCACATTTATTCTTTTCTTGTATTTGGTCAGGATCATTTAGTCCATGCTCATTCATACTACATGCTTCACCTGATTTGTTCCTTCATATTTTGTGGTTTGTGGGTGACAGTTGCTCCTTTCCTTGGTTTCAATGCTTATTTCTTACCAGTTCCCGTGCATTTCTTTGGGTTCTACTGGTGGCATCAATCTGCAGGCCTATCTAGATGGTTGCTGATAAAGCGCTGACTGGTATGATGAGTTGTCTGCTGAGTCCGCCCTTATCTCTAACGTGGCAGGCAGTGGCCGTGCAGTCTTGATGTGTGTCCAGTCAGAGCCAGTGCCTGGTTGGCTGCTACCTCATTTGCATCCGTGGCAGTAGTTACTTCTGTGAAAATGAGTGAAATTCGTGTTAGCCATGGTGATACCCAAGACCAACTTGATGGTTTGGGAGAAATAGCCGATGGTGTAGAGCTTCCCAAGGATTTTATTGGAGCTGATGGTGGTTTTGAAGGACCATCTGTGGAAAAAATTTTGGAAGCTCTTGAAGGAATGCAAGGCTTGTCTCTGGAAGATAAAGAAGCTTTAAAGTCGCAACTCCTCCAACAAAGACTTCGCAGCTTTGAGGAAGGAATGGAACATCCCTGGGAAATTCCTGCCGGGTCTTTTCTTGCCAATCAAAGTTTTGTCCTCTTCTCTTTGCTGACTATCATTGCTTTGATTTTTGGTGAGTTTTATCTTCCCTGTCCATCATAAGCCCCTCTCCGTACCCCTTTCCATCATGAGCAACTGCTTATCCATCCTTATTGAAACCTTATTTTTAATTTTGTTTTTGAAATTCTCTAGCCATGTTTAAGTTTACTCTTACATACTCATTGATTATTTTTTCTTTTTTTTGTAACAGTCTGTGTGTGGCTTAAAGATTGTGTCCTTCTCTGTTTGACAGTATTCTTTGGACTGAAGCTGTATCGCAGCCTGGTAGAAAAGGAGCGCAAACGAGAAGAAAAGAGAAAGCTGAAGATGCAGAAGAAGAGGAAGTAGTCACTCTTGAGTATAGTCCTTTTCAGGTTCCTATTTAATTTCTCATTCCGTTCCAAATGCATTCCTAAGGTCAAACAAATTTATTTACTCTGTGGCACTTCTTCATCTTAGAAAAGGGAGAGACATGAGCAATTCAGAAGTCTGATTTTGAAGTGTCCACTGACTGGTTATCAATGGAGGTCTGGATAGAGATTAAGTTATCAGTACCAATAAGCTCAAAGCAAAATGTTCATTGCTGTTCTGAAAAGGAGGGTTGCCATTGTATGAGTCAAAAAGCTGCAGGGAATTATTTTCCTCCTAAATTGAGTGATTATCGTGACAATTTCCCACAGACAAGTTCTAGATGTACTTAATATTTAGAGAATAATAGTTTTTGTCATGTTCTTCAGGTAATGATGCAGAAGCAGTATTTGTGTGGATTGCATAAAAAGAAAAGCTAGGCACCTGCCTCTTATGTCAATTTTATAATTCAATATCTGCTGCTTGCTTGGAATGTTTTCCATTCATTATGTGTTTACTACTTTTGATATGCTTCCAATCTTCTCCCACATTCCACTTTATGCTGAAACTCAAATTTTGTGTCTCTTTTGAAGTTCAACACTATTGGTAATTTAATCATATGTTATTTTGTATGTATCGTTATCGACTGTTGACAGTTTATATTTATATGTTATGTTGGTGATTTTTGTTTTTCTATTTTAAGACAAGTTACAAAACCGTGGATTAAGAATAGAAAGATCAGAGTTTGCAGTTGTCTTAAATTGGGTGTGAACTTAGATATTTTCTCTCAGTAGGTACTTTGATTTTGATTCGGGTTTGGGTTACATTCTTGTGTTTTCTTTCTCCACAAGTAAGAATTCTCTACCTTATGTGTACAAAGGTCATTGACCCTTACCTACTTTCTTAGCAACAGTCAAAATTGTGTTGGGTTGTCAGCAGAGTTCTCAAAAAAGATGTTAATTAAACTGGAACTGCACCCTGTTGATGAATAAAGATATAGGTAAAACTGAGTTCCTCACAATTTATTACCAGAAAATCCAAAGAATCTTGTTTAAACAAGGGAAACAGGATTAATGTGAAAACACTGAGTAAGATGAGAACATTGTATTTAAAATGTTACTACCTTATGCAACTACAAAGATTTTAAAAAATCGTACTTTACATCTAGTAGATGGGTCTAATTTCCCTTCACAAGCAACAACCAAACATATAATAATTTGTTTCAGATTTGATTGCTCAAAACAGTAAAAAGAAAAAAAAACATGTCACTTGACATTTTAGTTGAATATTATGGTCAATATACAAGAGATGTGGTAAAATGAGCAAATTAAGGTCAGTCTAAATGTACGTGCCTGGTTCATTGAGAGCTGTCATAATAGCAGAAAAATCAATTCAAGCAACAAACCTTCAGACTCAAAAGGTTGAAAACATAAAAACAAAATTTTACTTCCAGTAAGGGTACTGTGCACAATGAGAGAAAATGGTATGTGACCAGCTGAATCTGACAGTATCACACAGATGGGTTCTTGACGCTTAAATTATATGTAGGGTTTGCTGTTGTCCATAATCTCTGCCAGATTGAAGAGGAAAATAGTAAAAGAACTACATTTCATTTTACTAAGCCAGTCTGATGAATTTGATCACAAGGCCACAAAAAGTGAATGCTGAAATTATCAAACATCAAAACAGAGAACGGATGCTTAAAACTTTGCTTAAAATAACAAGTAATCCAAACGTTTAAGAACGTTTCAAAATAACAATGAATGCAACAGATGATATAATAAAAATATGTAAGCAAAACAGGCAAACTGCTTAACGAATTTCATCATAACCATATGTAGCTTCGCAATAAAATAAATTTAAAATAAAGTGAAACAAACAGCACTAAGATGACAGTGATTACTGACTTTAACTGAAAGAATATATTTAACATGCCAACTGCTAGAGCTGACCTGTGTCTTTCTGATCAAAGCCACACTCACAACGCAAAGAAACCTGCCTAATTAGGAAGAGTTGATGGGGCTAGTAAAATAATAACAGAAATAGAAATACTAAAAAATTGGAAAGAAGACATAGTTAAGAAATACAAGTATGCCTGCACTTTATAATGGGAGTCAATATTAGCAGGACTTGCCTGCTAATACGGGCCCCTTCAAATACAAAGTATAAAAAGATTGCCAGCCAATAAATATGGCATAATACGGTATGATACTTTGTAGAGACTCTTAAATGAGTTATTCCACTACAATTTGCCATAAAATCAAAAATATAACTGCTATGGGTATGTGAGGAGAGGTGCTTACAATAGGTAACATCTATATAACTTGTAGACAACAAAATCATTAAAAAGAACATCATTAACACACAAACAACCATAAGAATTATGTAATTAAAAAAATAGGAGTAAGCCAGAAATATTCAGCTTAGCTGAATATATGCTCATCCATAGTAACTTTCCTAAAAAAGGAAATACATTAAAATTTCTCAAAAAGAAAGCAAGTGACAGAGCCACATTTCTACAAAAATCAATGGCTCCATGTGTTACAGAAGGAATATTTTAATGTGTCACACATCAGAATGGTCGTTGAAACTAGCATTTCTAAGAAAAAATGAAAAAAGAAACTCCAAATAAAATTACCATATTTACTTGATGTCCTTTGGTGCTATTACCTAACTTGTAGGTATTCATTCTACCACTACATTACAGACATAACTGTGAGTGAAAACATGTAAATGAATGAAAGTGGCAATGCAAGTTAAACCTCACACATGTTCATTCACAACATTATTTTACATTCATACAAGTGGAAACATTATCCTGCCATGTCAATACAAAGCCTGACCTTGCAAACAAGACTGTGAGTCAACTTGTGAGTCCATTGCATAGCAGATGCACCTGCTTTTTGATACTCAAATGTTATAATTGTTCTGCAACACACCAGACATAAAATTAACAACAGTGACTTGTATGTGTATGTAGAAGGAACTTCACTTTCAACCAAGCTCCTGAGGTGACATTCCACACTCTACAACAGCAGAGTGATGAATGCCTCTGCTATTTTACTGAGGACCTATCAATGTCCTTACAATAAAAAAAGAAAGAAAAATCTCTTCTCTTAAAAAGTCCTCAAACTTATCTCCAATCTTAACTTAGGCAAAATTTAATGAATGAAAAAACCCAACACTTTAGAGGGTCAGCTTGCAAGACATCTCACATCTAACCAGTCTCACAAAATCTCTTACTTAGGATAAGAAAATTCTATACTTTTATAACTCACAGCCATCTTGAATTTAGAGGGGAAAATCTAGGAAGGTTACAATATAATTTTAGGATTGGCAGATACCATGACAAAAAGAAAAACCTGAGGTGATAAAAGAGATAGAGAGAGATAAGCATTGAAAATTTGTCACTCCTCACATTAAACACTTAGTAACTTCTTAGACATAGATAGAAAACTTTGAAGTCAAAGTTGTAAAATATTAAAGACCTCAATTAACATTCAGGAGAGACAGGGCAGGAAATTTGGCAGCAAGTTGAGGAAACACACTCAGGAAAACAAAAGAAAGAGAAATAGAAGTTAAATTTAGAACAAAATAGGAAGTTCAAGGTGATAATCGTTGCCAGGCAAAAATCAGAAAATGTTAAGAAGTTCCCTTCTCTCCTGACATGGTCTGGGTAAACACTAAATATCCATGATTTTAAATCAATTCTGTTTTAAAATCATCCAATGCAGAGTTCTTCACAAAGTCATACATTCAAATTGCTCTGTATTGCCAACAGGCATAGTACAGGCTAGTATATCGCACGGCTGAGAGGCAGGTTACAAAACCTGTTGAAGGGGTTCAACCATTGGTTAAAAGGCCAATAAATTTAAGATCAAATATTATCATAAGATACTTCAATTTCTCACCTGTCCACATTACGACATTGAACTGCAGGGTAAACGAGGTGAGCCCATCTGAGTGAGTACTCGGTCAAGCCACTGAAGAGGTCCATTAAGATGCAACTCTATCCAGCAAGGAGTGGAAGTCACAGTTTGTCGTCTATGGGAGCAATAAAAAACAGTAAAGCAGGTATATTGAGATGAGTGTAGCCCAATGGGATGCTTCATCAAAACATATTTGAGTTTCATTACCTGTATTCTGAGCCCCAGCCTTTGACAAAGCTCATGCGAATTGTGCACATCCGAGTTAACTGATAAACAGCTTCAAATCCTTGAGAAACTGACTGTGACAACAAGGCAGCAAATTCTTGATTGTTAAAAATTTTAAGGTTGCAACCTGTAATAAAGAATTTACACAATATAATTTAATTACTTCTTTTAAATGCATTAAGTACACAAAGATAGGTCATAAAATTTACCTGGTGGAATTTTGCAAACTGTAGCAGGGTGCCACCCATAGCGCTGGTTGCAATTTGGAGACTGAACAAAGATGCTTGAATCACTCAAGCATTCAGCAAATACTTCACCTCCAATGTAGTAGAGCCTAACACCTTTACCAATATGGCGGCGTGTTTGCTCAACAACACTATTGCGGTTGACATTTGACAACAAACCCAAACAAAAGCGTTCTGAATTGCTGGGATCTGAGAACAAAAATTAGACATATGATTTAGCCAATAATTATAAACAACAAAGATCATAGAAGTTTTAATAAATCCAACCTGTGAAGCCATCAACTGTCACAGAAGGTTGAGAAGCATGGAAAGTTTCTCCTACACGAGTGTTCAGCTCATAGTATCCAATCGAACACCAGAATGCAGGTTCACAATACATCACAGGTTGAGAGTCCACTGGAGGGCTGAGTCGAGACAAGCCTGAAACATTCAATAACATAAAAATGATGTTAGCCGAACACTAACAGAATTACCCTCAGCTTGGGTACAAGTCAATTAAAAGATTCCTTTCTCCTGATAATAAATTAGAATGAAAATGAATATATTACAATTGAATGCAAAGATATTCGGCCAAAAGGTACTGATTAGTTGTACTCACTCATATTGTCATTATGGTCCATATTGTCGCCATCCTCACTCATATACCCCGGAGGAGGGGTCTCCGTGGTGGGCAAAGGTCTGGACTCCAGGTTGTTTGAAGGTGGGCCCGTCAAAGGGCTGAACTGTGACTGTGTCGACAATGGAGATAGCGGTGATTCTGGTAAGATAGAAGACTGCCCTAAACCAATTGGAAATGATGTATTTTCAGGGACTGATGAACTCAAATCTTCACACTGAATTGTAGTTGGAGGATATGGAGAGTAATCGTCTGATATTGGCTGCCGAGGCACCAAAATTGCAGGTAAAGCTGAAATAAAAGGAAAAGTTAAGGGAAATTTTATTTACAATATTGATTGAAACAAATTTTTAAAAATAACAGAAAATGCACCCTTACCAGGACTCTCAATGCGTTGGTAGTGATATGGGTTCACACACACGTCGTCTCTTTTTAAACTGAATGCAAATTGACAGGTATCAATAGCTCGTAGTTCGTGATGAGACTGAAGATCAGGCCAACGCCACAGACGACAGTAAATCACGTGTGGGAGGCCTTTACGATGAGGCTGAAGCCGACTAGAGAAAAGAAAAACAGCAAGAAAATTTGAAATTAACATTAACGTTTGGTCATAACAGGTATTTAATCCAATGCAAATATAACAGTATGTACCTTGTGCTGGCGTCTCCTGGGCGATCAGCACGAAAACTGTTAAGCAAACACAATAATTAGTAAATAAGAGTAAATATAAAGCCTTCAAGAGTGTTATATATTGAATTTTTGACAAAACATCAATCGATGCAACAGTATACTGAATGCATGTTTTCTTGCTGCCAGTAAACTTCAAAGGCCGAACCAGGGCAACTTGAGGCTCCGAACGATTTAACTCAAGCGACTGGGGTCAGAACAAACATGATTCAAATTGCCCCCCTTCAGGTTAGACCCGGGGGTCTGGGGTCCCAAACCAAGCAGCCCCCAACCCCGCGAGCCCCCTAGGCCGAGAGGCGAGCCCGAGCCTACCAGCCGCCCTGCCCTGCCGGCAAAACATACTATCAGCGTACCTGGGGAAAAGGATGCACTTGGTGGCGGGATCCTGGCTGCTTATTGCTTTCTCAAGCTCTTCCAAGCCGCCCCCTTTCTTGAGCTTTTTTACCAGACTCTTTACGGCCTTTTCACTATAGTGATCCTCGCCTTCGCCTTTCTTCCAGCCCAATAGCCGTTTCACAACTGGGGGAGTGAAGGGGAGCATAGACGTCATATCTACATTGATTGTGCATCCAAGTGGTAATGCGAGGCGATTCACGTCCAGTTCCAGCACGTAGCATTAGTTAAAGATCAAAACATCCCCCGATGCAAAATAACAACAGGCACACAACACTAGACGACACTTCCGATGTCCGACATGTTGGCTCCGATGCTGAAAACTGAAGCTGAAGCTGAAGACAGATGAATGAGAGGTTTCCGCCTCTCAAAATAGTCCCACAGTAAATGGTCAAAAACTTATTGGATCTGTTCCAAAACATCTGTAAGGAGGGTATTATTCCCAATAGTTTCACTAGATTAACGGCTTGGCATGCAATGTTACTTGCTTCAGCGGCCGTTTATTTAAAATGCGAGAAGGACTCGAGTTTAAAACAAAGAAACGAAGAAACGTTTCGGCAAGGTACCCACACATGTATTCATCCGCTGTATTTGTTTGTATGTGGTGGGTGGTTAGAGGGACTTGTGAAAATGAATTACTTAACATTCGGTAAAGACTATTTCCCTCCGTCTCTGTAAGTCTATAAGTCCGAATTTCTTAGAGGAAGTAGGCCATATTTTTCGCCGCAACCATCTGTTAAAACGTTTTTGGACCGGATCCGTCTGCTGCAAGTTGCGTCGTCGCTAACCATGGTCTGCTTTTTGAAACCGGTACATGGTTCGTAATGTTCTACGTTTGTTTTAGTCATGCTTTAGCTTATTTATCATTATACGTTCCTTCATTGTGTTTGTTCCAGATTTTGTATCGAACCTCGACTACTGAATTGTCACGACTAACGTATCACTTAATGTGAATCTATGAGGTTATGCTTCTCTCGAACAAGATGGAAAATAAATCAGGAGGCACGCTCGTGAGGAAAAAGCGGAGCTATGGAAAACTCTCCTTGGATCAAAAGATCCAAATCATTCGAGCAGCAGAGATGGGCTACTCTCAACGAACTCTTGCATCACAGTACAATTGTGGAAAGACGCAGATCCATTTACTCGTAACTCAAAAGGATCTGTGGCTCTCTAAATGGGAGCGTTCTCGAAAAGGGGGTAATTGGTCCAAAATACATGAAACAGTATCTACTTCCGAAATCAACAGTTTAGTGTGGGACTTTTACAAAAAAGCCAGCACTCATGACATAGATGTTTCAGTGAACATGTTGCTGGAAAGAGCAAAGCAAGTGGCAAATTCCCTCAACGTTCACAATTTTGAGGCAGATTACGAGTGGCTACTAAAGTTCAAAGCACAATTTAATGTAGATTTACCTCTTTCATACGATTGTGATAGCTCATCCGGCACTCCTGGTGAATCAGCAAACCCTCTGCTGAGTGGCTTTAAGAAGAGTGACGTATTTCATCTTGGCATTACAGAACTTTACCATCGGACTTTACCTTGTATAGGGCAAAAAAGTCAGGATCACATTACTGTGTGCTTTTGTGTCAGTGCATCTGGAGAGAAAGAAATTATTGGTCTTGTGTTCAGCGAGAATGCATGTGTTGAAGGAGAGCTTTGGAATGTCAATGTCCCTTGCTTTTCAAGTCCAATGGGCCAAGCAACACTTGAAGTTTATCATCACTCTCTCAATGTCCTTAACCAGAAGATGGGTCAGTCAGATAGAAAAATCCTCCTGTATGTCGATGACAGCCAATTTCCTGCTGAAATAGAACGGGACATGTCCAATATTGAGATTCGAACATGGCCCTGGATGTTCAACATCCAGGAAATCATCAACAACTATCGATTACTGTACTGCCAGAGACTCATGTCATCACTTGCAGCCTCTAGTCTTAATCATTGGAACAGACTGGGTCTTAAAGTTAAAAATTTGCCTATGTCTAAAGTTATGAAGTTGGTACAATCAGCATGGAAGGATGTATCATCCAGATTAATTGAACTCAGTTTCCAGTGCAACACTGTTTTTACCGATCGTGATTCACAATGCCAAGCAATAAACAATAAATTATTAGAAGAGATCCAAAAGTTGGTGCTGGTGTTAAAGAGTTCAAAGGAAAATGTAACTAGTCCCATTTTGGAAGTATCCAAAATTGAAGAAATGTTGAGTCAAGATTCCATTGATGAAAACAGCAAAGACTTCACCCATGCTGACGAGGGAGAAGAAAGTGACAGTGTCCCATTTGACCAACAGGATACAGTGTGCGCCTTGAATGGAGCGCTCTCATTGATGAGCAAAACTGAAGTGCTTCCTACATTGTCAAGATTAGAATTATTCCTTGAATCAATGACAGAGTCCCCAGCAAGACAAAACGCTTTGGACCTGTTAGACAAATTAGAAAGAGCAGTGCAAGATTTATTGATTACTGACAAAGCTGGCTCTACTGAAGATGGTGAAGGAACTTCCATGTAGTAGAATTGTGTTCATTACGATCCTTACTTTGTTGATGATCCAAAATAAACTTGTTTGATGAAAGGGGTAGTTAGTGCATCAATTTTTTTTAATGTGTGGCACGTAACACCTGTCATTGTCATGTGGTACTGAAAGATTGTCAAGGGTTACTCCTGGGTGCTCTGGTGAGAAACAGCTGCGGAGTAGGGCCAATGCTTTCCTTTAATTATCCAATTTTTTAAGGATATTAAAGTAATGATTTTCCAAAAAAAAAAAATTTCATGTTATTCTTTGTTGTAGTTTTTTAGAAAGATACAAGTGTGAAAAGGTACATGCAACCACTTTGAAATAACAAAGACAAAAAGACCACACTAGAGGTAATGACCTTTATTAAAGGTTTTGATATTATTGAAACAAATAGGTGTGTACTGAACTAGTTCCTAACATAATCTGTAACAGAAGACAGCAATTAAGACAATTCATTCCAGTGCAAATGCTTCAGATAATTTTAACAAAACTTACTGCTTATGGCATCTCTCCCTGCATGTTGTAAAGGTTCTTGGAAGGATCCTTGGAGGGAACACTCCAGAAGAAGCCCAGGTCTCTGAGGCGTTCGAATTCTTTCTCAGCATTGAAGGTGCTGCCAACAAATAAGGTGACATATCATAACTGCAACAACACAATGGACCTGACAGCAGGCATACTTACGCATAGAACTCCTCTCTCCTGTTGCGGTGCTTAACAAGGATGCCGAAATAAAAGCCAACTCCAACGACAGCGGAGGCAATAGCCGCCTGAATGAAGGTCTGGTTCAGGTAGTTCTGAAAGTGGCCACGGAGCTGTGGCTTCGCCAGTTTGGTGACTGCAGACGACATCTGAGAAGAAGCACAAGAGGTTAACAAACAGTTTTTATTAGCTCAGGGGAAAAGTGGCACACACTGACACAAAGCAAATTAAAAGGGGCATCAGCTGATTCTGTTGGTTTGCTGCAAATGCACATCAAGGTCGCTCAACAAGGGTTATGGTGTCCTACGAAATACGGACTTAGAAGGACAAAGAAATGAAGATGGCATTCAAGCGGACAGAGGAGAATCTAATAGTTACGTTCAGTAAGAAAAGATAGGCCTGAGGAATCGGAAAAACAGGTGTTCAAGCCGTAAAAGGGAGAGAAAAGAATGGAAAGCTTTCAGGACTGAAATGACGAAAATGTGTAACACCAAGGGATTGCAGATGGATTTGGGCGAGTTGAACACTCTAGAAATGCAAAGACATGATCACGAACGCTTACCTTGCTTTAATTTGGGAATACCGAGCGTCAAACGCAGGATTCAAGCACTTTCGACGACACCAACTCGAGACGAAAAGCAGCAGCAGAAGTAACCTGCACCCTGCGCCTTCTGTAAAAGAGACGGGAGGTGAATGTGTGATACCAACAGATCCTACAAACCTCTATCAGTAAATGCATGAACTAAGGCAGGAAGCTGATTTCGAAAACAGCAGTAGTTCTTTCTCATCTACTGAAGGCTTTTTAATCACAATTTTTATGGGTTTTGGAAGTCAAAGGCAAACGCTGACATGGGGCATGCAATAGTAGTGTTGGCTAAAGTGGTTGTACGATCCCGCGACTAATACGAATCGTTAAGCGCACTCTGTGAGGTCTTTCTTTACTGTACAACTCTTGAACTTGAACAAGATCAAGACCATGCAACATAAAAAAAAATAGAATGATTTTTTTTCATTTTCAAAACTCCACAAAATAATTCTTCATCACATGCACGCGAGGCATAGGCAAATGCGAGTCGGGTGACGTGGACAGGGCATCAAGTGAGTGGTGGGCTTTTATTAATTTGATTTAATCACCTCTTTCAAAACTCTGCAAAGAAACGGCTGCACAATCTCAGCTGATAGCACCTTACAAAGGCACACGTCTGACTTAACAAATCCTCACGTAGGATTGGAATTTTCATTGTGGTTCTGAAAGTGCTCGATCATTGCCTCTTTAACATTTTTTATTATGACACATGGGGCTTGATTTGAGCACTTCATAAAGTCTGCCGAAACTACATAAGCAATTTGTACAGTTCAGTGCCAACGTGGCTGATGCAAGAAGTAAACTTGGGCCCGGTGTGGTAACTTGAGCAGTTGTACCTCAAATTAATACAAAGAGTGCGCCTTATCTCACCGGAAATCGTATAAATGCCCATGGCTAGCCTTAGCCAATAGCGCCTCGTGTAGGAAACCTCCAGCCAATGAAAACGCGGCTTCGGACGAGGGGTTGCGGGGGTGGCGGGAAGTCTACCCACAATTCCCTGCATCGATTTGCGCATGTCAGTTACAAGCATTGCAAATGGCGGCCCTTGTTATTGTTCCATAGCGTTTGTAAATTTGTTCAAAATATGTCTCCGATTTGCTCTTATTTAGGTAAGAAGTGAGCTCAATGTGGTGACTCTGTGAGTGGAAACATATTTACATCCTCACCATACATGTGAGGGAAGTGCATCTCCCAGAATAGACGGATAATCAACACACTGAAAATAGGTACCGTCCGATTTTACTCAACTGCGGGAGATCGCTTTTTGAATCGGTATCTAATTAATTGTGTCGTTGTCAGCGTATAATTGGAAGGAGTGAATCATGAGGCATGGGTTGCCTTAAGTACAGAGCTGTTAAGTTTTGTTCCATCCCAATCCAAGTGTTGAAGACAGCGTAACCTAATTTTGACTGACGGCCGAGGGAGCATGCTGGAAGGGTCTCCACTCCCCCAGCTCAAAATGGAGGCCGACTGGTCGGAGAAAAGTGCCAGAATAGAGCTTAAAGTGGGACCCTCTGTTCTTCTGCTGTAACGTCGTTTACTCCAACTGCCCCACGGAATTTGCCCCCGAATTTTGAAGGGGCTAACGCCGTTCGTGTCGGCTATGGCAACCCCGTCCCACTCGGTGCCCGCGCGGGCCTGGGCTAGGCCACCAGACCAACACTCAAAATTGCTCACCGGTTCCATGGCGTTTTACAAGCCTTCCCCAAATTATTCGGAGGTCCTAATGAAATCTGTATACTAGTTGTTGTCAGGTCATGTTTTTTTTTTCATTCAGTGTGTCATATTTTATTCCTGTCATCTGTTATGTTGTTGTTTTACACACCTCCAGTACATGCTCTGGAATCATTCATTTGTTGTTATGGTTTGTTGAGGTTTTACTTTCTGTTATTGTCAATTTCTTAACATCTCCCAACTAATTATTTTGTTGGTCCGATTGACTCTAACTTGCATAGATTGGTATCCTATATCAATATTTCCAAACCTCTTCAGTTTAGTTTTGAATATGCTTCTTAAAACAAGAACAGCTTATCTAACGGCATAATCTTTCACTTCCCTTTACTTCATTCTAATTTTTATTTAATCACTTAGATATTTTTTTTGTATGAGAATCAACCTTATCAATACTGTATACAACCTGGACAATCTAACCTCAACTTTTTATCATGTAGACTGATTCATATTCATTCATTCATTCATTCATTCTAGGGTTATCTATGAAGTAACTTTATCGAATAATTATTTTTTGCAACATTTGTGGGGGTTTTCCCTCTTTCCTTTTGTTTGTAAAAGAAATTGAAATGCCAACTTTGTTGAGTCAACTTTTTGTAGTGACAATGTTCTTTTTTTTTTTAATTTGCTGCAGTGGTTTAACATTTGTGTATTTTTGTGTCTCCAGGTGTGGATACTATGACAAGGACTATCTCATGAAGAGAGATTCAACGTGCCTGTGCTTGTAGTACAGTGAAAATAGTGACATTTAAGGTGTTGGGAGACTTGGCTTTCTCCTAACCTGTGTCAACACTTAGGTCTAAATCAAGAAAACTGACCATGTCTCTTTCTACTTGTCTCGGCCATTGTGCAGATCTCAGCTCCATTTAGAATGCACAAGGATTGTGTGATTTGTAAGTATTTTGAATGTGACAATCAGTGAGGTTAGGTTTCTGTTTTTAATGCCTCAAATTAGTTTTATTGTTTTGATTGCTTTTTGTCAGTTGCTTCAAATCCTTATTTTAGTGTGTTTTTTCTTTGATAACTTGTGTATTAGGTTTGTCTGTAAGCAATTGTTCGCAGTTCAAGGCTGACGGTGCTGCCTTATTGTTCAATGAAGTTGACAATCCTCATTTACTTTGTGTGTGCAGGTTCAAAGCTGTGCAGTGATCTTCTGCTGGGGTCTTTGTGAAGTGCGATGAGCTCTTGATGTGGAGCAAGAGCATGTGAGACTGATCTGGTAGGCATCTTTGGTTTGTGAGTTTACTTTTTTCTAAATTATTACTGAATGCATATTGGTTTATTTTAATTTTTTTTTCCTTTTGTGCAGCCATGGCAGCAGATAGTGATGGAGACCTGATTGAGACTGTGGTCACATGTCAGGGAGACCTCACAGACCCAGATTTCCCAACCAAGTTCCAGGAGATTGTTGACAAACTAAATGGTTTGCTTTGCAAAGGTGAGTGTGTTGTGAGGAAAGAAGAACAACACTTAAATTAATAGGGTTTCACATCAGATTCAATTTATTGTTATTGTTTGGCGGCTGTGCAGGGGATGGAGAGAGTCTTCGAGTCTCTAAAGTGGAACCATGGAACTCAGTACGTGTGACATTCAACATTCCACGGGAAGCTGCTCAGCGGCTTCGCCAGCTGGCAGAGGAGGGGAGCCAGGCACTCGCTGCTCTTGGTATTTTGTCAGTTCAGGTTCAAGGCGACCAGGTAAATCTCGTTATTTTCAAATTATTCTTAACCATTAACTGCAACTACTTTTCAAATCTCAGTTTTGCATCACTGTTGTTCTTTCTTTAACCGTCTGTAAAATCATCCTGCTCCAGGTGATATCATTGACAATTGCCAGTCGTTGTGGTGCAGAGCCACAAGAAATACGTGTAGCTACTGGTCCAGCAAACTCCGATGGCGCCTCCACATCGAGTTCATCTACTCCTTCCGGAGGATTGGGTGGTATCATGCGAAGTATGGCTCAAGCAATGGGCAGTGTGCCATCAGCACCAAATGTAGTTGCCCCAAGCAATGGAGACCCCATACCACCATTTCCACCTCCCAAGCCTACCGTAGCCACAGTGGCCGCTGTGGGAACACCGTCCAATCCAGCCACACCTCCTGCCCAAGGATCAAGGTTTGTTACTATCAGTGGAACAATAGTTTTGTTCTTGTAATTTTTGCACTCACGTGAAACAAATTTGACTGACTTATCTTGTTGTCTTACAGGCCAACAGGACAGGGACCGTTCCCATTCAACAGTATGACCCAAGCTGCCCAAGTGATGCAAGGAAGAGACGTCCAGCAGGGCGCATCAACGTCAGCACCTCAAGCAACAGTGCCAGTGGCAGCAGTAGCAGCAGTGGCTGGAGTACCAGTACAACCATCTGCAGCAGGAGTACCCACAGCAGCTGCAGTGCCCCAACCGCCTCCACCACCATACCCAAGTGGCCAAAATTTCAAAACTGCTCTGCCTGCCAATGTTGCTCAGTCCAGTCCTCTTCTGGTAAATCTGCTTCAAAACGATGGCAGTCCAGTTGCACCAGTTGGAAACCACCTCAACAAGATGCTCCCTCCTGGAGTGAGCACATCAGACAAACCTGTGGGAAAAGTTCGAGGGCAAGGAAAGAATACTCAATCTCGCAGAAGAACTTCCGTCACAGAGATTGCTCAAGAATTGAAGAGATCTGCTCCATCCTCCCCAGCAATGGTGTCTCCCGATGTTGTGGGCAATCACCTACAACATCATGTGGGCTCTTCTGCTTTTGTGAGCACTGTACCTTCCCCTCCGGATGCTTTGCAACGGCAACGGCTATCAACAGAGAGTCCAACTCCACAGACAGTGTTCAGCCATCAGGCAGTGCCTCAGAGCCCAGGGCAGTCGCAGCAGCAGCAGCTTCCGCATCAAGTTGGTCTTCCTCCTCAAATCCCCCTTCAGGCGGATCTGCAAGTGAATGCAGTGCCTCAGATGCAACAACAAGTACCAAGCCTGGTACCTTCAATTCCACAGGCAGACCCATTCAGAATGCAGCGACCTATGGGCCCTGCCAATGTCCCTCAGCCAACAGTGGCAAATCCTGCTCAAGCAATGCGGCAAAGACCACCTGTAGCCCAGAAACCTGTAAATCCAAATGGAGCATCTTTAATTGGGACACAGAGTCCTCATGCAGTGGCACCGGGCGTCGGCGGGCAAGGACTGACGTCCCCGATGGCTTCAGCTACACCCCAACCGCCTCCCGTCATGCCCCCTGCATTATCTACTGCCTTACCCTCACCTGTAATGCCGCCTCAGTCACCATCACAATCCTCTGTTATGCCGGTCAAAGTGTCATCGTTGGCATCGGCCCCTCCTCCTCCACTAAATCAAGTCACCCCTGTGGGTACACCCGGAATGCTCCAATCTTCATTAGTGCCTCCACCACAAGTTCTGCCTCAAGCGAGAGCTGCAATTCAACCTCAGAGACTACCTGGACAGGTACCCATGCAGCAATCCTTGCAACAACCACAGCAATTGCAGTACCAGCAAATGCAGCAACAGCAACTTCAGATTCAACAGTTACAGCAACAGCACCAACAACAGCAGCAACATCAACAAATGCAGCAGCAACTTCAACAACAGAGGTTTCATCAACAGCGTGCAATGGCCCCTCGAATGAACTCCCCTTCAGATTCACCAACCCAGCCTCAGCAGTCACAAATGGTACCTCAGTATAGTCAACCAGAGTTCCAACGATTTTCTAGTGTTGACCCTCGTCTTTCCAATCCTGCTGCCCAGCCTGCAGTTCCTGGTACAATGGGTGTCAGACATCCGATGGGAGTTGGAATGTCTGGACCTCTAAGGCAGCCTCAACCAGGCATGTGGCCTAACTCTTCTTCTAACCCTCAAAACCTCAATCCTAACTCAACCCAAAGTATAAATCCAAGTTTGGTTCCAAATACAGGCCAGGGACCTGTGAGTAGCATGAGTTCACCTTACCCAGCAAATAGTCAAGTTGTCGGCCCTTCTCAACAACAACAGCAGCAGCAGCAACAACAGCAGCAAATGATGATGCCCCAACCATCTCAAGAGCAAAAAACAATACCGGGTGTAACACCACTAGTGGAAGGTAAACAAACTAGTCAAAGTGCGGATGAACCACTGAAGCAAGCTAATGCTACTAGTCCACCGACTCCTCCTCCAGCCCTTACGTCTTCTGGGAAAGAACGACAGTTCCTCATCAACCCTCTCACAGGGATGTTAGAACCGATGCCCAGCGAATCTAGCTCTGACTCTGAAGTGGAGACGACTGACAAAACTATTGATACCCTTAAAGAAGACTCCTTCTTCAGCTTCCCCTCACCTCTCAATGATAGATCTAATTCGGTTTACTCAGATGATGATGATGATGTAAGTTCTACAATATCCCGAAGAGCTGACACTACAACTACTGACCAATCTGATTCTGAAGCAACTGTTAGATCAAATGCAAGTGAACCAACAAACCGACGTGCTCGCATCAAGACTAATAGAGATGCCAACAACAGCCCAGCTCCAGAGAAAATAAAGCTTCGTTTGAAATTAGAAAAAAGTGAACCAGCCTACAAGGTGGTTGGTCCGAGTGGAGGAAGTGGTGCTGTTCCCTTTGGAGGACCAACTTCTTCACCACAGCCTGGCTCAGGTTCAGCAAGTAGTGGCATTTCTGCTGAAGAGCCACGGGTTCCACCCCTCCATATTTCTTTAAGAGGTCGAGGGCCAATGGTTGTCAATCCCCGCAAAGAGAGTAAGAAGTGGATTAAAGAGGTTGCTGTAAACAGTGGAACTGCCCCTGTAAATGTAGATTCTACCAAGAAGTTAAAATCTGCCAAAATGATGGGAACTGGAAACTCGTCGTCACCTGATAACGTCATGCGTGTGAAAAAGCCTCATCTTATTCCAGGCTCTGGTCAAGTTCCAGGAACAGGTCCTGGTTCACCATCAACTGATGCTGTTAACATTATGAGAACAAGCACTGTAAATGAGAAGATTCGGACTAAAGTGAAAGTGGCAAGGCAACGCTCTGATGAGGACTTACCAGTGCATGCAAAGGCATTGGAACCAGGGGAGATTGTCTTGCCAAATCCTGCTCTAGGGAAACTTAAAGCAGGAGGGATTGCGGGTAGTGGTGGCACTGTTCCAGTTAATCTGAACACACCTGCAAGTAGTTCTAACAACCCTGTTAAATCCTTTTCTGAGAAGGATGTTGCTGTGAGAGTTACCAATCGTAGCAACTCTGAACAGCTTGCGGGTGCGCGTACCATGGGTAAAAGTCGCAAACGAGAAACCAAGAAGAAGGTGCTTCCCAACTCTGGGACTTTTCAAGAGGCACTGCCAGCCCAGGAAAGTGCCAAGATGCCCGAAGAGGACAGACCTGTTGGTGCCTCCCCCTCAACTTCTCCCAATGTTAGGTGGGGTACTGAGGATGATGGGGTGTGTGAAATTGGACAAAATGGTGTGGGAAATGGGGATGAAGAGAAGAAAAATAGAACAGTTGGACAGGAAAAGGATGGCAATTTTCCAGGTATGTGGTACATTAAAATCCACCCTTTTCCTCTGAATGCTTTTTTTTTTTTTAAATAAAATATGGTTGAAATATGTTTAATTTGCATATTCAAAAAATTACTTACCTTGTTGTTTGTTGGAGTCTAACTTTTGATACTGAGTTATGTTTTTTGTTTGTTACAGATTCTCCAGGAGTTCTGCCTCCCAAGGTGAAACCTGCCCCTGCTCCATCAGATTCTGGCTGCAACCCGGATAATTCGGATCTTGCTCCACTCAGTGTCACTGCCAAGCCTGCTGAGCAAGACAACAAGCCTGTGATAAATACCGTAAGGACAGTCAATGCTTCAAAAGTGAAAAGAGTGGACCACTTGAGACACGGAAGAAAGATGCAGAACTCACTTAATAAGTCTGCACTTAATAAGACGGCAGTAATTAATGAGACTATGCTGAATCATCGTAAAAATTTACATATGCTACCAGAATTACATGAGACTCAAGACAGTTTTTCTCAGCACCAAAAGGCTATCATAGAAAGCTGTCTACAAATTCAGAAAATAGCTAATCATGATGATAAGCGTCTTCTGAAGAAATTGGCTGAGAAGGGTGAAATAATTGCTGAAAGAGTTCCCTCTAAGGTACCTAGTTCGCTCCCTGTCGGTGACTTGGTGATTTCAGAAGCTAAAATTAAACAACGTCTTCTGGAAGATGACCCTAGGAAGAGTGCAGTTGTTTTGGAAAAGGTTGAAGCTCCTCCGGCTCCTGAGGCAGAGGCAGCTGCCAATGCTACAGGAGAGCAAGGAAACACTCAGGGTGAGGACTCAGGAATAGAATCTATGGATGCTTTATCTGAAAAATCACCAAACCAGGGCGAGTCTCCATGTCGGAAAGAAGAGAAAGAATTGGAATCATCCTGTGTGACTCAAGATAAGAAACCTAGTGTTACTCCCACCACTCCCTCTGAACCTAAAGTGGAATGCAGTGAAGTGAAGGAAACAGCAGTCAAGTCAAATTCACTTAGTTCAAAGAGTGAAGATGAAGTGACCAACATCTCGACAGTATTAGCAACAAAACCCGTGATTCCAACCTCATCTAAGCCTGCAACTCCTCTTACTCCTTCTAAAATAAGCCCCCTTAAAGATTGTGGATTGGTCAGTGCGATGGCTGCTAAAGTCAAGTCTGCTATGGAATCCAGCCCAACAAAAAATATTGATTTAAAACCAAAAGTTGAAGTGAAGACAGAGCCTTCCTTGCCAAAATCAGCTGATGTGACACCTGTTCCCATAGCATCGCCAACATTAGATGATCCTATACCCATCAGGATTACACCGCCATTGTACACTTATTCCAATCCCGAAAAGCATAGAGATGAAACTCCATCTCCAACCAATCTGGATGATGAGGAAGGAGATCCCACCACAGAGGATGGATTGCTCGACAGCCCCTCACCGGGAGGAGCATCAGGCAGTGCTATTCAAAGGAGGCGAGAGAGAAAGCGCAGAATGTTAATGAGAAACATTGAGAAAGCTCGCTCCTCTACTGGTGATGAACAAGAAGATGGTATGTACTCAAATTATTTATTTTTTAATAAATTTTATTATTTTTCATTTGAAATAACTTATGTTATCTTTTTAATTTAATTCAAATTTGTTTCTGTAGGAGGGCTTGCTGTTGGGTCTTCTGCATCGACTGTTAATGATCTTACTGGGAAAGCAGCAAATGTTCCTAAAACTATGCTACAGCAACTTCAAATTGAAATACCTCCCGATGGTTTGGAAAGAAGAGGAAGTGGACGTAGCACCCGCTCTCAAAATAGGTACTTATGTCACTATTCTCTGTATACTTCTCTGCTTCTAGGTTCTCAACCCCTTCCCTGCCCCTAATCATTTTATTAATTTTTTGCCCCTTTCTTATCTCTTTTTTAGAATGGGTCATCCAAGTCCAGATGTTTCTTTGAGTTTGAAAACACCAAAATCTAGCCCTGGAGGAGGTCCAGTTTTACGTGGATCTGATGATCGATCTTCATCTCCAATAGTCACTGGCAGGCATAATTCTAACAAACCTAGCCCCAACCCAGTTCCAAGAATGAAGAGAAAACGTCAGAACTCCGACTCAAGTGCTGCATCAAGTGTCACAGATGATCTGAATCTGACGTCATCATCCTCCACCCCTAGACCTGGAAAGAGAAAGTGTTCTGAAAATGCTGCGGAACTCATCAAGGCCTGTATGGGTGTTGATGGACTGAGATCGGGAGATGCTCCTGCAGAAGTGCCTCCTCAAACCATGCGGAAGTCTCGAAGAGGTGAGTTTCTTGCTTTCATTTGCATTTGAAGGCAAAGCTTATCGCACTTCTTGTTGTGGCCACTACGTCAAGAGAATTTTCTTGACAATGTCACATATAGGAGTTCCCTTAAGTCGCAAGGACCAAAGTTAGTGAACTTCTGTCACCCGTTTCTGTTTCTAATGGTAACGGTTTCATTTCAGGTGGTAGTTCCGCATCTGTGGATGTGGAGTCTTCAGATGATGAACCACTCATAGAGATTGCAGGAAAAGTGCGTCGTGATGATGGTGCTGTGTCACCCGGTGCACAGTCTGTTAGTAGCACTTCTAGCAGGACTGCAAAGGATGACGAATCCAAGTAAGTTGTCGCCATTGTGCAAATTCATCATTCATACATGCTCCTCTTTCAGCCATTAACTCTCATTGCATTTGCAGGTCAAATAGTAGTTCAGTATCCAAAACAGGACGGTCCAGTGCAAACCTTACCAATAAAAGCCAGGCATCTCCCCTGGGCAGCAATTCATCTACTGCATCTACAGGATCTAATTCTTCCTCAGCTAGTAACAGTAATGGCACGAATACAACTACTACTGTAACTAGACGCTCTGGACGTCAAACTACTGCGTCTGGACCAACCCCAACCACTAACAACTCAGGGGCTGCCCCTTCCAACAAGACGAATGCATCTAACAATGCAGGCCTTGCTGCGGGCACTAGGGGAGCCGCTGCCGCTGCAGTCAAATCAGGACCTTCTACACCCAATACCACTGGCACAAGTGTAACGGTAGCAGCAAGTGTCACCACTCTTTCTCAGGAAGAGGTGAAAACTAGACGCAAAACGCGCAGTGTAGCTAATGGTATGTGGCTGGAATAAACTTTATCCTGATAACTTTGATCATTTATTTTGATTTTGTATTTTTACATGTTTCTTTCAACCTTTTTTGCAGCATCTGAAGCTGATACAGCAGGAAGCAAGAGACGGAGAGCATCCAAAGATGGCAAGTGACGATCGGATTGGGTGGAGGAGGATCCACCCACGCAATCACTTCCTGAGTCCGTGCAGTCATCTTCGATGTGTGATAGTGACATATTGGATGATGGTATTGGATCAGTGCTGGCAGTCGCTCTTCAAGGCTCTGATGGGGCAGTGCAATTTTGTGGCTGACACCAGATACAGACATTTTCAGACTGTGTTAAGCCTTTAGGTTATGTGAGAATGATTTGGAAAATGGCTTCCATCCCCATGAGGGACCCACGGCTAGGTTGATAACTGTTTTGTTTTAATGCCAATTGAGTGAGTAATCAGTACAAGTTTAAGACTTTAATATGTTTGATTAACACCATCTGAGGCTTGTATCATATATCCCACACCATGAGCTGACATGAGAATCAATTTTCTTTATTGACTAGTGCAACTGTCTTGAATATTAGTTTCTTTATTCAAATTCTTTTTAATGAATATTGTGGTTTGTAATTATCTATTTGGCCGTTTGTAAGCCTCTGAATTTTCTTTTCAATCAATACAAGCAATTTTATAATGTTTTTCATCAACACTGACACACTAATGAACTTTCTCAAATTGATCGATTAAATTTAATGCTAAGACTATGCTTGTGCTAAAGCTATAATGGAGCAGCTAATATTCAAGAAAGTTAACTGACAAGGCATATATATCTCCGTACTTGAGGTCCCTTATCTTCTTGATGTGGACACTTTAGTTTCCTACTGCACTTAATTTGTGTTTCCTTGAAGAAACTGTGACCTTGTGCAAATGTATCTCACTTTTAGGCTGTTCACTATTTAGGTAAAACGTGGTAAAATGATTCCTACTAGCTCAACACTTCCTAGTACAAAGCAGATGTGAGACTAGTATAAGTTGGTTTTGAAACCCAGAGCTCTGCTGAGGACTGACTTAAGTATGCAAATTCATGAGTTGGAAAGGGAACATGTTAATTAAATTTATGTAAGAGTGACAATATATTTCATCTGTGCCCATTGGGTCTGTTCATGAATCTTGTTGTATACCGCTGTAGAATCTGTAATCATTACACCACCTAAGACTGAGCAATAAATTAGCAGCATGCTTTTTGTGGCTGTTTTCTTATGAAACATGTTATGTTTGGTTTTAGGTGGTTTGCTTAGCTAGTTTGTCTTGTCGCAGAGTATGGTGTGCACTGAAGGACAGCCTGATATTAATGTTGAGAAGCCTTTTGGTTGCCTCTTTTTCTGAGCTTCACAGTATCAACTGTCTGTTTGTCTGTGTGTCCGTCCAATAAGTTTTTAAATTAATATTTTAATTATTATTTCAATCTTACTTGTCTATCTGTTTTTAAGCTCTCATATCTTTATAGTGTAAATAACTTGTTATAATTACACCTTTAAAGCAAAAGTAACTTGTTGGGATTTATGCTACTTTTTTTTTAAGAAAAAAATGAAAACAAAGTCAACAGTTATGTTCTTCTCTTCAGTTCTTTTATTTTAATTGTTAATTTCGTTTTAAGTCTACACAAATAAGTCGCTCTGGCAACTTAATGCAGAGTAGAAAGAAATTTTAATACCAAACATATTGGTGTATGTTTGTTATTGCAGAACTCTTCACAAGTGGAAATGCTGTTTTCCTTTTAAGTCTATGAAATTTTATGCAAGTGGGTGAACTCATTGAAAGAGCGGCTTTTCACAAAGGCCAGGGTATGGATCAATGCTGTGTAGCGTGTATGTGTCTATGTGTGGGTGATTAAGTGTTTTGTATGCCATTGAATGTTGTTGAATAATTGTTGTATATCACCGAGTGATGTGTGTGTATGTGTTAGTGTGTGTGCGTGTGCAATGTGAAGCCCCACTACACTTGTCAGTTCAAAGAAAATGAAATTATAATGGAGCAAGTGCCATGCTAGCTTTGGGCACAGGGCTCATTGTTGTTTGTACAGCGTTTTATCTTTTTATAAATATATTTTAATTACTCTTGGGTGTTGAATGAATGTTTTTAAGTGTGGATGTATGAAGATGCCAGTAGTGTGATAAATCAACTCACACAATGCTGCACTTGACTAAAACCAAAATTTGGTTTTTTATAACTTTTCTGTGAAGAGATTATTTATTGAAACTGGTGTCTATTTTTTGTACTGCTATGAGAAACAAAATGTCTTTTTTCTTCTTTTTGCTTTTGTTCAGACTGATAGTTTATTGTTAAGGAACATGGTATGCTTATAGGCATGATGTTAAAATCATTGTTGAGATTTTGGGTTTTTAATGAAATTACAGGCAAAAATTGGAATGAGTTGTGAATGCACAGTTGTGAACTCAAAGAGGTGTTGGTATTTGTGCATTTTGCGGTTTAGGAACATACATTATACCAAAATGAATGCATACATGTCAACACATTTAGTTTTATTTTATTCATACCTGTGTAATTAGCAGCCTTTACTGTTGTAGGATAGAAAATGTTTGTGAGATAATATGTATATATTGCTGTACATACTTTATGTTTAGTTAAAGAACAAAGGTAAATGCCTCTAAACAGAAGGAATATTGTATATTGTACAGATATTATTGAAACAATAGGGCTCTTTGTATTTTAGTACATACATATGTTGCATTAATATTGTAGAATTGGAGTCAAATGGAAGTCATTAAATTGAAAATTGACTGGCTTTCTTCCTTAGCCATTGAATTCCCGACGCTTCACTCATTGATCCAATGAATGTCCTCTCATTCCAACGCAAAATCTAAGAGAATCGCTCGAAGAACTCATCCGAGACGGGTACTCCATATAGGGACGTGGTCAGCTTGACAGTCTGTCTTGGTTTTGTTTATTTTATTTTGATTATCCAGTGGCTACGAGGCGCCCGCTGTAGGGACTGCCGATAAGATAACCAATGCTGTTTATCTTCATTTTGTGTGTTTAATACAAATGAGGAAACGATCACCACGGGAAGACGCCTGTTAAGGCTTGGGAGTGATGCCCGGCGCGGGCGCGATCCGACCGACACTTCGATTCCCTTCCGTTGGAAGGGAACGTCGAAGACGTGTCACTCTCACCCGGTTATGATACTGGTAAACAATACAGGGCCATCCCATCCGTGCGGGGTGCGGCCGTGTGCAGGACACGCACCGGGCCCGGCCCCGGGCACGCACAATGATGTGGCGTGGCCGTGGGACCTGCCCGAGTTGAGCTTCCGTGTGAGAAACTCCAAGTTGAATGGTGACAAGAATGGCTTTCACTCGTGCGTGCACTGACACTGAGAGCGTATCGCAGAATCCGAATTAAATCATTTCTTGCCGCTCGGTTTGAGTGAGAAGGCCGCCCAGCGTCCGCCCGGCCCGGCCTAGGCTGGCCCGTCGCAGCTCGAGTGCACGCGCGGGGGAAGGCCAATGCACCACACCATGCGTGCGTGCTGCACCGCACTGCACCGCACGCACACGCCGCCAGGCAGAGACAAAGCGGAAGTCCAGCCGGCTTGGTGTCATCGAGGAGGAAGGAAAGGAGAAGCCCTTGGAAAATCAAAAAGGAAAAGGCGCAGTGTCGTCCATGCCCTTTCCGTGCTTTAATTTCCCACAGCGAGAGGCGGAGAGTGCAAGTGAACGCCTCGAGAACTCGAGCTCGAGGACCTTGTGTGGCAGCCACGCCACGCACTACACACACCGCACCACGTACGCAGTGCTACGCAGTGCACCCCGCCCTTCCCTTTCCACCCCACCCCCTTTCTCCGCGGGTGCGCTAGCCTTCCGCTCACTTGCAGGCCAGGGGGCGGAGGCAGGCGGGGGCGGTAGAGGGGGGGGGGCGGAGCGGGGCTAGCGGGGCAGAAGCCCGAGCTGGCAGCCTCGCAGCGGCAGACGGCAACGGAGCGGGCCGCGGGCAGCGACGCGACAGCGCGGCACGGCAGTCTGACAGCCAGCAGCCAGCCCAGCTGGAGAAGAATGGTTTGCATGGCGCCCTGGCTGCGCTGGCCCGCTGGATCTTTACCCTGAACAGGCGCGTGTGAATCCCAGCCAATGGGACTGGAGCCTGTCCAGCCTGTCCCGGCAGCCCGCCGCCCCTGGCTAGGCCCCGCTGGAACGGGCCAGTGATTGCCAGTGATGTGCCGCGACGGACTCGGCGGTCAGCAGCGCAGGCAGCGCAGGCAGCGCCCAAGTGAATGGACGGAGTGAATCGAAAATCCGAGTGGCCCTCCGCAGCGCAGCGCCTCATTCGGTGAGTGTCTCCTGGAAAAACGAGGCTCGCTGTCTCGGGGCAGGGCAGAGGCGCAGTGGCACAGTGGTCGCGGGGCGGCAGCCAATCGATTCGCCGCTGTGCATCGCTTTGCTGCTTTGCCTGCGCTGGTACACTGGTTACACACATAGCCTGTACCCGCAGGACCCGCGGGCAGCACTGGCCGCAGCCCCGCTCCGAGCAGCTGATTGACTTTGTCGTCGTCCAGTGAGCCGTGTGACGCCTGGGGCCGCGGACGGGGCTGCCTTGGCTCACTCTCCTTGTTGTCCTTGTTCTGGGGTGGGATGTCCATCACGTTATCAGTGAGTTGTCACTTGTGCTTCATTGATGAATGGTATGGTCAGGTAAGAACTTTTGGGTGGGTGCACTGTAATGTGAGAATGAAGGAAAATGTTAGGTGGGTTTTTCCGGTTACGATGTGGTCAGATTATTTTAATATCATTTTAATGTCATGGAATGAAATCAAGGGAGGTGTTGGAATCAGATTATTCTGGCATCTTTATTGTATTGTCTTCAAGAACATTGTTTGTTTTAGTTTTGTGACCTGACTCGCCCTGTGCGCTTAAAGCCTTAATCAGGTGTAGAATACTTTCCGTATCTTTTTATGTCAGCAATATGCTTTACGTTAGTTAAGTCACATTCATTTTGTCACTCTCCTTCTCAAAGGACTATGTGCTTAGGTTGGGATTTGATGAAAGCTCCCTTTTCACCAAACTTGCCATGTCTTAAACTGGTCTTAAAGGTCTTAAACTGGTCTTAAACATGTCTTAAAGGGATTTGTCCACAATGAAGCTCGGTGCAATCTAGAAGCAGAAAAAGTTGCTTGGCACCAGTCTTGTTCTCCTGCTGCTGCACTCCAGAGCTGAGAGACTTCATTGCCTATCTACGCTGCAGGGGCTAAGGAGACAGTTGCCTACCCTGCAGGGGCTAAGGAGACAGTGTTGCCTACCCTGCAGGGGCTAAAGAGATAGTATGGCCCACCCTTCAGATTCCATCATTGTCCACCCACAGGTCTTCCGGAGAGGTATAGAAAGGGTCTGGGCCGCACTGACGGAGTGCCCGTGGAAGGGTGTGAATGCCGCGTGCTGATAAGAGCCCTAGCCAGCCCTGCCCTACGGTCAGCCGGCTGTGGTGTGGACGGAGGCCCTTGGAGCCTGGGCAGCCCGTGGAGCCTATCCCAGGGCCACACACAGGCCTGGCTTCATGGCTGGCGTGGAGTGGCGACCAACGCGTTGGCTCATTTCGCCCTGTGTGGCCGCCGTGGCCGGCGTGGCCGGGATGGGATGGGCCATGGGCCTCCCGCCTGTGTGGTTGGCCGCCTGCCTGCTGGGCTGTCCGCCTGCCGGCCTGGCTGGCTGGCTGGCTGGCTGCGTGGTCATATAGGCCGCGTTGCTTTCATCGATCCGACGCTACGCCCCGCGACGCCCGAGACGCCTGCTCCCTCCGTCCGCTCCCAAGGTCGCCGCGCCACGCCGCGCCTCTCTCTGCTTCGCGACGCCCTGCTTGATCGTGCCCAGGCCTGTCTGTCTCTCTCGCACTCATGGGCGTCCCGTATAGGGGCGAGAGAGACAGAGCGACAAAAGCGACTCTCGGAATGAGCCTGCTATGGCCCAGGCCCTTGCCCAGGCCCTTGCCCAGGCCCTTGCCCAGGCCCTTGCCCAGGCCCTTGCCCAGGCCCTTGCCCAGGCCCTTGCCCAGGCCCTTGCCCAGGCCCTTGCCCAGGCCCTTGCCCAGGCCCTTGCCCAGGCCCTTGCCCAGGCCCTTGCCCAGGCCCTTGCCCAGGCCCTTGCCCAGGCCCGCCACGGACGCGGGCACGGCGAACCCGCGATGCCCGCGACTCCATTTGCACGGCCACGACGCAGCAGCGGAGCTTTTGATGAAAAGGGGCAACCCCCCAAAAAAAGAAAATATGAACAGAGCCGCGCGGGCGGAGCGGCGGGGCCAAGGCGGGGCCGCTGCCGAGCGATTCGGAAAGTCGTTCTGTCTCTGTCGTGCTCGTGGGGCTCAGCGAGGGTGCGACGGAGACAGTGGCTGCTGCGTGTTCCAAAACCGCTGAAGAAAAGCGAACGCGGCGTCTCGCCGCGTCGTGGAGCTGCGGGGGAATCTGTTCTTATCATGGTAATGCAGTGCCATTGGCTGCGAGCAGCTTCTCTCGGGCCATTGAACGAGCGAGGAAGGCCCGACTTAGAGACTGTGCATAAATTTGGTGCTCAAAACGCGTCTATAATTTTGGCCACCTCCACCGGCCTTCTGGCCCACTGTGCGCCCGCTGCAGAGTGCACGAGTGTGGCACCCTTGTAGGGCTGTAGCGTCACTCGCTCGGTTTGACACCATTAGGACGGCGCTTTATGCTCTGTCAGGAAACTGGGACGGCCTGCCGGCGTGCCCAGGGCGTGCCGGCCTCGACCCTTGACTCGCCGACACGACTAGGATGACTAGGACCACCGGGGCGCCCTTTGGCCTTTCAGGTCGTGGAGGCCTTTGGCGCCTTTGGCGCCTTTGGCCGCGAGCGCCCAATTCCACATCATCCAGCCCGCTGTCCGGCAGGCGAACGCGCTGTCCGGGATGGGCCTGCAAGCGTGGCGACACGCTAATAGCGATGCGTTCCACGTGCGTTGGTGCGCGCGGCGGACGGCGGCACGCTACGCCACGGCGGCGTCCACTCTGTGACGTCACGCGGCCACGCGGCGCCACGAACGGAAGCAGGAAGTGGACGCGTGCGCGACCGTTGTGCGGGGGAGAGAGAGAGACAGGGAGAGAGGAGGGGGTCATGGAAGAACGCACCGCAACCTGCTGGCCTGCAAATGCGGAGACAGTTTGTGGTGTCTGTTGTGAAAGTGGAATTACTCATTGGGGCTTTGCGAAGCCCGGCGCAGCCAAAGCCCGCTCGGCGGAGCGAATCGGACAGGCGCGCCGCTCTAGCGCCTCCAGCGCCGCGGCAGCCCTTTGTTTTGCGCGCCCATTGGCCGATTGCCTGCCTTGCCTGACCACGGTCCACCCTGACGGCGGTCTTGTTGTCGTTGCAGATGAGCTAGCATGGCGGTGCGCGCGGAGAGGCTTCAGATGTGCGGCGGCCACGGCGGGCCCCACGGCGGCCACGGCGGGCCGGCGTCCCAGGGGCACCCGCACCACCAGCACACCGGCCGCGGCAACCAAGCGGGCCTGGGCGCGGCCAAGCAGGGCCAGATGCAGCACTACCAGTACGCCATGCAGCACCAGCACGGCCTGCAGCACGGCCTGCAGCACGCCAGCCCCGCGCCCAGCCCCACCAGGACGGCGACGGCGGAGGCGGCGTGGAGCGGCACCCCGCGCGCCAACCGCGCGCTGCGACCCCTCAACTCGCTGTCCGCAGGTGAGTGACTCGGTGCCTGGCCTGGCCTGGCGCGTGCGTAGAGTTTTGGCCGCCTCGACCGGTCTTCTGGCCCACTGTACCGTGTGACGCGTTACGCTGCGCTTGGCTTTGGCTGCTCCAGGGCTGCGCTGTTCTGCGGTCCGGGCCACAGCCTCCGGCGTGCCTCCGGGCAGTGCCTCTGTGCGTGTGCACCGTGCAGCCTGCTGCAGATTGACTCCGAGAGTCGTTTTCGTCGCCCCGTCTCTCTCGCACGCATGCGGCGCCCCGTACAGGTGCGGAAGAGACGGAGCGACGAAAGCGACTCTCGGAATCGGACTGCAGGACCGCAGGGCCGGAAGCCGGGCCGCAGCGCGTCGATAAGGCTAGGCTGGCGAGGCGCATGGCGACGCTGGAGACTGTTTCGCGCTGTCTCTCTCGCACTCGTGGGGCGTCCTGTGTCGGTGCGAGCGAGACGGGGCGACGAAAGCGACTCTCGGAATGAGTGTGCCGCCACCGCCTCCAGCGCTATCGGCCCGGCGCGCTCGCGCTCCAGCTCCAGCCTCTGTTGCGTCGCGAGTGTCGCAGTCGCAGCGCGCCAGCGCGCCTGCCTCCGATACCCTTATCTGCCTGAAAGGCTGACGGCGCCGCGGGCGCTGCTGACACTTTCACTTGACGCGCATCGCCCATGCCCATTGACGCGTGCTGCTGCACACTGAGAGTCGCCCTGTCTCTCTCGCACTCGTGGGGCGTGCCGTATGGGTGCGAGCGAGACAGAGCGACGAAGACGACTGCGCTGCGTGCGGGTGGAGGAGGCGATGACTTGGCCGTTCCGTGTGGTGGACCGTCCCGTCGCCGCCTCGAAATTAACAGTGAAAGCATCTGCGGGCTGATGCCCAACCGTCGCTCTGTCTCTCTCGCAGCCCTAGCGGCCGCCCCGTGAGTGCGAGAGAGACAGAGCGACGCATGCACCGCCTGCTGGAGCCGCGCCGCGCGCCTAATCGACCGGCAAAGCGAACGCTAATGTTGCGGGGATGCTGGAGGCGCCTCGGCCCCTGCCGCGCCAGGTGCGGTGACCGGCTGATTCCGCGTGTGCCGTCTCTCTCGCACTCGTAGGGCGTCCGGCATGAGTGCGAGAGAGACGGAGCGACGGCCGGCACACTGGCGCGTTGCGAAGTGCGCGGCGTAACACCGCCGCCTTTACGCCTTTATGCAGAGTAGGGCCGATTGAGACGAGGGACTCCATGACGGCGTCGACAAGCCTGCAGACGGGTTCCGAGGAGTCTTTCCGTCGCTCCGTCTCTGTCCGCACTCGCGGGGCGGGAGGGTGCGAGAGAGACGGGAAGCCTCTGTGGAATCGCTGGGCCAGGAAGCCGCGCACAAAGGGGTGGCTGTGCCAGCTATGCCGGCAGAGGGACGAAGACAAAAGACAAGACACCGGGCGTGTGGACGCTCCCACGGCGCCGCGGCAGGGCACCAGCAGGGCTGCTGGCCCGTGCCGACTGGCTTCAGGCAGTGGAGGAGTCGCTCGACTTATGAGATGGAATAAGGGCAAGCCTACGCCAAGCGTGTCCACCGAGCCGAGGGGTGACCCACTGTAAAATCTTGTGTGAAAATTGTGAGAAAGTGCTTGGCATGTCCAAGATTCATAACGCATTTGTCACACATGTTGCCTTTTAAGACCGAGCCCTTGTTGTTAAGTTTTCAAAATTTTCCTCTTCCACTCCACTGGTTGCCCGCGAGGCGGCGAGTGCAGGCCAGGCCGCGATATTGGTCAAAGATGAATCTCCTCTCCGCGCCTCGCCAGGGCCTCCCCGCATCGCCCCGCATCGCCGTCGCCGCCATTGTTTTGACCACAAGAGCCGGTGGGTCGGTAGGCCGGGCCGGGCGGGCCGGAAAACTCGGACGGATAGAGTGGGTCAGACATGGCCGGGGACGGGACGGGGTTCGGGTCCGGCTCCCCGCGGTACCTCTCGCCCCGCCCCGCCCCGCCTCATTTCGTCTTGTCAGGTGGCTCGTGGCCTTAAAGCCTTACTCCGGCGTGAGATGCTGCGCGTGATAAAGCAGAGCCCTTTACCGGCCGGGCCGCCCCGGCCAGCCTCCAGCCCGTGGGCTGCCCAGCCTCGCGCGCCCAGCCGGCCACACTACTTTAAGTTTCCCAGACCGCGCGCGCGGGGCAGCGGGGCCGCTTTGTGTGTTGTGTGCGCGCGGCGGGGCCGGCAGACTCATTCCGAGAGTCTTTCTTCGTCTCTCTCGCACCGATGCGGGACGCCCCACGAGTGCGAGCGAGACGGAGCGACGAAGAAAGACTCTCGGAATCGGTCTGCAGCTCGGCGCCCCGCGCGGCCGGCCACAGCGACGCGCTACGCGCTGCGTATAACGAAAACTCACTCTCACACACAGACGCACGCACACACGCGCACCTCTTGTTTTGTGAACGCATCCCGCGGCGCGGTGGGATTTGGGGTCACCCGTGCGGTGCGGTACTGATTCCGCACAGCGCCTCGTCCGCTCCGTCTCTCTCGCACTGTCCGGCGCGCCCCGTGAGAGCGAGGGAGACGGAGCTCTGTGTGGCGCTGCATGGCGCTGCATGGGCCGAGCGCGATGTGTGTTATTGTGTCTGTTTGGAGTGGACTGGAGCGGCGCGGCGCCCGGGCGGCGTGTGGGCCGCTGTTGGACGCCGGGCTGTAGACTGTCGCTCCGTCTCTCTCGCACCTCTACGGGACGCTTCATGAGTGCGAGAGAGACGGGGCGCGAGTCCGCCGACTGGGGCATGGGAAACGAAACGCGTCGCGTCGAATTAAAGCATCGACAAGGCTGATGCGCTCCGCCGCCGCCCTCGACGCTGCTCCGTCGCTCTGTCTCTCTCGCACTCCCCCGGGAGGCCCGACGAGTGCGAGAGAGAGGGAGGATTCGCTGGCACTAATTCGGCGGCGCAATTGAGCGCGGCGTGGCGTTCGCAGCGGCCTTTGCATCAGTACAGCTCGTCGGCCGGCCGGCCCGTCCTGTCGCCTCTTTTTTTTTTCCCTGCCGGTTTCGTCCGGTCATTCATCTGTCTGTCCGTCTGTCTGTCCGCTTGCCTCGTCACCTATCCGTGAGGTCTAATGACCCCTTTCCCCCACCTGCCGCGCTGCCCCGCCCTCGCCCTCGTCCCGGCGGGGCTAGGCGAGCCAGGCGAGCCAGGCGGAGCGCCGCGCAGGTAGGCAATGCGCTTGCTGCACGCAGGCGCGTCCTCGTGCTGCCTACCTGCGCGGCGATCGGCTCCGCCCGGCCTATCTCTCCGCGCGCGGATTGCAAACTGTGCTTGATCGCTCTGTCTCTCTGGCGCGCCGAATTCGGAAGTGCGGGAGAGACGGAGCGACGAAACCGACTCTCGGAACCAGACAACTGGCCCTGTTTGCCTCATCGGCGTGCCTAACCGCTGTCGCTGTCCCTGTGTTCCAGCCAAGCGGAAGAGCGCCGTGGAGCTGCTCCAGGAGTCCAAGGCGTTCTACGTCAAGTCGGACTGCGTGCTGGACCGGCAGCAGCGCCTGCAGCGCCCCACCTCGTCGCCGCCGTGCTCGCCCGTGCCCATCACGGCGCTGTCCGTCGTGACCACGGCCTCGTCGGTGGCGGTGCCCGCCGTGCCGCTGTCCAGCGCGCTGCTGTCGCCGCCGCCCAGCCCCAGCCCCCTGTCGTCGCCGTGCTCGGGGGCGGGGCTGGGGCTGGCGGCCGGCCTCGGCGTCGAGCCCATGCCGCCGGCGCCGCCCGGCTTCGAGCAGGAGTCGTCCAGTAAGTGGCGCGCCACCATGGCCACGCGTGGGCGGAGCACTGACCCGCCGCACGCAGCGCCCTTTCTCTCTCGCACCCACACGGCCCGCCCCGTGAGTGCGAGAAGGACAGAGCGATGTGCCAAACCAGTGAGCCGCTTGCCTGCCAGGCCGAGGGCTGCCGAGGGCGCCACGGAAAGCCGTGTAGTGAAATGAGCCGTTGTTGGTGTTTGCAGGCCCCGTGGCGGTGTCGCCGCGCTCGCTGCTGCTGCCCAAGAGCCCCCGCCTGGGCCTGGGCGGCCTGGGCCTGGGCGGCAGTTGCTCGGGGACGGGCAGCACGGCCAGCACCACGTGGGCACAGCGGCGCGCCGCCTCGCAGCAGCTGCAGTCCGACCGGCTGCAGACCAAGCTCAGGCGGTTGCTCAACGCCGACTCGAAGGAAAATGTCTTCCACGACTCTCCCGCCGGCGCTGCCGGCGCTGCGGGGGACGACGATCTCGACCACGCTCTTTCGGTGCGTGTGTGCACAGTACACATGTCGCACAGATGTTTGTGGGCTTTTATTGTCCATAGCTATTGCCAAATTTGTGCATGCAGAGGCTCTGTACAATTAAATGCATAAATTAGGGACAATATTCTCATATTTTGCTTAAGTAAAATTGTTCCGAATTCATGAACAAACTTGTACATAACTTACATGTTCACAAATGTCGCAATAGTTATGAACAGAAATTCCATAGGCATTTAATGTGTGGTAGTGAAAATGTTTGTGTCTGCAGCTGCTCCAAAAACAAAAAAAAAAAAGAAAGAGGGGGAATTGGTCCTTACTTTTATTTTCTTACTCTCCTCAGGCTGCTGGTGAAAGGGTTCTAGCGCGCTCCTACGGTCGCTCAAATTCCCAGACACACCACTCCTACTCTTCTAGAACATGGTCGAACCAAGCGTCCGGTTCGCTCCACAAATCGTTACCAGATCTCCATACCAGCCCAACTTCCATGCGCCATTCTGTACCCCGCTGGTCCTCCGACAACAGCAGCAACCGGGGCAGCTCTGCTAGTAGTCAAAGTGTAGAGGGTGGCGGCTACATGGATTACATTCATCGGAGAAGGTTTGTAAAATCGCATGCTGCACTGGAACTTTTCCATTGTAGTCCTGAATAAACCTGCTAATTTTTTTTAAAATTTTTCCTCTCAGTGGCAGTCAAAGGGGTAGTAGGACGCTGCACTACTCTGATGCCATGAGTGTGGTCTCGTCCGGCGGTCGCACTCACCAAAGCCATCGAAGCCAGCCAGCAGGGCCAGCAGGGCCGAGAGAGAGAGAACACAGTGGCGAACTGCGGAGGATTGGAAGCTCAGGTTCATCTTCAGGGACTCGCACTCACCGTAGCCACCCTGAGGGACGCTCGAGGGCCAATACAGTTTCTGTAAGTGCGGTTTGCAACCCACCTCCGCCTCTAAAAATGTGAGAGTTTGTTTCTCTAATTTTCTAATATTTTCAAAATTCATTGTTCTGATTCTCTTCAGGAGGTGTTGATGCGACAGGGAAGTGGTGGATCTTCTGCGGCTCTAAGTGGCATGTCGTCATGGTCTCCGAGGTACAATAGATCGAGAGCAGCTTCTCAATATCTCAATATGCGAAATGCAAGTGCAGAAGAAATAGAGGGAAGTCGTGAAAGTAGAGGCAGTCGTGGCAGCCTCGGGAGCAGAGGTAGCAGCCATAAAAGTGATCATGAAAATTATTCTTCTCCTCAGTGTTCAAGGTAAACAAATATTAAAAGCTGTGGTGAATCGTATCACAGTATAATATACCTATGGAACATTTAAAAATCTAATCTTGTTTTCTCTACTGGCAGGGTTGCTGAGTTGTGTTGGAACTTTGAACCCCGCAGACCCATATTACGATCCAAGTCAGATATAAGCCACCGTTATTCAGGCTCTGTGAATGTACCATTATCACCACCATTGCAAGATCCAGCCCAATTAGAACAATTCTTTGAACAACTGGGCCTAGACAACAATGAATTTCAGTGAGTTTAATGAGGAGTTAGAACTTAGAATTGATGCCAGCTATTGACATCTGTATTCACAATTTGATTTCTTTGTTTCAGGTATGTGTCTCGCACCCGGTCGAGCTCTTCAGATTCCCCTGTATTTTTTTCTAGTGTCAGTTCAATTGACTCAAATAATGCTGGATGGAGTGCACCTTGGTCGTCTCATACTAATGCCTTTTCAAGCAGTGCAGGAGGCACTGCTGTTACTCCTGGTGGGATGATGGGCAGTGGTCATAGTGGGAAGAATATTGAACAGCCATCCATAGTTGAACGTAATGCCCGCATTATCAAGTGGCTGTGCAATTGCCGCAAGGCCCAGAAAGAAATGTACCAATCTTTAGATAATGGCAATGTGAGCTGAGCTGCTGTTTATTCCAAGTCATAGTCTCTTCAAACAATAACTAGCTAAGGTATCTTGTTAACATGCTGATACTCTTTTATAGTGGTAGGTGCTCAATGCATCAGGGCATCAATAGGTCTTTCAAAGTCATAATTCTTTAGTCGTTTTTCATGTTACGGAAAAGTATTCTTTTCTTTCTGTCAATTTTGTGGAATCTTAGATGAATTGATAGACAAAATCTTCTGGTCATCAATGGCTATTTAGTTCTGTAAAAGTGTACCTTTGAAAACTGTTGAATCTCTCTTTATTGAGCCACTATCTATTTTACTCTATGTTCCCATCTATCTCAAAAAATTGTGATTACTTTGCTCAGTTTTTAAAACTTTTTTAATGTCATTCCTTGTAATTTCATAATTTCAGTAAGCGTATTCATTTTTTGTAAAACTTTCATCCAAAATCTCAGGGCAGTGCAAAATACAAGGGTCACTTGATTATATTTCACACATTTTTTTTTCTTGCTACTCTCATTAGTTATCCTTTCTTTCATGACTGCCTACCAAGCATTGCAGCTTGCTTTGACTTTGTTTTTATTTTTATTATATTGTAACTAGTCCTTTTGACTCTGTGACGAGCTGCTGAAATATCAAATTTATTTTGTCCTATCCTCACAGAATAGGGCAAAAAAGTCGGTTTCGCCAAGACAAAGTGTTGCTTTATTGATTGTTATTAATTTTTTGACCTTTCTTAAAGACCGTTGATGCCTGGACCCATGAAGGGTTCCTGTAAAATTTTAGGATTGTTAATGAAATAATGTTGCCCTGTTGCAACTAGTGTCTAGATGCCTTATTTTGTTCACATGAGCACATCTGAGCATGAATGCTGTGTGCGTGTGTCTGTCTTGAGACTGAGGAAAAGTCAAACCTACTGATTTACGTTGACTGTTGTTTCTCGTAGGTATACTCTACAATTTTTTAATACATTATTATAACTGTGATAAATTCCATAAAGTGTGCAATTACTCACTATAAAATGCAAAAATCCAATCTGTTAAAAAGTGTTTTGTTGTAGCACAACAGCAATTGCATTCCAAATGCAACTGTAGTCTAACTCAAGGTCTGGGATTATCCTAAAACTTGAAGTAATTTACCAATAACCTCTGTCCATATTTTTTGCAGTGCTGTTCTATTTGTAGCAGTCTAAATCCTCAATTCTTATCTAAACAATATTTGGTTAGAGTCTTTAGTCTGTTTCTCTACTCTAGACCTGACACATGGGTAGCCGTAGAATCCTATATTACTTGTGTACAGTGATAGTTTTTCTCATATTTGATTATATCATTTCACTCACAACTTGCTACTTAAACTCAGTTATCAATTACATTCCCTCTTCTTTGCTCATGATACCCAGGAAACTGTATCTTCTAGGGTATTTCCTTGCTAGAAAATAGCGCAAAGTAGACACCTATTATATGCATTTTTCATTATCATTCTTAGCTCAATTTTTTCTGTGTCAGTTTCTATTTTTAACTTATGAAAATTGTGATTTTGTCTTTGGTACTTTTGGGAAAAGAGTGTTTGTACAAGTCCTGTCTGATTTGGGTGTCGTGAGAGCTGTGGTATGAGCACATTGTTTATCGCTCATTTCTAGTCATGATACCATTTAAGATATTGTTCGAACTCCATTTATTCGCTCAAACATTTTGTTGTTATTCAATCTTAAGCACTTTCCTCTGCCTGATTGGTTCCTAGTTTTCTGTTCAGACTGTTGTTTGTGCTTCACCTTTGTTTCATCTATTGTTGAATGACATACTATCGCTCGCTATGATATTTGTTTGTGTTTGTCTGATTCTTTAAAATTGCTCTCAGCAATATTTTAATGGTAGTCAGTAGAAACTATTTTGAAGGGTTGGAATTCCCTCATTGCCTTATTATTATTAAATAATGAAAATTGTCTCAGACTGCATTGTGCTTAAATCTAGTCCATTTCTTTCAAGCTTTTTATGCAAGATCCGAAAGAGACAGTTCTGTTTTGAATTCTTCAGGTAATACATCATTGGTCTATTTTTGTCGCTGCCACCATATTTTCAAACCATGTTAAAGTGATTGTTGGGATGTCCTTTTGAGTCCATCAGATATTTTCAACTCACAGTTAGTCTCTTCCCTGCATTTAATTTTATTTTAGAAAACTTTTTACTGTATTACTCTTCTGTACTTAACAAATGACCAAATTTTTTTTTACAGTACTTAAAAGCAAATAATCTGATTTTGCATGCATGTCCCTTGGGAAGTATCTAATATGTATATCTCCTAAAATTTCAATTTCTTATGGAGGTAGGACTTAAAAATTCCGAATGTGTTCGAACTTATCGTATAGTCATCCTGCTCAATCATCCATACTCCTTCAGTGACTGAAATTAGTCCAATTTTCAGTTTTCTATAATCTCCCTGGCATGGAGTAAATGGATGTCATCTTTAAGGTTCCATCATCCTCTTTACATTATGATTGGTTTTGTTACTGTGCCTCGCACATGTATTCACAATTGTTACTGTGTATGAATTATTTATAATAACTATTAATGTATCTCAATATATTTTAGTTAGTTACTATTCTTTTAAAGAATAAAAATCAAGATTTACCTGAATTTATCTATGGCCTTTTTTATTGTGACCCGACCTGAATCCCATTCCTCTGGTCAAAGCATTAAGAATCGGTGACATCCCGACCGGTATCTAAATTACAAAAATTCAAATGCATAAAAGATTCTTTTGTGGTGCCTGCCATGGCCTGCCACTCGCATCGCGTTCGACGGCATGACAGACGCGTGACGGGCATCCGTGTGCGTGACTACTGTACTGCCCCAACGCTGTGCCACGTTCGGACACGTTCGGACACGTTCCCACGCTCGCCCGTCAGCGAAGTTAAGTACACGTTGGTGACGTCACGACCAGCAGGGCCAGGCGGGGCCAGGCGGGGCGAGCCGAATGGGTTGCCTGCCTCCCGGGCGGCAGACACACTCGCGCGGGCCCAGGTGCACCCCTCTCTGAATAAAACAAAAATGCGCAATATCCGACCTCATGCCCCCTGGCCTTTCGAGCACAGCTAGAACGTTAGCCGGAAAGAAACGGCGCGGGATATTTGCCAAGCACTACAGTGTACCGTAGTGCGAATGCGCCGCGCGTAGGCAATCCCGTCTGTCTTTTTTTCTTTTCTTTATTTTTTGTTTACCGCGGAGGCCGAAGCCGCAGCCACGTCAGCTCGTCGGCGAGTTACGGCTCAACATAAAAGTCACGCCACCGTCAACAACATGTTGTCGGTCTGCTGATAATGCAGCCTTTTTTCCCAGCTAAAGTAGTGCTGTCCTATGGTTCAGGTTCAGACCACGCAGACGAATCAAAGGAAGCAGAGCAAAAAGGCCTCGACTGCCCCTGTAAATACTGTCAATAGGCAAATAGGCGGGCCTTGGGGTTTGTGGTTGTTATTTTTGCCAAAGTCCCGAGATAACAAAATTTGAGATAAGATAAGAAGGGATACAGAAACATGAATATGTAACAGCGAAAGGCCAATAGAAAAGCCACTGTATGCGTTCCTTAATGCCCCCGTGGCCCTCTTATCTATACCACCCCCTTCATTCTATCCGCCTTATCCATTCTATCCTCGCGGCCTTGTTGTCGCCGCTCCCGCGCTCTCTATCTCTCCTCATGCCTCCGTCCTCCGCGGGCCGTCAGCCCGTCAGCCTTATTAGTCCGTAAGCACTGTAGACAGCTGGCTGATTCCGAGCATTCCTCGCGACCGCGCTCCGTCTTTCTCTCTCTCTCTCTCGCAATCCTACGGGACGCCGCGCGAGTGCGAGAGAGACGGAGCAACGAAAACACTGTTCGGAATGCCATTGCCTTCTCCTCGCTCGACACTCCTCCTTCATTATGCATGGAATTTATAAATGTAGGTGCCGCTGGCTCGCCGGGCCTAGCGGGCCCAGCCAACTGCCAAGCACTGTACTGTACAAGTCTCTCCCGCCTCGCCGTTGCGCCACGAGGACACGGATTATTCATGGAGGCACGCGAGAGGCACGGGTGTGCGTCGGTGAAGAGTGTAGACTCATTCCGAGAGTCCTTTCCGTCGCTCTATCCCTCTCGCACTCGTGGGGCCTCCCGTAGAGGTGCGGGAGAAACGGAGCGACGAAAACGACCCTCGGAATCAGTCTACAGTCGCTCGGCATTGCCGACAGGAAGGCCCCTTCATTATAATTATCCTCCTCCTCTTTGTTATTCGGAATCGGGTTTCCTGAAGCCGCTCTTTTATAAATAGGCAAAGAGCGCCGGAAGCCGGAAGTAGGGTGTGACTGAGAAGGGGCGAGAGGCCCGGGCGGCTCCCTTCCCTCCGCCCGATGGCTGCGGGGGTGTACACTCGGAATGAATAATGAATGGTGCTTCCCTCCCCTCCCGAATCTGCACCATTGATGTCCTCACCCACGCCTGCCTGCCCCAGATTAGGCAACCCTGCAGACGTTCGTTACCTTTTGTAGCTGTCTCCGCGGGATGGCCCACTGTAAAATTTTGAGTCCGTACAATTATTGTAGGAATGTGCTAGAATGAGCAAGAAGAGTTGCGGTGTATGTGCCACCCATGTTGCCTACTTACAGGCGTTTTTGCCACCTGAAATCTTGTACAATGAATGTGGGAAGTTGTTGTTGGCTCCGCTCGATCGCCCCGCCGGCACTTTCGACGCCTCCTCTTTCAACACTGTCCTGCACTGCTTCATCATGGCGCCGAGGAGAGCCGTGGTGGAAACGCCGAGTCATATGAATGGGGGAAAACTGCTGAGAAAGGCCGTCTACCGCAGGCAGCGAAACTTGCGCCAAGTCGAGTTTTCGCACTATACTCGGCGCCCCATCGCCGAAGACGTAAGAGGCGGCAAGGCGGCACCCTCGACGGAACGGCGCACGGAGCACGGCAAGATGGGCGCGGGCACGGCCTCAAGGGTGGAGTCGCGGGGGGAGTGGAGTCGAGAGCAGAGAGCGCCGGGCGACAAGAGCAAGAGGATGTGGGAGGGGTTGGCGGGGATGGCTGGATGATGGGATGGCTCGGCGGGCTTGTCGTCAGGGGCCCCGGGCGCTGGCTAGCGCTGGCGCGGCGGCTGGCTGAGTGTACACCCTCCCCTCGCGCACACCCAGCACACCCTCCGCGTGCTCCGGGGGTGTGCGGGCCGTACACCGCGAACACCGCGCCGCGCCAAGTTGGACAAGCTCTCTCGCCCGGATCGATGGTGAAGGGGCTGAAGGGGCTTCCCCCTCCCTCCCGGCTTCCCGGCCCGCGGCGTGGTGGTGCTTCGGGCTTCGGGCTTCGCCTGCTTCGTCCGAGCGCGCGGCGCACGCAGCACGGTCGGCACGCCGGTCGGGGGTATTGAACGAGAAAGTTCCCCTTCCCTCGGGCGGGGCACCTCGGCCCCGCAAACTACACTGTAGCCCAGCCCCCTCCCTTTCCCCCGGACAGCCCCCTTCCCCCGGGCTGAAGTTAGGTCGACAACTTCCGATTGGTCGGGAGCTTTGGGCGGGAACGGGGAGCGGCAGGAGCGGTGCGGGCAGTGCAGGGGGTGTAGGTTGTGTCGGGGTATTGATCGCGCCGTGGTGGTAGAGGTGGTAGTGCCTGCGAGCCAGGACGGCCAGGCAGGCCGCAGCGCGCAGCGCGGCAGGCAACAAAAATAGGTTTCTAAGTGCTCGCTGTAAAACGGAGCGGGGTGGGGCGGACGGCCGGGCGAGCGGACGGCGGAGTGGGAGGTCGTAGAATTTATATCCACGATTAGAGCGTTGTTGTTACTTCCACGGAGCGTCGAGTGGGTGGAGGGGAGGCGGAGTGAATGGATAGAAAAGAGAGGCGCGCTGTGCCGCACTGTGCCATGTCAACCAGTGCCAGCCGCCTCTGCGTGCTAGAACTTCCCCCCGCCACGCCGCCACGCTCTCTCCGTGTTTTCCCAACTATGTTAACTCGAAGACTATTGCAGTACGGAAACTGCGTTCACGCTTTTGCGACTTTACTGCGTACTACGACCGATTATTTCAGTAGCTTGGAAAATTTCCTACTGCACATATTCCAAACTTAATTGCAGACAGCTTCGGGCCGACGAATTATATGTGCAGTACGGCTTGGAAAATTCCATACTGCACATTTAATTGCAACCTTAATGCCGTACAGGCTACGGCGTTAGACGACTGACATGTACAATATGGCTTGGAAAATGTCCACACTGCACATACATCCAAATTTAATTGCAGCTCTACTGCTTCTTATACAATTTCTGTGCAGCCCCGGGTTAAAACTCTTCTACATCTCCTTTCAAAAAAATTAATCGCAGTACAGTACGGCTGTGACGCTGAAGGTCGCGTAGGGCGAACCGACGGATAGATGAGCAAAGCAGCCCTGAAGCTTGAAGACCGTCATTGCTACTGGAACTCATCAGCGGTGCTTTAAAGAATCTGCAGCAATGACACCCCAATATCTCGATACGCGAATCAAGCGCGGATATGGCAAACAAGCAAACCCAAAGGTAAACAGCGCTGTTTCGCTCGTACTGGGAAAAAGGAATGGCCACTGGAAGCAGTATGGCCGTACTGCGTTAATTTCAGCATGTAGTGCAGTATAGAAATTTCCGGCCGTACGCACATAATAATTTAGTTGTAGGACGCAGTAGGCCGTACTGCAATTAATTTTTGGGCATATATTTTCAGTATTGGGAATTTTTCCCAGTCGTACTGTACATAACGAAGCGTCTTGGACGCAGTACGGCGTACTGCGATAGCAAAATGTTTTTCGACGCCCGTACTACATATAGTCTTTTCCATGTTAATCGCCGCCCATCAAACTTGGGAACCGGTTTTTCCGCCGCCGTTTCTCTCGCACTTTAGCCGCCGTACTTGTCGATTATTTCGTGCATTAGAAACATGCTTGCTAGTGCGGAAACTAGTTCCACCGCTCGGGCAAAGTTGAGCGAGAGTGCTTTCGGGCCGGCGGAAAGGAGGGGAGTGCGGTGGAAACACTTCCAACAGCGAGCACTTTATTGGCAGTCCCGGAGACGATGACCACAGGCTGCAGGCACGGCTGTGGTGTAACGACGCGGCATTACATACCCGTGTTGCCCCGCGGCCTCTGCCCAACCTCCACTTGGCCATTAAGCTCTACCTTTTCCCCATTATTCCTCCTCCGCTTCGCCCTGCTCCGCCCCGCTTCGCCGCGTCCTTCGCCTCTCCTTCACTCGACGGCCTGCTGACGCCGCCGACGCTGACGCCGCGTGACGGGCGAGACGAGACGAGCAAAGCCGCAGCCGCGCAGGCACGCCGATGGCCGCTCCGGCCGTTCCGGCAGCCCGAGCCGAGCCGGGCGAAGCGAGGCAAAGCCGCAGCTAAAAGCAGCGCGGCGTCGCCAGTCTACGCCAGTCGGCATGAGTCACTGTAACTCGTATTACGGAGCGAGGCAAGCGAGAGGCAAAGCGGCCGGAGCGCGGCATAGAAGGACAGCGTGATAGAGCGAAGCATGGGGCAAAGCATGGCGCGGCGCGGAGCGGCACGGAGCGTGAACACAGTGGAAGCGCGCTGATGGTGCGGCGGCGAACCAAGCGGACAGCCGTGTGAAGGAGAGACGCCGATAAGAGACGCTGGCCTGTGGCTGCCTGTGGCGCGGCCGGCCTGCGGGCCTGCGCTTTGCCGTGGCTTTGGCCGCGCCTCCCGTCCCTCCCCATTCTATCCCCGCTTCTATCCGAAGGCCCGAAGGCCGGCCGCCAGGTCTACCGCCAGGCCGCGGAGCCGGGAACGGGAAAGCAGCCAAGCTTCGGCTGCCTCGGAATTGAGTGAATGTGGTTAATTCATATTCCCACTGGCACAGGCAGTCACGCCGGGCCTGCCAACCATTCGATTCCCCCTCTCCCCCTCTCTCTCTCTCTCGCTCCCTGCTGCGCTTGAGGCTGGGGCGAGGCGGGCGGACGCGCTGGAAAATGAAGCACCAAGTGAAGGAGGGACCGGGGCGAGGGACCGGTTGGGTGGACCCGGTAATGGTAACGGGGTCGGGGAGTCTGAGTGAGTCGGAGTGGGGAGGCGAATTGAGAACGCTGTAGCGCGCTGTATTTCTTGCCCGCTCTCAAGAACGGGGCGGGGCGAGCGTGCCTGGCCGTGCCGCGACAGCTGCGAGCAGCAGACCGATTCCGAGAGTCGTTTTCGTCGCTCTGTCTCCCTCGCCCTCATGAGGCGGCCCTAGGTGCGAGAGAGACCGGAATGAGGCTCCGAGGTGCGAGGCAGGCCGTCGGCGTGGGTGTGGGGCCGGCCAGCGGAGCTAGCGGGGTGCTTCGTATACTTCGCTGCTTCTCGAAGCACAAAGTCCTCTCCTCTCCCTCCTGCCCGCATTGCAGCGCCAGCATGATGCCAGCACGATACACCAGCGTGGGGGGCCGGCTTGGCCGGCTGGGGCTGCTTGCCGTGCGAGCCTTGCACAAGAGCCTCACAAGCCTCACCATTCTCTCTGCCGTCCCGTTCCCCCTCATCTTCGCAGCGCTGGCAGCGTGCTGGCAGCGTGCTGGCCGCAGGATCCTCGAGGACGGGGCACAAAACGAGGACAAGAAGTACAAGGCCTCCCTGCCGTCCGCCCAGGCCTTTTGAAAGTTCTTTTGTGCGTGTGTGTGAGAGAGAGGGTGTGCTCCCGCCAGCCAGCATTGGGCACGGCCCCTACAAGGTGAATGTACTCTCCCCCTCTGAAGCATTAATTAAGCACTCTCGGATTCTTTTGTCTAGCTTCTGCGCGTCATCCGGTCGCTAATGTTTGAGGACCTTGCCGTATCCTAGAACGTGGTGGTGTTCAACGGCGTGCACTTACATGACGTGCTTGGAACAGCTTTAACTTGACTGTGCTTAACGGTGACGGTGCTTAACGGCGACGGTGCTTAACGTTCTTAGAATGCTTAATGGCCCTAGTGCTTAACAGTGCTATCTTTACAGTTCCAATGGCGGTTTCTCTCTGGCGGTTGAGCTATCAGTCACGGCGTTATCAGTCAGCGCGCTTATCAACGCTTAGCTGACTTCGAGCTTCAGCGTGACTGGCGGAGCACGCTCTCAAGAGGCTCAGGCGGATCTCCAAGTTTGCAGAGCTTGTTTGTTCCAACGTGGCGGGAAATGGTAACAGGCGAATCGCCCGCGGGCCAAACAAACAAAAATGTAAATGCCGCGACTCCCCACCCCACCCCACCCCACCTCCGCGAAAACAAACATGTTTCATGTTTTCAGAGCTCCGTGCGCCGTTTCCGTTGGTGAGCGTGAACACGCTCGGGCGGCACAAAAGCACAGCGAGCGAGGCGGGGAGAGGAGAGGGGAGGGGGAGGGGACGAGGCCGTGTCCTGCATACCCTTCCCCCACCCCTGCGCGGTGCCGTGCTCCTTGCAGCCTTCGGGTCGGGGAATGGCTCGGCGTGGCTGTTCCGTGGCTGCCGAGTGGCTGCCGAGTGGCTGCGCGTGGCTGCCGAGCCGAGCCGAAGTCGACCCGACCGGTGCCGCCGCGCCACGCCACTCCCCACTTTCCCCCCCGGGATAGGGGCTTTGAGGATAGAAGGATAGAGGAGAGGAGGGAGTAGGAGACCGTTCTATGCCGCGGCGCGGTTGGCTGGCCGGGCGGGTGCGGGTCGGGACAGCAGAGACAGCGACAGCAGGAGCGAGCTGTTCTGCCGCTCGCCTTCGCCGCGCCTGTTCGCGCCGCCTTCGCCTCCGTCCCCGTCCACTCCGTCGTCGTCCTGCATGGCCTAGGCGTCGTGTAGGTCCGCCGCCCCGCGCTACCCCGCGCCAGCCCGTCGGACGCGCCCGCGCCGCCGCCGCCCGCCAGTCAAGTGAAGCCGAAGCCCCGGAGCAAGTCGCGAGCAAGAGCCGCAGGCTGGAACGCTGGAACTGCGCCGCGCGGTCCCGCCTTGCTTTTGCATCGGCCGCGATCCGCGATTAGCAGTGCAGTGCCCAGTGCGACGGCGGCTGATCGCCCCCCGCAGCGTCTTGTCACGCGCGTCACAGGCCGTCACGCACGTCACGAGAAAGCACAGGCACGCAGGACGCGCCGCCGCGCCGCGCTCAACGCGAGGGAGCGAGACAGACGATTAGTGCGGGTCCAGTGATGCGTTGTGCGCTTATGTGCGTTCAAGGAACGGGTATGCGACGACGCCGAGTACAGCGGCAAGAGTATGCAGCCTTTCTGACAGTGGTACGTACGTGTGACTGGATTCCCGATTCCTTGCTGCTTCGTGTCTTTCATGTTTTGATTTATTTTGGTGGTTTGATTTGATAGTTCGGCAAGCAGTTAGCACTCGTTTTTAACTCTTACCGAAATAGCTGAAAGCTGCAAAAGCAGAATAAAATGGTATTATGAAAGCGTTTTGACCACATTCGTCACAATTTCCTCCCCATAGTCAAGACAAGTCTTGACTGCTGTCAAACCCGGCGCCAAACAATAACTGCAGGTGTTTTTGGAGTCTGGAACAGTTCGGTTCTCAGGCCGTTAAGCCAGTTTATCTCACGGCAGTGATCAAACAACCACAACATATACTGAATATAAAATACTGAAATGAAACAATCGTTTTAGAGCTACTCAGACTTTGGAAGTTTATATTTGGGTTTATAAAGATGGAGGTAATTGTGTAGCAATCGTAGTGTTCTTTATTTTTATCATCTAATTGAGAGATTTAATCGCCAAATAATATAAATAATGGTATTTCAAGCACCGTATGTACCGTGCTTACTCTTCATCATGGGGACCAATTAACCTCAACAATTTGTTTACATTTTTTTCTGATGGTCCTCCACTTAAGGTGTCTTTCTGAATGGTGCTATTAATGCTAAATTATTGCACCATTTCTTTTCTTTCCTTTCCAGTGACTTCAGGTTAAGTTGCATAAGTCCTAAATTGGGTATGTTTCTAATCATTCCTATTTTCCTTTAATTTGTTTGCAGGTTGGCAATGAACAACTTGCATTCTAGTGAATTCCCTGATATTCAAGGTTTGTATCTTTTGTACTGTACTCCTTTATTTTAGACAAACACTTAATGTAATTACTAATTCATGTCTTTTCACCCAACAGATGAAACTCATACTGAAATCAAAAGTTTTGGGACTGGCATAAGCGATAATTTGTTCGCTGAGAAACGTCCACTTCCTGGCCTCCTCTGTCTCAGACGTGGTTGTGAACATTTGCAGTTTAGCAGTGAAGTTAGTAATATGTAAATTAATCCTAGAGTTCTTTAGATTTTTTCTCAAAATGGTTTACTTAATTATCTTTTATTTTAAAAATTGCAGGCGCAACATCATAATCATCTCTTGACCCATATTACATTGCCAACTGTGAATGTTAAAAGGCTAAATTTGGCCAGCACCTGTATACAAAAACAAGAACCTCTGAAGGTTCGATTGAAATTGACAAGTCAGGCAGGGTCAAACAAACCTGAATTTGAGGTGAGTTTTTTTTACCATTCATTGTTTTATTTTGTAAACAATGTGTGAAGTGGCGGATTCAGTCAGAATATTCTGTACTTGCTAATTTGTACAGATACATTATTCATGATTTTTTGTTGCTGCCAGGAGTTTCAAACTAACTCGTGGATTAAGAAATTGAAAGAAAGTGGTGACTTGAGATCAAACTTTTCTTACCAGTTGTTTCAAAATGATTTTCCTTACGATGAGGTAAATTCTTCTATTTGTCTTGTGTAGAATTTGTGTGCTTTCATATTGTGAGTTAGTCAATCACATTCCAATTCTATTTTTAAAATTCGTTTTAGAGTTTTATTAGTTTCTTCTTAACATTCTGGAGATGCAGATCAAATTTTGTGAAAAATGTGTGCTTGCTTTGAATGATGTATCTGGCAAATGAGTTTGGCATGTACTCTTATGAGGTATTCTGTTGTTATGTTTGGTTTTGCCTTTTCTTAGATTTTTTGTGTTTTCACTGTTTGTTTTTTTTGTAGTTATAATTTATGTACAAGAAATTTTATTTAGAAAAGAAAATTTGTATCACATAATTAGGAAGAAAATTAATGTTTTTCAAATCCTTTTCTTAACAGGTAGTGCACTCCAAAAAAGTTCTGTTGGGGCCAGGGGGAGTATATTGCTTGAACGGTGTTGAGGAAGAAGTGAAAACAGAGTTCCTTGAGAACAGTGTAAGCCAAATCTACCTATCACTTCTTGCCTTTGGGTCTGTTCTAGATTCAAATGTTTCAGATTTAATCAAATCCTTGTTCCTCCTACAGATAACGTCTGAACCTCAGCGGCCTTCCGCAAGGGAGCCAGTTACTACTTCCGAGCTGGACGAGCCCACTTTGAGCTCACCTACTGAGGAGAGGGTTGATAGGGACCATCAAAGAGAACAGGTTGGACATTGATCTAGCTCCCTCTCTCTGAACTCACACAAGTTCATGGACATTCTTGTAACTTATCATGCTCTATTTCAGGAAGAAGACCACCCTCAGAACAAGGACAATCCAGAGGAAACCTCTCAAGAGGAAGAAGAAGAAGAAGACAGCGAAGCTGAAGCTGAGAGTCCACCCCCTGTGCCCTCACCTTCACCCTTATCACCTACTCCCAGTGAAGTTCTTAGGCCACACGGTTTCCTAGCGCCTGAGCAGGTGGTTGATGACGATTCTTGTTACCCAAATTCTCCAGCTTCTCCTACAAGAATGGTGGAAATGAATAGCTCAACTTCGGCCATTGGGGGATCTGATAATGACAGTGGGCATTCTAGATCGCCTGCTACCTTTACAGGTTTGTTCTCTTTTTTTCCCTTTGCTGTTTGCGTGTCTATCAGTTCAAAATTTTCATCATTTTTGAAATTGTGAATTTTTTTTCTCTTTAGGAACGGGGTCAGGTGGCGAAGAAGACTCATCAGCTCAACAAAGATATGATTGGGAAGATTTAGTAGGGGAGTCCACAGGACATGAAAGTAATGAATCAGTTGCCTCAAACGAGAATGGGGACACTCATGGAAGTCCAGCAACACACGATGATGTAGCAGCAGTGTTGGACAGCACCAATGTCGCCTCAAACTTGCTTGAAAGTGATCCATTGCTTCTACCAGACAATGCTGGTTCTGCTGAAGGGGAACAAGATAACCTAAATCTCCTACAGAATTTAACAGCAGATGTTCCAGATGTTGATCGAGGGGCAGGAGGTGAGACTGAATACATGTCATTAGATCGACTTGCGGAATCTTCCTTCTGCTGTGATGTATGTGGTGAACGTGCTCAAGATCGGAGAAGTTTGGAAGAGCATCGTACCATGGCAGGCCACTTTAAATGTCTTATTATGCCTGAATGTGGCTCAACAATATGGAGGACATCAGGGGAACTGGCAGCTCATCAGACTTCAATTCATGGGTTGGGCCAGCCCCAAGTTCAGCAGTCTCAGCAGTCACCACAACAACGTTCCACTCCTCCCCAGACTTCTCCTCAAGGTGCCCCTGGCACACCCCCAGTACAGCAGCTTGCACAACAAGTCCAAAGACTTGCAATGCCCCCACAGGTAATTCCATCATGAAGTGATGTTAAGTTAGTTGCAATTATTGTTCAGTTTTCTAATAGCTTATTCCATGGCAGGCACAATATCCCATGCCGGGTGGCCAGTATCCACAGCAACAAATGCAACCGCAAATGCAACCCCAAATGCAACCACAAATGCAAATGCCACCCCAAATGCCACCCAATATGCAACCCCAAATGCCACCCAATATGCAACCCCAAATGCCACCCCAAATGATGCAACAGATGGGACCAGGGCCTCTACCAGGTCAGATGCCTCAGAGAAGACCACCTATAGGCTACCGGATGCCGTTGCCAGGGCAACCCTATGGTCCTGGGTCTCCAAATCAGCCACAACCTGGCTTTTCTGGGGGCATACAGCCACGCCCCTTGAACGCTCTTCAGGCTCCAGTGAGAGGCCCGGCACCAGGCCGACTACCACCAGGTACAGCTTCATTCCTGTTTTAATTTTGTAATTGTTAACTTTTCAAATCTAATTTAAACAATTGTCATTGCCAATAGGTGCTGGCATGCCGCCGAGAGGCATGGGTCCCATGCCCATGCGTGGGCAGAAGCGGCCAGGTCCTGTACCACAAGCAGGACGAGGAATGGTGCCTCCAGCAGCCAAGCAGCGGAGAGTGGAGGGCATGTTGCCACCCCAACAAGACAAGTACGTTCCTTGACTTTATGTCTTGATGTCTTACTTTAATGAAGGTTGTATTGCTAATAGCCAATGTGTTGTCTCCTCCACGAGCAGCATTCCGGGAAAGAAGAGTGATGCGAAAGCGGTGGCCAACATCCTCGCCACGAGGGGCATCACCGTCACCCCTGCCAGTGGCGCTGGCGGCGGCCGAGGCGGGGGCGTGGCCAGTGCAGCCGCTGCGCAAGTGGCTCACGCACGGCAGCGGCAGAACATGCAAGCCCCAGCCCCTCCTGCACCGGTCACCACACTCAACCTCAACTCGGCCATCTCCATCATACCCACCACTGGCTCAGGGAACGGCAGGCAGCAAGTAAGTTTGTCATATCCAGCGACGATCGGACTTGGAATTATATGTGGATCATCTGAACTTATCCTATATTATTTTTGCTTTCAGAACAACTCAGGGTTTGCTGTGCCACAAGTTCGATCAGCGGGGAGACAGCCTTTAACCACAAATGTCGACAGACCACCTCGTCCTCCAACTGTTGACCTCACTGGAGATGGCCCTCCACCAGGTTCAACAAGGCTGCAAATGGGGCTCACCTACAATCGAGGCAGGGGTGGAAGGCCCTCCAATATGTCCCGCACATCATGTCAAATTTGTGACAAGGTGTTTCCCTCTCCTGAAGCGCTCAACCAGCACATGGCTATGCATCGTGGCCCTGGAAAGCTGCCCTTTAGGTCAGTCTCAAAATGAAAGCTGTGGAATTTTTGAAAAATAGTATCATTTTATTTATTATGGTGTTAAGTTTTGAACAAATCAATTAACTGTAGCTTTTTAATTTCCAGGTGTAATTTATGCAATGCACAGTACCCTACCAGCCAAGGCCTTCAACAGCATCGCCAAACATATCACAAGGAGGCTTCAGGGATGACAGCACCTCTCGCCCCTGGGGAGGAAATGGTCATTCCTCTCATAGATCTCAAACAGCCAGGAGTTGCTTCAAGATTGAGCTCTTTGGGCATTCATCACTGCATCCCCCTGTCTGGCCTCGGCAATCAGGCCAACGGATATTTCTCACTTCCTGTTGTCTCCATTGATGGTTCCCGCCAATCAGCAGCGGGTAATTTGCGATCACTTGGTGCTAGTGGGGTTCTCTCTATTGGTCCTATAAAGCTTGTCCCTAAGTAAGGATACTGGCTATGTCAAAATTTGACCTTTTAGTATGCCAAAGAAAATTTTAAAGTATTACTTTTTTTTTAATGTTCAGTGGAAGGCAAACTGCCACAAAGTACATTTTAAAAAATATGCATTAAATACTTAGGCCTTTGATGAAGGCCTTTTAAGGTTCCTATGTAAAAAGATACTAGTGATAACTGAAATGAGTTGATATACATTTTGATAATGGTAGCTGGTTCTGTGTCTGCATATTGTTATCTGACTGACTTATTTTAGTGCTCTTTTTAATCACTAAGAATGAAGATCTATTCCTCCCCATAACATGCACCAAATTACTTAAAGAAGTCTTCTTAACTCATTCATTGTGGGTATAAGTGTTGCACAAATTTGGCCTGAAGTCAATGCCTTAAGATATTGTATTACCTGAATCTTCTTCGTACAATTTGTGTGTTTGGTGTGATCTCAGAAATATTAAGAGCTGATGAGCAAATTGTGTAGGTGATAAACTCGTTTTGTCTTGTCATCAAATTTGGTTCTGTAGTAGTATATGTGTTTGTGTCTTTTAAACTCACAATTTTTAAATTGTGCTTGATGTTATGAGTAATGAATTTCCCAAAGGGTTATGTTAGTTATAAGTGGCTTTCCACTACAGTATCTTCTTTATTTGTTTCAGTATTTTTGTAATCCTGAGATTACATTTATTTACCGGAAATGGTTGTGTTTCCTTTTTAAAATATTTTTTAATGATCTGCTGTATACTTTCATTTTCTTGGCTCATGAATAGTACCCACATTTCTTTTCTACAATTTGTGTACCATATTTTGTGTCAAGAAATACAACTGTTGTTTTATTTTTCAATATTTTACGTTTGTTGTTCAAACTTAGGGTTTAATTAACTACAGCCTGTAGTTCATGTGTACTGTATTTGCTTTACTGATAACCAGTATCAACTTCTTTGCCCTTAGGTTTTGTGTTTTCTTTAGTTCTTGAACAAATTTACCTGTACTTTATTAGTAGGTGTAATGAAGTGCTACTTCAGTGTCCATTAATGTGCTACTTAATGCATTTTTTTTGTAGATATCCTTTGTCTTATATCTGCCCCTTATACATAATTTCAGACAGTGGCATTTAAAAAGATTATAAAATCATGAGTTACTTCAATGAAGGAAAGTGAATCTTTCCCTCCAAGGTTTGTTGTTAGTGGTCCTCAGTTAAGATAAGTACAGCTTAGTGCACGGCTCAAATATATTTTTATGAGTCATCTGTAAATAACATTGTTTATACATTCTACACAAGCATGGCATATTGTTTCTTTAAAAATAATGTTAACGACTGAGAAGTTGTATCCTGTGCCATTCAGACTGTGATAAACTTAGAGTGTGTTTACTGTCCAAATAACCCCTAATAATAATAATAAATGTGTATAAGAATTAAATTTTTGTTTTGCATACATTGTTTTCTACCTGAATGGACAGCAATTCAACCACAGAAAGAAATCCAGTGGTGGTTTTCACAATCCATGGGTCAATGTGCCTTTGGTGTTCCGGTCGGTAGTGCAATGATAAGGAAGGGTAATATTTGTTGATGCCGCTCATATCATCAGAGACTGGGGTTTAGAGTCCAATCCCTAGATTAGGCTGGGCTGGTGAAGCACCTCACCTGATGACGGTGCCCAGCGGCAGCGCCACTCAACTCATATGATGTTCCGAGGGTTGAGTGGGAGTGGCGGGGGCGGGGGTGGGGGCGGGGGGAGAGGGAAGTCGGGGAAGACACTGGCCACCGGCCGCCCTGCCGCTTGCGCTTGCGCTCACCGAGGGGTTGCCGCATCGCATCGCACTCGCACTGGTCACTCCGAGCGAAAATCACAAACATTAGCTGTCAACGACCTCGGCGTGTTGCGATGATCGTTGGCAAGTTGTCCATACTGTCAACGATGACAGGCAGAAACGCCAAAGCTGCCATCAACTTGACAACAAGTGTTTCAAAGTACTCAACTGCAGCAAGCATGGCCAATCCGAGGCTTGCCGGCAAAGTGGCGATTGTCACAGCTTCCACGGATGGGTAAGTATCCAAGTGTGCTTGGAGCTAATTGTGAATTGTTTTACTATAAGTGAGAAACTTGTTATGCCTAACCTCACAAACTTAGCTAGTTTACATTTGACTGGCACACAAGTCCTTGTTCCGTCACAAAGTCTCACTTAATTCTGTTTACAGGATTGGTTTTGGTATAGCCCGCCGTCTTCTGAGGGAAGGAGCCAGTGTTGTTGTCTCTAGTCGCAAGCAAAAAAATGTTGACGAAGCAGTAAAAGCACTCCAAACTGAGGGTTTGAAGTCTGTCACCGGAATTGTTTGTCATGTGGGCAAGAAAGATGACAGATCTAAATTATTTGAGGAGGTATGATTTGCTTTCTGAAAAGAATTGTGGAAGAACATAACTTCCTGCTGTTGCTTTTACCTTATTTTTTGTCCTTTAGGCCAAGAAAAAATTTGGAGGGCTTGATATTTTAATTTCTAATGCTGCTGCCAACCCAACTGTTGGTCCGGTTCTTGATGTAAGAATTTTTATAAAGTCCTTGAAGTACTTGTTGCAAGTAAAGACGGTTTTCACATCTCTCTATCTTTATTCCAGTGTGAGGAGGATGCATGGGACAAAATTTTTGACATTAACGTGAAATCTGCCTACCTATTGTCCCAAGAAGCTTTGCCTCTTCTGCGTAAACGAGGGGGTGGTTCCATTGTGTATGTTGCCTCTATTGCTGGGTTGCAGCCTTTCCCGGTAAGATTCCATCAAAATTCCCTTTTTCATAATTTGAGTATTTGTTAGGTTTATCCCTGTATTGTTTGTGTTTTCTTTTCTGCAGCTTCTTGGGGCTTACTCTGTCAGTAAGACTGCATTACTTGGACTTACTAAAGCTGCTGCCCAAACTTTGGCTTCAGAAAACATCAGAGTCAACTGCCTTGCACCAGGAGTCATCAAAACTAAATTTGCACAAGCAGTGAGTGGTTGTTCTTAATGCTTTATTATATATTTGAAAATTTTGAAAATATAACAAGACACTTTTAAAAATTGAATTTTACTATTTTGTTTGTTATGCTTAGATTACAGAACCTGAAACATCAAGAGATGTGGCTCTGCAATCTATTCCAATGCAAAGGTAAACATAAAGAGTGTTACCTAACATAAATGAATAACTTTCTGTAGAATTCCTATTCACCGATTGTTGTGATTCCAGGTTTGGCACCCCTGATGAAATGGGTGGAGTTGTAGCATTTTTATGCTCAGATGATGCAGCTTACATTACTGGTGAAACAATTGTTGCTTCAGGAGGAATGCAGTCCAGATTGTAGTTCTCGCACTTTCTGGCTTTGGCTCTGTTATTTTTTTATGTGTCCGTTGGCCAGTTTTCAACAAACATATTGCTTATGACTTTGCTCAACTGTAGTTTTAAAAGTAATATTTTTATAATGAACTGTTTTTACAAGTGATATGGTATGAAGGAAGGCAATTAAAAACTTTAAAACACAAGCTTTACATTGATTGAAACATTCACACCTATTTCACCTGGATTCCACAAAATTGATAACATCATGAGATTCCCAATAACAGAAATTAAATGGTATGGGTAATTTTACAAAACAAAGAATAGTGAGATTTTTTGTCAGGTCACTAAATAAGAGTCAATGAGTTTGTCATGAACATTGTTCAAAGAACAATTGAGTTTTTGGAGATAGTAAAACAAATAAATACTATTTATACATTTAGATGTTTAAGATACCGTCCAGGATCATAAGCCTGTCAAAACTTACCACATAATTTTAAGGCGCATCTCCATAGAGTGCTATGATATTAGTAATACTGCTCGGGTTTGGCACTTGATATCGTAATACATTCTATGTAGCAGCAAGTCACTGGAGCACTGGACAGGAGGAAGCCTCAGAAAGGACATGCACTCATTATTACTGGCTTACAAAATTTCAACTAATTTAATAGGAAACATCACAAGAGTATACAATACTTGGAATTATATTGCTACCTATTACTATTGCTTCAGACCACACGAGTATTAGTTTTCAGACCACCTGTAAATAAAATACCACTCCAATCAACTCTGCATAGCACTGGAATATTCAAACAGCAATATGAATTTTTTGAGATACAAACATTACTTGGTCCTCCAGATCACATAACAAGCATGGCTTATAGATGAGAAAATTCTACAAACCAGCCATTAGCTTATCCTATACAAAAATGTTGGAAGCAGTCAATTCAAGGAGTGTGGCTTGGCTTCCCTTCCCTCAACAAGACTAATTGATTAACATTATGTATTCATACATAGTACACATGGATAAAAAAAACAACCAAATTCCTTTCACAAATATTATATGTTCAACTTGATTTACATTATTGGTTACGATTTGATCTGAAGTGAATCTCATGGGTTTCACTTAGGTACAAGACAGACACATGAAATTGCATTCAAATAAGAACTGAATCACTCTACAAAATCAATCAATCCATGTGAGGATTGATGCATAAATTCATGACACATGTCAAAACAAACTTTACATACAATAATATATAAAACAAAATGACTAGTATACAAGTGAGTACAGTACAATCAAAAATGAAATAAAAACCATTTATAAATTGAAATAAAAACAACACAATAAAAATGTTCTGCAGTTGTAAAAAAGTTTGACTGGCTAAAAATTGAAACTAAAGGAAATGCTACAACATAAAAACAACACAAAAGTGAAGAATTTTGGAAAGAAAAGTTCATGACAAATGAAGTGAGTGAATAATGTTAAGTTAATGGATGGAAATAATGATAACATTTGCTTATTTGCCGTCATAACAAAAATCATAGTTTGGGGGATCTGCTGGGATTGGTGGAGGATCCTGTGGAATATCAACACCTTCTGCATCCAAAAGCCTCAATTTTATATCCATTGATAGAAGTGTGTCAAGGTCATTTTGGGCTTCTTTGCTGGTCATTTTGCTGCCTGAAAGTACACAAAGAATACACACAAATATATTTATTTGAGAACTCCCTTTACAAAAACAAGAAATACAAATATAATAATCTTACCCAGCAATGCATTAATGCCGTCGGTCCAGTAGTCAAAAACTTGTTCATCTGGAGCAACAAAATCCAACGAAGAGACTTCAACTGAGTCAAGCAACAATGAAAAAGCTAGCTGATGAGTTGTTTTCCGCCCTCTGAAATCAACACCTTTAAATATGAGAGCAATTCTCTGCGTTCAGAAATAATACTGAGAGAAATTTAGAGGACACTCACCGCACATCTTTCATATGGGGACATTCTTTTCCTATCACCAGTGCTTTAATGTCTACAACTGGTAACTTACTGGAGAGCTCTTCTAGTGCTGGTACACTTTTTTCATCACAATCTCCATAATGAAACACTTTGTGATTGGGAGACAAGCGTATGTACCAAAACTTGTCTTTAATTCTCTACAAAATACAAAAATAACAGTGAATACTTTTAACAGAACTTGTAAGAATGGAAAATCAATAGGGTTATACTTGATACCTGGCCACGAGGAGAGTATTTGGTGAATCTAGTACCCTCAACTAGAAAGCCATTACGCTGTTGTTGAATTAGTTCAATTATTTCTGGCTTGATTTGCTCCCGTAATTCAACAATGGGCCTTGCATGAGACTCCCATTCTTCACGGCTTGTTCGCTCTTGCTGCCATAGATTTGTGATTTCAGAATAGGTGAGTACCTGAAGAAGGCCTCGAAACTTGTCTAAAGACAACGGCTGCCCAGCAAGAGCTCGAGTAATTTGCTCTTTGACCACACTGAATACCTTTTGAAAAAACAAGCATATTGTTATTATCATTATTGGAGTGAAAATGTGATTTGATAAGATGTGAGATGTGAGAGTGTGTATGAGTACCTTCACAAAATCTTCTTTAGTTGCACGCATCTCTTTCCATGTTTTGTTCAAAAGAACAATACAGACACAGAAAAACTCTTCAAAGGGATGGTCAGTGGTGAAGAACATAGGATGATAGTGATGACCCTGTTCACTTGGTGCTTCACCAATTCGAAGGACTTCGCACAGTAAACGAACAAGCTCAACACTTGTCCTTCCAAATGGGCATTCATGTTCATCAGCACGGCAAGAATTTTCAAGTACAACCTTGGTGTAATTTTCCACATGATTTCGAGCAAAATAAATCATGCAATCAAGGGCCAACATCCCAGGAGGTGTTTCAGCAAAGTCAAGGGCTGGATTGATGTCACATTTGAATCCCAATTTCTTGTAATCTTTGGCAAATCCGACTTGCCTGGAAATAGATCAGATTAATTGAAACATGCACTGAATTAAATAAAATCCATTAGTATTGAAAAAATATATTTTTTCAACAAGAATGAAGCAACATATACCTTCTTGCAGTGCTATCTCCACCTGATGAAGCATTATCCATGTCAAATGCAATTCTGCGAAGTTCTTTAATTTTTTCATGAGCATCTTGGTCTTGTAAGTCCATTTTGGTATTCATTCTTTGCTCTAACAGAGCTAACTGAAGAGTTTGCAGGACATACAGTTGATGAGCCATTTCTGTTCCAACCTAAAAATAGAAAATTTTATTATGCTTATAACAGATGAGATAGAAGGCCTTGAAGCAAACACATGGTAAAGCATTAATGTATTTACCTGGCCAGATGCAGCCTGAATGTTTGTTAGGATGACATTGCGTACTTTTTGAGAGTTAAGAGTGGCTGAAATGGACTTCCGCTTAATGTGATCAGCTTTTACAAAGAGGGCATTAATGAGTGCAATTGCATTTTGTTGAGTTACAGGATTAGAACTTTGGAGGTGTACAACCAAGCTTGGAAATGTAAGTTCTTTCTCTAAATGAGCGTATTTCGCAGAGCTGTTAAGAACAATACTCTCCAAGATTGACAGCGAAGCTTGGACTACTTTGCTGTCCTGATTACTTCCTTGGTTGTTGACATAGCTTGCAACCCGGTTCATAAAAGTAGATTCAAGAATATCCCATGAAACAATGCCATGATCCATAAGTTCAACAAACGACATAAGACAGAAAGCCAAAGTAGCGCCTTGACATTTGCCGTCCTCGATCATGGAAATGATAAGCGCAAGCCCTTGCTTGTTGATGAACTCCAAGGCAAAAGTCATGTCTGTGCTCAGTTGTGACAGTTTTTGAAGAGCCTGAGTCTTCTCGTCCAAGTTCCCATTCTTAACTTTAAATAAAATATCTTCTGCTGTCTTAGATGGAGAGAAGGTTAGGCGAAGAATGGATCCGTTCTTAATTTCATTTCTGTTCTTTTCAGTGACGTAATTTTTGTTGGTGTTCTCGGTGAATTGTAGCGCATACAATTCAGAGTCCGTGAGCTGCCATCCGTTGCACAAATCTTGGATAATCGCGGCCAGCGAGTGCTTCTGGTTGAAGCCTATGAGTTGAGGCACTTGCTCGGCCATCTCCACCGCGATCTTCACGATATTAGCCGTGTCGTTCATTGCAGGCATCTTGAATGTGTGCAGTCCTCTTCCTTGGTCACTGAAATGAAACGCGGTCCGCAGAGGGCTTCAACAGGAACTACACAATTGACATTGAAGGCAATTTCACCCAATAAACAAGCAGACCCTCCAGGCCCTCCACCGCGGGTTTGTTTGTGTTTGGGAACTGACTGGGGATGGGCCGGGCCGTCGGGCAGAGATGGTGGGCAGCGCCGGATGCAAAGGATGCCGTCATGAACGCATCTCTGCCTCCCCCTCGCCTCGCTCGAGTTGGAAGATCGGTCGTCAGATGGCGCTAGCAGTGCCAGCGCGAAAAAACGACAGGACGCGCTGCGCTGGACAACGCGTTCCGCTGAGTATCTCCATCAGCCACACTTGCGTGGTTTTTATCTTTTCTCGGTCGGATTTGGAGTAAATTAATCTGAGTCAAAGTGACACAGCCGGAAGATGGTGGATCAATTTGGGGTGACGCTGCACGGATACAAGAAGCCGATTGCTAGTTTCAAACGAGACGATTTTAAGGAAGAGAGACTCATTAGCTTTGTACCGAAGAAGCTGAAACCTGAGGTAGATGAATCAATAATTTCGGATAATGAGTATTCGTGATACCACTGCTGCTGACTTATTGTTGCCTCATCCAAGCATTATTGACCATGTCTCCTAGGATCGAGCATGGAATTTTCCCAAAAGACTGGACATCTACGACCCAGTTTTGGACGGGTATTCGTACAGCTCCCAGCATCTTTTGCAGCAGATCAAACACAAGAAGTTTCTCAAGCCCTATGGTAGGCGTCCTTTAGCCAACGGCAGCGCAAAATCCCCCCGATCTAGGGATGCATACCAACCAGGCAGCGTTGTCCAAATGACGTCATCTGGTATTCAAGGACACATTGTTTAACTGAAATTGGATGCTCAACATCGTTTCAGGCCCTTGGGATGTCTACCGGGCGCCCGTCCTGTCCTCCATGGACGTGGGCTGGTTCCTCAACGACCCTGCCCTGCAGGGCGAGGACTGGATGGAGGTGCGCAAGCGGAGCCCGTGGCCGTGGTCTGAGATGACGAGGTCATTGTCGTTGCCAGTCGCACTAGTGTGATCGTTGTTACGTCGTAAGCCAGCCGTCTCACAGCAAGGCACTGTGCAGGCTGATTTCGAACAGTGCACTACGCCTGGCAGTTTTCGAAGCGCGTCTTGCTTTAATTTAGGGCCTCCGCTTTCAGGTTCCTGGACCACATCCGCCGAGTCGACAAGTTCTGCAACATGTGAGCCCGGGCCGCTGGCCGCTGCCCGCAGCCCGGCCCGCCAAGTGGCCGAGTGGCGTCCAAATTTCCAGGTGCAACAACTTGACGGTCAGAGCGAGACCCCTTTCGGCGGCGGCGGCGGCGGCCAGGATGGCGAGGATGGTGGCAACAATGTCGGCGAACGGGGCGCGCACAAGGGGAGCGCTGCCGCACGCTTGCCGCAGGGCCGCAGGTCGGTGGGCGCGCCGCGGGTCTTTTCGCCGCTCTGTCTCTCTCACTCTCATGGAGCGTGCCGCAAGAGTGCGAGTGAGACAGAGCGACGATCCTTCGGATGAGGAGGCTGGAGGGCCGCGGAGCCGCGCAGAAAGGGTAGCGGGGCTCCCCCACCCCGCCCCCTCCTCCGGCAGGCCCGGACGGCCCGGACCAGGATCGTCTAACGAGATGTTTGCGCTGCGCCGCTGCGCCCTGATTCTGTCTCAATCTGCCCTGCTGATGCTGATAGCGGACAGGGGCGGATCCGGCGGATGGGCGAGGCAACGACTCGGCGTATACACAGCATTTTCATACCGAGTCGTCCGAGACTCGGCACGAGAACAGTCAGCCGCCCGCCGTCGCGCCCGCGCAGCCCGCGCAGCCTGCAGACAAGTTCCAAGTCGGCGCCAAAATCAATAAAGTTTCAATTTCCATCCCCAACGACGTCTTTGCTCGATGTAACTCCTCTACAATATGCGTGGCCTACCTGGCCACCGTCTACGTACCTGCCTGCCGTCTACCTGTTCGTCGTCTACCTGGCCGCCATTACGGTTTGGCACGGCGACCGCTGACGCGACGAAGAGAGTACTGTGAACGTGACGGGGTGAAGGGTCCGGGGTTGGGGCCCAGCAGAGTGATTCCGAACGCTGCCATCTCGTCGCTCTGTCTCTCTCACACCCCGACGGGACGCCCCACGAGTGCGAGAGAGACAGACCTCGGAATATCAGTGTGCCGTGGCAGGGCGGCGTAGCCGTGCTAACGGCCCCACCGTCAGCCCCCCCTCTTCCTTCCCCCTCCCCTTCCCCCAGGCCACTCAAGATACCGCACGGGATGAATCCATCGCCATTCATATCGGTTCTGTTTGCCATCGGCGCGTGTCTGGACTCTGGAATGGGAACCGGGAACCGGGACGAGCCCCTGCCCTGCCAGGAGAGTCCAGAGGCCTTTCTCTACGGAGAGGGACCCCCCGCGAGGGCGACGCGTTCCTCGTGACTTTCACAGCCAAGGCCACGCCAGTAGACTGATTCAGAGAGTCGCTTTCGTCGCTCTGTCTCTCTCGCACTCATAGGCGTTCCGTGTAGGTGCGAGAGGGACAGAGCGACGGAAACGCCTCTCGGAATCGGGCTGCAGGAGGTGCAAGCGGCCCCTCCCCTCCCCTCCCCTCCCCCTGCTACCCCCGAAGACTCTCGGCAGGCAGCGGCAGGCCTTGGGGTGCGCTTGTTCTCGTTTTAGGCGAGCGAGTCTGAAATGTCTAAGTGTACAAGCAACCGCGATTTCAGCGGCTGTAATCTCACTTCCGCTCCTGCATTTATTCATGAAGCGACTGCCGGTGCCGGCAGTGCCGGCAGTGCCGACTGCCGTGGGATTTCGCCCGCCTCCACCAGTCCACTGGCAAATCCACTGCGCGGCTGGTCCGCCACACACCGCCAAGCACCGCTTGCCGTGCCCCCTCAGCGCGGCGGACGGCAAGAAGCAGGACGAGGAGTGCCAGAGCGAGAGGGAGGAGGGAGGAAGCTTTTAGCAAGATGAGACTCGGCCGGCCCTGCCGGCCCTGGCGGCGGCGGCCGATCAGAATGCATTCTTGGAGTGTTGGCCGCTTCGCCGCTGTATTAGACGCTGAGCTGCGCTGAGCAGGGCATTACGACGCTCTCCGTCACGCGCCGCGCCATTGGGCAGCCGGCCGCTTCCGAGTGCCGCCTCTCCGTCTCTCTCGCACTCGCGGGGCGTGCCGGCGCGGAGCGAGAGAGACGGAGCGACGAACTCGGAATCGGCCCGGTCTTTTGTCTGGAGAAAGGGGCCGCAGCCCCACTCGCCCCAAGCGCAGCAAACGTGCCGAAACCGGGTATCGAAATAACTTTTAAGTCTGCTTCTCTGGATTCTTTGGCTTTTCTGACCCGGTAACAGTGCAAGCCCAGTGTGGAGAGAACTCCTCTCTTCCTGGTGCGTGGCAACTCTCCACGCCCTGGAGGAAAACCAAGCTGTGGCCTTTTGGGCGTGACGAGGCTCGCTGGAGCGAGGCGCCTTCGAGGTAGGCGACACTGGCGGAGCGCGACAGCGCAGCGCAGCGGAATGCCTACCCGGGAGGTCGCGGGCGCCTGGCGCACAGTGGGCCAGAAGGCAGGTCTGCAGGACGTTCATCCTCCGCATTTTTACGGTGCATTGGTGCATGGCACACAACGCGCCCGGCTTGGCTTCGCCGCAGGCTTGGCGCTCGCGCCGCTGTCCGCTTTTAACTGGCGCGCCATGACTCATGATGAGATGAGTCGGGTGGCAAAATGCCTCGCAAAATGCGCCAAGTTGGGTGCTCACGCCGCGCACGCCGCGCACGGTCGGCTGAGGTTAGGCCATTCGGCAAGACGGATGGCCTCATCTGCCTCTCTCTCTCCCTCTCTCCGCGACGCTCCCAAGAGGTGAGTTATATTCCGCCGGTGTCCCTGTGATGTTTCATAACAGTGGGGCAATAAGAGACTACCGAGCCGTAATGTAGCGGCCCCAACCCCTTGCCCCGCCCCTTCTCCTCGCAAAAACCCCTCCCCATCCCACGAGGGCTCTTGTCTCTCTCTCTCTCTCTTTCTCTCCGTCTCTTTCCCAGCCGCGTCCTCTCCGACCCGGCTCGTCCAATTTACGCACGGAACGAGGCAAATTAAGTCGAGATTAAAAGAAGCTCCCCGCGGCCTCTTTGCCTCTTTGCGCGCTGATTGGTCGCGTTGCGGGGGCGGCCCGCAAAGTGGTGGCGGTGCGGAGGGGGTCGTTTTTACCTTCCGGATATTGAGGGGGTGTTAGTGGAGCCGAGGGTCCTACCCTGGGACGAATTTGTTCCCTACCAATTAGTGTGCACGTTGAACAGCGCGCCTCGGTCTCGTGCAACGCACTGGCTGAAAGGGGCATCAGCGAAGGCGATGGAGGCGACCTGGGCAGCACCCAGCGGGGAGCTAGGATACACCATCGGAGGGACCGGCCGTTGGGACTTCCGAGCCAATAGCATAAGGAGATCCCATATGTAACGATGAGAAAATAGCTTTCAAACTATTTACTACGCTAACCTAGGTCGCCACCGCGAGCGTGCGGCGGCTCGGCGCGCGCAGCGCCATCTCGCGGCGACTCGCGGAACCTCGTCCGCGCGCGAGGCCAGTTTGACCGGTGACAGCGGGACTCGAACCGAACGTGTGACCCCACCAATGGATTCCTCGTTCGGAGAGCAATCCATTGTTGGGGTCACAAATTCGGTTCGAGTCTCATCTAGCGACTCGGGAGCTCAAAACGCGTCCGAGAATTTGACCGCCTCCGCCGGTCTTCTGGCCCACTGTGCACTGCCCTATGAACAGAACGAGGGTGGCAGCGAGGCGTCTAGAGAGCTAAGCTACCATACCAAAGGGCGTCCAAAAGGCGTCCTAGGCGCGTCCAAATGGCATCCAAAGGGCGCCCTAACGGCCCGGCCCATTGCCGTCTAAAACTTTTCGCCATAACTGCCGCGGCGTGCTTCTCGCGAAGGGCGGGGCCAGGAGGGCACCGCGCGGACTTTGTTTATGAGCGGCGCTACGCAAAGCCAGCAGACTGACGTCGCTCTGTCTCTCTCGCGCTGGCCGTCCCCGTGAGCGCGAGAGAGACAGAGCGACGGAAACGACTCTCAGTCTGCAGAGCGGCAACCCTTGGCGATGCGATCCGCCGCCATGGCGGTGAGGCGCGCGCTCTCGGCGCTTGCGCTCGCTTGCGCACGCTCGGCCAGAAGCGGCGCTCACGTCACCCCCGGGAGAGGTTATGTGGTATTACCCAAGTTTGTGGAAACATTACGGCGCCGTCCGACGGTCTGTCGGCCGGCTCTTGGCTCGGCCTCTTGGTCGGGCCGGGTGGCGGCGCCGAGTTGCCCTATCCGCGCGCCACTTGGAGCCACTCGGCCGAGGGCGATGGCGATGGCCGAGGCGCCGAGGCCGGCGGCGAATCGGCATCCGGCATTAGCGTCGGCACGGCCTCGGCCGGCCTCGGCCCTCCACTTTAATTCGCGCAAACGGCGCCAGCCGCGCCAGCCAACGGCAAACGGCCATGCCCAGACGGGGCTGGATTCCCCGACCTCGGGCCCCTGGCCTCGGAAATACACACACAGAAATTACGTCGTCGCAATTTTCATCGAACACTGTAGGACACAGCGGTCCTAAACCTTCTCCGGCTCGCGACCCGAAAACGACTCTCCCGCTACTTCTGCCATTTTCCAGAGAACTTCCCCGGGAGTTGGCCTCGGAGATAAAGGCGGCGGTGCTTCAGCAGAGACTTCGGCCTTCCAAGAATAAAAGGCAAAAGTCAATCTAAGCCTCTTGTTGTTTCCTCGCGGTCCGACAGCCACGGCGTCTGCAGGCTGATTGAGTGTCGTTTTCGTCGCGCTGTCTCTCTGGCACTTATGGAGCGTCCCTTACAGCTGCGAGAGAGACAGAGCGACGAAAGCGACTCTCGGAATCCGTCCGCAGTTCGGCCCTACGCGTCTTAGCGGGCCGGCCTACTGCAGTGGGCCTCCCTGGCCGTTAGACCCGGCCGGACTCGTCCCCGACCCGAGCCGGTGTGGCTGATTTACAGTCATCGCGGGAGGGCCACAAGCCATCCATCCTACTGCCTTGCTCTCTCTTCTCTCTCCCTCTTCCACAATTAGCGCACTCCAGATTAAAGCGGTGTCCAGGGACCTATTAGCGCGCTTAGTGCACCTTGTTAATTAAAAGTGTAAGCGCTCCTCCCTCTCCCCCCTCCCTCTTGGGGTGGCGCCTGCTCCTAGACGCTGGCCTCACACCGCCCCGGCACCACACCGCGCTACACCGCGCGCACCCGGGTGGGTCCCTGAAACATGACGGATGTTTCCACTTGCAAATGGGGCTTCCCCTTCCCCCACCACCCTTCCACAGTGGGCCAGAGGACCCCTTCCCCAAGCCGCCGTTCCTATTCTTGCTCCTCCCGGTTCGGCTTTCGATACACGAATTTACAACTGTTTGTCCCGGTCGATTAACTGATCCTGATTTGAGTAATGGCGGCAGATAGCAGTGTCATGAGTGCAATCCCTGCGCCACTGGGAAATCCTTGAATCCCCTCCTAAGGCGCTGAACGCAATCAGAGCTCATGGGATAAGCCATAATCGTGCGTGGATCCTTTTTTTTCTAAACCGAATCTCAGAAGATAAAAACGTCGAGGAAGATTTAACGCTCTCGAACCTGTTGCAAAATAAAACGCTGATGGCAACAATCTGCACAACCAGCATTTTCGTTCCATTGGTCAGATATTGTCGTTTCCCCTCTCATTGAATCAGACAATGTGAGGTCCCACCATACCACTGCCGGCACAATATTGATCAATATTTCAGACGTGACGAGCCCAATTCAGCAAATTATTTGGCAGTGTATCCTCCTCGCTGTTCCGATGAAGGCGAGGCTCGAGGCAGATTAAGCATCAATTATAAAGCATTTGCCTGTACTGGGCTGAGTACCAGGGGCAACATAGCACTGATTATTACATGTCAATTTTCGTGTCGCCTGTCGTGTCGAGGAAGCGATAGCAGTCGATCGTACGGAGTAATCTCTTTCCCGCTTGTCAATGAGTTGTCACGGTTTTCTTATCGAGGCGATCCCTGCGTGTTGATTCCGAACCGTGATTTCGTAGCTCTGTCTCTCTCGCACTTACGGGCCAGCCGTTGGTGTGCGAGGGAGACAGCGACTGTTCGGAGTCAGCCCATTGCTGCGGTCCGCGCCACGAGTCTCTTCTAACCTCTTTCAGTTTTAACTCGTGGTTTCCCCTGGCAACAAGTATGTTTCCCGAACGCGGAAGCACTTCTGCGATGAGAATGAGAATTCTGGGCGGCTTTCTGGTGACGTGCGGCGGCGTTGCCCTTCACTCATAACCTAACCAGGTAACCTAACCTAACCAGCTAACCTAACCTGACCAGCTAACTTAACATAACCAGCTAGCTTAACCTAAAAAGCAACCCAAACCGTCTGCCAGACGGCCCGGTGACGCCTGCGGCGTATTTTAGTCTGAGTGACAAGTCTCCGCCGCGCACCTGGCCACTCGGAAAGAGACAGAAGCTCTGACGTCGGTCAGCCGACTCATTCCGAGAGTCGTTTTCGTCGCTCTGTCTCTCTCGCACCCATGGGGTGGCCGCTATAGGAGTGAGAGAGACAGAGCGACGAAGACGACTCTCGGAATGAGTCTGCCGCGCGAATCAGCCCCGCGGAATCCACTCCAGTCCTAATTGCGGGCAAGATAACGGCAAGGCGGACACCGTGCCGCGCCGTGCCGTGCCGTGCCGTGCCGCCGTCGAGGAGTCGAGCATGGGGCCCTCGAGCACCGATAAGTGCGTACCGCGGCCCGTCCCTGTCAGACTGCACGGTGCTGGCGTACCCTCCGGAAAACCTAGAGAAGAGAAGAAAAAGAAATGTGATGACGGATAGAAAAGCAAGAAAACTTATCGGGGCTTTTGACAGGCAAGGTGGTGTAATCGCGCCTCGAATAACCAACCGCGCCACTGTTGTTCTGCATTTCACAGTCCGCGAGTGTTTGGCCCCTCGCGGGCCTCGCGGGCCTCGCGCCGCACAACACCCGCATCACTTCCAGTGGACTGATTCCGCGAGTCGTTTCCGTCTCTCTGCCTCTCTCGCACTCACGGAGCGTCCCGTATAGATGTGAGAGAGACAGAGCGACGAAAACGACCCTCGGAATCAGTCTGCATGCAAGCCCACGCAGTCTCCGGCCTTGCCCCCCCCCCCCCCCCCCCCCCCACCCCCAATCCCGCGAGGTCTACGAGACCGTCGTTGCGGCGTACGGACGCTGCAGGCGACCGATGGGCCAGAAGAAATCGCCTTAGTTTCCCAGCGCACGATCTGCGATCAGCGATAAATTTCGAAACGCGTTTCCTTGCGTCTGTTTCACTTGGATTGCTCCCTGCCCGGGGCTGGCCGGGCTGCCCCCGCCCTGCCGCTTCGACTGGCCGCGCCGGGTTTGGGGTTGGGCGGGGGCGGGGGCGGGGGGCGGCGGCCCTCGAGTAGTTGATGAATGGCCGTCGGGCGCACGGCGTGCATGGCGTAGCCGAGGAGGTAACCGGCGATAGCTGAAGACTGATTCTGAGAGTCGTTTGCGTCGTTCTGTCTCTCTCGCACTCATGGGGGCGTCCCGTATTGGCGCGAGAGAGACAGAGCGATGAAAACGACTCTCGCAGTTAGTTGCGCGTCGCGCCGCGGTGCGCCTTGCCGCCCCCCGACGCCACCCTGCGCAGCGCCCACGCCGTCAGGGCCGTCAGCCCAAATCGGACGCGGCGCGGAGTAGTGGGGCAGCGGAACAGCGTAACGCCCCAAGAATCGAAGGCTGATGGCGGCAGATGGGTCGGGCACAGCCAGCAACGCCAGCGGCAGTCGGAGCGAGTAGAGAGGGAGAGAGGTGGTCGCCGCGGCGAACAAAGAGCAACAAAGAGAGCGAGCCTGGATGCTGCGCGCTGCCTGGAGCGCGGAGCGGCGGAGCGGCGGAGCGGCGGAGCGGCAGTGGGGTGGCGGGAGTGGCTGGGCGGAGCCAGCGGCGCGTCGCGACGCTCAAGATAATTTGCAGTATCACTTTGTCCCGCCTGCCGGCCCGGCCCGGCGGTGCCTGGGCGGTGCCCGCCCTACCAGTGGGCCGCACGCCGCGCCGCCACTGCCCCGACGCTGCCTTGTCTCCCCCACCACGGCCTCCGCCTCCACCGCGAGGCGCGGCCTGGCGCGGCCCTCCGACGCCCTGGCCCCGCCCCCTTGCTTCGGCCGCGGCGCGTAGCGCGCGTAGCGGCGCACAGCCACGGCGACGACGCTCGAGCTCCCCCACCCCCACTCCATCTCGCCGGCATTTACACCAATTTCGACACCGATTTCAACTGAGATGGATTCCGAGTGTAATGTATACAGAGCGTAAATACACACTTACCCGGGCGGGGCGGCGCGGGTCGGGGCGGCGCGCGGGACGCGGCGGCCGCGGGCGACTCGGAGCGAAGCGCGAAGCGCGCAGCGACACACGCGCGCGCGGACCCGAGCGAGCAGGACGCGCACCGCGACGCAGCTCCGCGACAGCACACGAGCGTCGCCGCGCACCACGCCGACCACGCCGACCACGCCGACTGCAGCGGACCACCGCCACGGCGACCTCCTGCACGCCTCGGAGCAGCTCAACAAGACTGTGTGCGTGGTGCGATAACTGTGCTAGTGACTGTGCCCCCCGTGTCGACATTGACGAGTGGACTGCGATGTGCGTGTGATGTCCGCCAAGACGGTGTCCGTGTCCGTGGCCGTGATGCGCCCTTCGTCGCCGTCCCTCTCCCCCGACAGGCCCGACAGCGTCGCCAACACCATGGCCACGGCGTCGCCGGCCACGTCGCCGTCCGCGCTGAGCAGCGGGTCGTCGCCGCCGTCCAAGCGCTCCTTCTGCATCGAGGCGCTGCTCGCCAACAACGAGGTGGCCGCCGCGGCGCGGCCAGGGCGCCGCGACGCCGACGACGCCGTGGAGGCGGGCGACATGCGGCAGCGGCGACGCTACTCCGAGTCGCTGTACGGCCGGTTCGCGCCGTACCACCACAACAACAACAACACCCTGCCCCATCCCAAGAGCTCCACGTCGCCGGCCTCGGACCTCTCGCTGCCGCGGCCCACGTCCGTCGAGTCGCCGCCCACGTCGCCGCCGGCCTCGCCAGTGTCGCGGAGCGGCGGCGCGCCGTCGCCCAGGTCGTCCGAGGACAGCATGAGCCCGCCCATCTCCCCCGGCTCCGAGGACGTCGCCGAGAGCTACGCGGGCCGGCGCAGCGAGAGCCCCCACAGCCCCAGGAGGGACGCGCTCTTCGCCAGCCCCGGCGCCAACGGCTTCCTCGCGCTCAACAGGAACCTGGGGCTGCCGCCGCTGCAGCGCGCCGGCATGGACGGCTCCAGGCTGCTCACCTCCGGCGCCATGTTCCCCGGCGGCCACCCCTTGGCGGGGCCCCCGGGACCCCCCGGCCCCGCGCACCCGCTGGCCGGCCACCACGCGCTGTACTACCCGGGGACGGGCCCCGCGCACGGCCCCGGCCACCAGGGCCACCAGGGCCACCACCCCGGCCTCGGCCCCGGCGGCTCGGCCTTCCACCCCGCCGGCAAGGGCCCCCCGCTGCCCTCGCTGCCGCAGCACCAGATGAACCTGCACAACATGCAGCTCGAGTGGCTGCGCACCGGCATGTTCTACCCGCGCCTGCCCGACCTCGCCGGTGAGTCCCGTCTGCGGTCTGCACGCGACCGTCCCGTGTTCAGCTTTGCGGCGCCTCTTGGCGGAACGCGCCCCTCTGAAGGCCTCGCTGAAGGCCTCGCTGAAGGCCTCGCTGAAGGCTTAGCTGAAGGCCGCAGTGGCGGGGAGCTTCGTCAGGCCGTCAGGCCATGGTCAGGCGCTGCTTGGCCTTCTCGCGCCGACGGCGACCCTCGCGGCATGGCGGCCCCGCGGCGCCACGCCGCCACGTCGCCCGGGCATTACAAACATCGTAAAATCTGGCAACGGAAAGCAATCAGGCTTTCCTATGTGACCGGGCCAGGGCCAGCGCAAACAGTGGACGCGTCGTTTCCACCGGGGGCAGGGCCATCTCGGCCGTCACGGCCATCACGGCCTAGCCCTGCGCCACGGCCAGGCCGAAACTGGAGCAGAAATACCACCAAAGTGGACCGCCCGGCTGCCAGGCATTCTCGCGTTGGAGACTCCGGGGGGGATTTGAACGCCAGGCCCCAGCCTGGGGGAACGACCACTAGAACCGCTCGGCCACGCAGGCGGCGTTTCCTCGGTTTCCTCGGGTTCTCCTGTCGTCCGCCGGGCCGTCGGGTCGTGGTTCAGGTGGCTCTCCCTGGCCGCTTGCTAAACTGGCCCGCGGTTTCATTAAATGGCGGGACGGGGCGGCGGGGGAGGGGAGGGGAGGGGAGGGGAACGGCGATCTGCCGCCCAGGGCCGCCGGGGCCGCCGGGGCCGCCAGCATTTGGGGCAGTAATTGGCAAGGAACGGCCCTCCTCCCCTACAGTCCTTCAGTCTCCTGCGGCTCAATGTTTTTCTACACGTCGAAAAAAATATCTCTCATGTTTCATTCATTCTGGAGTTTTTTTTAAATTCATCGTTTCATTTTAAGGCAGTGGTCGTTTTTTGTGTCTCTTTCTATGAAGTTTCCATTCATTCATTCATTCATTCATTCATTCATTCATTCATTCATTCATTCATTCATTCATTCATTCATTCATTCATTCATTCATTCATTCATTCATTCATTCATTCATTTATTTTCATTTTCATTTTGATTCATTTTCATTCAATTTTGATAATTTTCACTCCATTTGTTCGCTCCTGTTCGTTCCTCGTGTCGTCCCTTTCCCCAGGCTAGGTGCGTCTTCTGCCTGTTCCCCCCTGCAGCAGCCACCTCTAGGAGCCGCCCCGCCCCTGCGCGCTAATTTTCCCCTCCGCCCCGCCGACTTCCAGTTGATGCCTGATGATCGCCCGCGGGCCGCACGCCGCACGCCGCGGTCGGTCGGTAGAGAAACGGCGAAGCGGCGGTGTTCCGTCCCGCCGTCCAACCCGAACGGGAGCAGAAGGGGGCGGATTAAAAAGGGGTGGGGGCGCTGGGTCGTTATGGCCAACCTGACGGCGAAAAACGGAGGACGCTGGCCGATTGCCATTCCCCGACACGTTTCATGCCCCGCCTCGCCGCGGTAATTGAAATTAAAGCCCGAGTCGCTCGGAAACAAAGGGGCGGCGGCCGAGGCCAGCCGAGGCGGAGGCAAAGAGTCGGACGAGGCCGACGCCGACGAGGCCCGGGGCAATCTGGGGCCGGGGCCGGCCGAGGCCCGTATCGATTACAGTTGGCTAATGAACCGAAGACGCTCCACCTCCACCGCACCGCCCTGCAGACCGATTCCGAGAGTCCGTTTCGTCGCTCTGTCTCTCTCGCACCTGTACGGGGCGCCCCATGAGTGCGAGAGAGACGGAGCGACGAAAACGACCCTCGGCATCAGTCTGCTGGCTCGGCTGGGCCGCACTCATCGCGGGCGAGAGGGAAAGGGGCGGTCCGACCGGCCCCTGGGATTGGCGGAGTCAAACACCGTTTTCTTTTCTAGAATGACGCAAAAAGGGATCGGTGTGCGATTTCGACGTTATGTGCTAAATGAAGTGGAGTCGACAAGCATCTTGCACGACACGCCCCTCCTCCTTCCCAAAAACAGAAAGACACCGGGGCTGAAGGTGCCGGTAGTCGAACCCAGGCCTCTCACGTCGCAAGACGAGCGCTCTAACCTCCAACCCCCGCGCTAATGACTCGGGTCGCGTGCTGAGGTGGCAGGGTGGCAGGCCTTGGCAGGTAGGGCGGCCCTGGGCGGCCCTGGGGTGGCAGCCCGCCGGCCTCGGTGGGGGCGGCAGGGACGGGGCGGGGGTAGCAGCCCCGTGGCAGCGCGCTGCCGGGGCGGAGCGGGGGTGGAAAGGGGAAGGACAATGAGGACAATGAGATTAGCTAATTGCCGCCATTGAAAACCTTTTCCCTCCTCGGGGACACTGGCGGCGCGGCCAGCGCGGCCGGCATGGCGCCTCGCGGCCCTCGCTGCGCGGGGGTGGGCCGGTGGGCCTGCGCCGGGGGTGGGCCGGGCCGCCTGCCATCCACACCAGCGATGGCGGGCCCGCCGGGCCGGGGGTGGCTTTGCAGCGTCAAATCCTTGAAACAATCAATTCCAACGACTCCCCCCCTCTCTCTCCTCCTCCATGATATCACTTGAAAATTGAAACGGGCCGACGGCAGCCATTTTCTTTCACTTGGCCGCCGCCGCCGGCCGTGACGCCGATGCCCGTCGCTGTTTTATTTTCTCCTCTCTATTTAAATTACATCGCTTTTAATTCAGCCCCACCCGGTGTTTGGTCGACTGTCTTTTTTTTTCCAGCGCTCGCGCGCAGTTTTTTTTTTCTGCGCCCTTTTTTTTCTCTCTCTCTTTGCCTCTCGTTTTCCCCCGCAGTGATTGGGTTCGCTTCCAATTGCTTTGTGTATTTTTAACTGGTTGTGATTGAGCGTCTACGAGCGCTGCCCCCCCTCCCCCCCCCCTTCCGGTTTTTTATTTGCCGGCGGTTTGGGGGCCGAATGCCGAATGAGCGAGCGGTGGGGATGATCCGCGGCTAACGTGGCTAACGTGCGGCCCAATTGGAAGGTGTGCGAGCGAGTCCGAAGGCAAAGCCGGAGGCCGCCGTGTTTGCTGACGACGCACAGTGGACCAGAAGAACGGCGCAGGCGGCCGAAACTTTATCAGACGCGTTTTGAGCTCCAGAGTCGCTAAATGGGACTCGAACGGAACGTGTGACCCCATCAACGGATTGCTCTCCGGACGAGGAATCCAATGGTGGGGGTACGTTCCGTTCGAGTCCCATTCAGCGACTCTGGAGCTCAAAACGCGCCCCTACACGCGAGAAGTAGTGACAGACGAACCTCTTGGTATGAGGCCAATATGGAGTATTTTCAACCAACATTGCTACCAACTTTTGTAAAATGGGTGTTACACCGTAATCACCACATCAAACAAAAGACACAGCAGGGCTTCACAGTGCGCTGCTATCGTCCTTTTTGGAACGGACACCGCTTGTGACACGCTGGCGGTGTGCGGCGTGTGTTTCACTAGGACGTGACCCCGCCACGCCACGCCATGCCACGTCGCGCCACACGCCCGGGGCGAGGCGGGTGAGGCGACCTGGCTTGGGCACGGGCACGCCCGGGGGTTTCGGTGTGTTAGCGGTTTCCGAAATATCGGGCCGCTTGTTGGCTCGTTAGGACTGTCAGCGGTTTGAATAATGCATGATATTTCGGCTCCGTCACCCCGCCGCCGTCACCACCCCTTTCCCTCCCTCCCTCTCCTCCCCCGTACCCCTTGCCTCTCTCTGTCTCTCTCTCCCTCTCCTGCCCTGATTGTGGGCGCATCGCTTGCCATATCTACCCGCGGATCGCATATAAATGCAGACTATGCGGATTCGCAGCCACACCTTGCCAAACCAACCCACTGCTCCACGCCACCGGCAGCGCCACCGTGTTTGCACTCTGTGCGTGTGTGTGTGTGTGTGTGTATGTGTGTGCGCGCGCGTGCGTGCGTGTGTGAGTGTATGACAGAGAGAGCGATGCCTCACACGGTGGCAGGTATACCGCAGCACTACCCTCTCTGATCAGAGCAAGCCTTTAATGAGGATATCACTGCATAGCCACATACAAAAAAAAGGAAGGGGGCTGCATTTTGTTCGATTTTCGTTTTGTTTGTTCTTTTCCGTTTATCTCGTCAACACTCCGTCGCTTTTGCAATCTTATCGAAGCCATTACTGACAAAGTGTGTTCAGCACCCGGAGAGGGGTGATACGCGTTGTGTGTGCCTTGTGTTGTGCTAGAAAATAGAGTCCAAACTAGAGTCTTCGCCGTCAATAACGAGCACAGCAAAAATCAAAAATGCATTTTTTGCAAAAAACAAAAAAAAAAAAAAAACCTTTTTGTCTCGTCGATTTTTTTTTCTCGTCCTCCGTCTTCCTCCCCGTTTGTCCCCTTCATATTCCCCCCTCAAGCTTTGGCTCACTCAGGGAAGTCCCTCCGTAATGATGCCTTAATCAAGTGGCCGTCCGCCTGAAAAAGAGAAGCGGGCAAGAAGCGCGTCGCAGAAAAGCAAAAATGGAAAAAAGAGGGTAAAAAAAGTAAAAAAAAGAGGACATGCCACTATGACCTGCATGGCCGGAAGTTTTGCTGTTTTTTCTTCCGTTCTCTTCTCTCTCTCTTTTTGCCTCGTCTAATCACCGCCATGTTTGCCCCGTGCTAAGCTGTGTACCGACCCACGGCACACAACCGGCCGACTACTTAGTCCGTGTCCATCCGTCCGTCCGTCTGTCTGCCTGCCTGTCTGTCCGTCCCCGTCCGCCCAGCCCGCCCTCGTGCAGGGCCTCAATGTTATCAAATGTTTGCTATCCAATTATTGCCGTGATACGCTACCTATCGCTGACGCCTGACGCGGCGGTGACGCGGTGACACTCGGTGACACTCGATACCGGCGCGTCACTCCAGGATTCAAGGTAACAGATTGATAGTAGGATTTTGGCCGCCTCCGCCTGTCTTCTGGCCCACTGTGCAACGCCAGCACACGGTAAATCAATCTCCTGCCGGGATCCCCTGGAATATCAGTCGATTCCCAGAAGATGGTTTCCGTGCAGGGGCCCCTTGCCCTTTGAAGTGGTGCCCCG